TCCTCATGGATAACTGGACAAAAACTATTGGCTACAGAACCTAAGCCAGAGCAGCCTATCAGAAGGTCAGCAGAGAAATGGCTATTTTTCAAGACACTACATGTGTGTGACTTGATGTACCTACCCCTGTGAAGGAAACTACTGACGGAAGGAAGCTCAGCCCCTTCTGATACAGAGCTGAACCCACTCGTAGGCCCCACCATCAGGAGGGTGACCTGAACAGGTAAGAATGGGAGAACCCAAGGAAACCTACTGCCCTTCTGTTTTCCTTCCCTGGGGGTCTGCCTCAGTGGAAGCCTCTCTCTCTCTCTCTCTCTCTCTCACACACACACACACACACGCACACACACAGAAAATGGGTGTGACAGTCACTCTGGCTGCAGCCCAAAGTGGCTTACTTACTAAACCCACAGTTCCTGTTTTCTTTTTCTGCAAGGAAGAGACAGAATGTAAGCTATTCCCAGGGAGAAAGTAGGGAAGGAAGAACAGCTTATTCCTGACCCATACTTGGAAACTCTTGTGTGAGGCAACATAAGAGGAAAGAGAAGGGCAGCCCGGGTGGCTCAGCAGTTTAGTGCTGCCTTCAGCCCAGGGCCTGATCTTGGAGACCGGGGATCAAGTCCTGTGTCAGGCTCCCTGCATGGATCCTGCTTCTCCCTCTGCCTATGTCTCTACCTCTCTCTCTCTCTCTCTCTCTCTATCTCTCATGAATAAATAAATAAAATATTTTTTTAAAAAAAGAGGAAAGAGAACCCCGTCTTACAAAGTTGAAAGAAAGTACAATTTGGCAGATCTCTCTAAAATGGCAATTTAGCAGTAACTACCAAAATTTAAGTGCATATAACCTTTACCCAAGTGATCACACTTCTGGGAGTCTATTTTATGGAAATTCTAGGGGTGCCCGGGTGTCTCAGTCTGTTAAGCGTCTGCCTTCGGCTCAGGTCATGATCTCAGGGTCCTGGGATCGAGCCCCACATAGGGCTCCCTGCCCCACCAGGAGTCTCCCTCTGCCTCCTCCCCTCTGCTTATGCTCATGCTCTTGTCTTTCTCTCTCAAATAAATTTAAAAATAAAAAGAAATTCTACTAGAAGAGCAAAAGATACATAAACCTAGAAACTCACTGCAGCACTGCCTGTGATGTGAAATGGTGAAGACAGCCTACACACGCCCAGCCAGAAGTAAATGCTGGTATGTCTAAACTGTGGAAAACCACAGTTCTGTTAGAAAATGCATGGTACGGGATCCCTGGGTGGCGCAGCGGTTTGGCGCCTGCCTTTGGCTCAGGGCGCGATCCTGGAGACCCGGGATCGAGTCCCATATCGGGTTCCGGGTGCATGGGGCCTGCTTCTCCCTCTGCCTGTGTCTCTGCCTCTCTCTCTCTCTCTGTGACTATCATAAATAAATAAATTAAAAAAAAAAAAAAAAGAAAATGCATGGTACATCTAATAGAACACCAAAAAATTCCATCATGATACAGGAACAAAGCAAGCTGCAGGGTAAGATTTCACTTATTAATGGCTTATATTTAATGTGAAATGGGCTGTGCCAATTATGCACAGAACACAAAACGTAGAAGTAAACAATGTATCAGCAAGTGATATTAGCAACTCTACGCACCATTCCGCTCAATGATCCTGGGCCCCAAAGGGCTACCTGGGCACTGCCAGTCTATGTCTCCCAGCACTGTGGGCTTTTCTGGGCTCTGAGCATCATTTTGAGAATTAAGAAATACTGGCTCTCCTTATACCACATGGCCCCTGGATGCCAGCCAAATACTTACCCTGGCCCTCAAGGGAGAAATAGCAATCTGTTACAACTGTACTAAGAGACAGAATGTCAGCCTCCAACAGAGAACCTTCCAAGGGGTAACTCTTCCTGACCCCTTCCCTTTCCTGAGCAGTTAGTCATAAAGCCATTAGGTGGCACAGAGCAAGGTAGGTGCCTGCAATGGGGCAAAACACAAGCAGGTGGCTCAGAGTAGCGAAGCCCACACAGGATGAGGAGAATGTCCACAGAGTAAGCGGAGAGGACACATGGTATGGAGCATCAGAGCAGCCCCAACCAATACAGAGGGACAGGCCAACACAGGGGTCAGAGCTTAAACAGTGTGAGGACGATGTCTGCTGCGGAGAGGCACCTGGAGCAGGTGTCAGAGCTGCACAAGGTCAGGAGGGGGCTGTGGGTAGAGGATTTTGAGCTACTCAATAAAATTAAAGCATATGGGGTTACACTAGTATAAACGAAGGTTTGATGAGGAAGTAGATAATTACATAGTTTCAAAGTACCTCCCTATAAAATATTAATTTCAAAGAAAAATGGGTAATTTTGCAATGGACAAGCCTGGCAGACACATGTGGACATTTCCAGCAATGAGACAAACTGAAACCATGTGGCCCCTGGCAGGACGCAAGGACACAGCATTGTTTCTAGGATGTTCCTGCCAAAGCTGCATAGCCTGAATCCAGTCACAATGGGATAGCAGACAAACCCAAATGAGGGAAATTCTACACAATAATTGGCCTGTCATCTTCAAAAGTGTCAAGGACATGAAGTCAAGGACTGGCAGGAACTTTCCCAGACAGGAGACTAAAGAGACAGGACAACTAAATGTAACCTATCATTCTGAACTGGATACTTTTACAATGAAGGACATGATTGGGACAAGTGGTGAAACACAAAGCTGGCCTGTAGGAATCTTCTCTTGCGTGTAGCATAGTCCGCAAACGTAGTGGTTTGAAACACAGTCACTATTAGCTCACAGTTCTTTCTTTTTCTTTTTAAGATTTATTTATTTATTTGAGAGACAGAATGTGTGAGTGGGGTCAGGGGCAGAGGGAGAGAATCCCCAGGCTTACTCCCTGCTGAGCACGGAGACTGACTGACACAAGGCTTGATCTCCCAACCCTAGATCACCACCTGACCCGAAACCAAGAGTCAGAGGCTCAACCGACAGAGCCTCCCAGGCGCCCAAGGCTCAGCTGGGTTCTTTCTTTCTTTTTTAAGTTTTTTATTTTAGAGAGAGAGAACCTGCAAGCAGAGGGAGGGACAAAAGGAGAGAAATCTTCAAGTAGACTCCCCACTGAGCGTGGAGCCAGCGGTGGGGCTCAATCCCAGGACCCTGAGATCACGACCTGAGCCGAGATCAAGAGTCCAATGCGAAACTGACTGAGCCAACCAGGTGCTGCATCCACTGGGTTTTATGCTCAGGTTATCACAAGGTCAGGATCAAAGTGTTGGATAGGTTGAGTTCTTATACAGACACGTTGGAAAGAATCTGCTTCTAAGCTCACTCAAGTCTTTGGCAAAATCCAGCTCTTTGGGACGCCTGGGTGGCTCAGTGGTTGAGCGTCTGCTTTAGGCTCAGGGCATGATCCTGGGGTCCTGGGATTGAGTCCTGCGTCATGCTCCCCACAAGGAGCCTGCTTCTCCCTCTGCCTCTCTGTGTCTCTCATGAATATAAATAAATAAATAAAGAAAGAAAGAAAGAAAGAAAGAAAGAAAGAAAGAAAGAAAGAAAGTAAGTAAATAAATAAATATTCAGCTCTTTGTGGCTGTAGGTCTGAGATCCATTTTCTTGCTGGTTATCACCCCTGGGCCAACACCTTCCTTCTCATGCCCCACATCTAGTCTTCAAAACAGCAACACTTTGATCTCTTCTTATGCTTAGCATCTCTCTGATGTCTTCTTCCACAGAAAACATTTGCTTTTAATAGGGCTCATGTGATTAGACTGGACCCACCTAAACAATCTATCTTAAGCCATGAAACTTAACAGTCATGGGAGGGATATATCATCACATTGCTAGGTTCTAGAGATTAGGACAGGCCATTGGGAAGGGGGGAGGCATTTCAGAAATTCTGCGTACCACACAGCCTGTAGATGAAGTGATGTATCAGTGCTCATCTCCTAACTTTTGATGGTTGTGTTGTGGTTGTGTAGCAGAATGTACTTGTTTGTAAGAAATCCACACTAAAATATTTAGGATGATGGAGCATCAGACCACCAATTTACTCTCATATGACTTGGTATTAAAAAATAGTTCTTTGTATTTTTTTCCTAAAATTGTTCTATACATGTGTGTGCAGATTGATAAAAAGATAGCTACGACACATGTATTTCTATATAAAAACAAAGATATCTGGAAAAATTTAGAAAGATAGATACAAAAGTTACCTGTGATTACCTCTGGGACACAGAATTATTTAAGAGGGAAAAGAAGTATACACCTTTCATTTGGGGGCTATTTTAAAAAAAAGAAATAAATAGGAGAAAGATCTTCAAAAAGGACAGCAGGAGACTGGCTGCTGGTTTTGTGGCAGAGAGTGGGTGAACACAGAGGGACGGCCGGGCTGAGGCCAAGATTCAGTGACGAGGCAACAGGACACGTTAGTGCTGTTACACTCCTGTGCCTCTCGCAGAGCTACCCAGACATTGAATTTAGAATAAAATCTGTATTGAGGTGATGGGAACAAAGAAAATTTCCTGCTGGCGATGACAGCATGCCAGATACCAATGGCACTGCCCAGGCAAAGTTTCTAGCTCCTCTTTGCCATTTGCTTTTCAGTATTGAAAAGACTGATTGCTATGTTAAAATCCTACCACCTAGAACATCAGAACGTGCCCTTATTCAGAGATAGGGTCTTTCCAGAGCCTATCTTTGCCGAGGTGATCAAATTAAATGGAGGTCATCGGGGTGGGGCCTACTCTGACGTGACTGACATCCTTAGAAGAAGAGACAAGGACCCAGACTCACAGAGGGAAGGCAATGTGAAGACAGACAGGATGGCCACCCTAAGGCCCTATTCTTGCAACTCTGCAAGGACCTATAGCATTTGGGCAAAGCCCATGGCCCTACAGAAAGGGCTGGGATTTAAGTCCAGGTTTTAAATGGCGTTATTGTTTCCATGATTTTTTTCCTTAAAATATTTAATGTCCTTGCAATAGTAAATGGATTTCAATTTAGAGAGAATCATGAATGCAGTTAATGGTCTGACAAGCAATTAAAAAAAGCCTTGTATTGATTCCGATGACACTCATGATTGGCTTTTACAGTCATGCTGGAGGAAGGCTCTCGTGGATTGTGGCTTCTACTCTCAGTCCATCTGCAAAAGCCTGCCGGCTTTCATGGGAAGATTCCAGATCAGGCTTCCCACCAACAACGTCCTCACCTCCGATGATCTGCTCCAATGGCATCTGTGATTCTGGTAAAACCTTGCTCCCTGGAAAAAGAAAACAAAGCAATTTCAGCAAATGGTGGAGGACAGGCCCTGCTCTCACTGGAAGCCCTCGTTTACCTAGCCCCATAATGCACCTGCCTCTGTCTCCCCCAGATGCGTGCCTCGTGCCTTCTACATGGTCCTCACCCGGGAACCGAGAGGTATTTCCACCTAGGCCCTCACAATGGGAAGGGAATCAATTTCACGTATTAACAGCTCCCTGATGTCAAGCCAATATTACTGAATAGGGACGCTGCCAGAACTCCTCGGGCCAATAAACACCACTGACTCACAAGTTCTTCTTGAATTCCTGGGCCCTATCTTTTGTCATAGGAGCAACACAGTAATTTTTCCCTCCGTTTTTGAATACTTGAATGAGGAATAAATAGAGACAGGTGAACAGCATCTTCTCCATTTGAGTCATTCAGGCTTGATACCACATTAACTTCTGTTTCAAGCCACACAGGTCCCCACTCACTTCAAAAGGGCCTCCAGCTCCCGCTTGATCATGCCCACCACAGGCGGGCCCCGGTAGGTGAGGGCCGTGTACAGCTGCACCAGCGAGGCCCCTGCCCGGATCTTCTCCAGCGCGTCCTGCCCACTGCTGACTCCACCGACCCCAATGATGGGGACTCCGCCTGCACAGAAGCACATGCAACCACGTGAGGAAAGGCAGGCAATGGGAGAGCCTCAGTCTGGCTCCTGCCCTCTGGCCCCTGCTGAATGCAGACATTCATAGATCAAACCCCAGAGCCTGAGCCACACACAAATCTGAAGAACAGGGACTGAATTCTTGCCTTTGGTGAGTGCATACATCTCCCGGATGGTTTGGGTTGATAAATCTCGAAGGGGCTTCCCACTCAGCCCTCCGATCTCAGAGCGCAGGGCACCCTGGAGGCTGGCAGGGCGGCTCACTGTGGTGTTGGTGATAATCAATCCATCGATGCCCAACTGCAGTGTGAGACAGAGAAAAAGCCCTCCAGTCATGGCACTGGTGGAGCTGGAGAAGCTTCCCTGAGAGTCCGAAAGAACAGCCAGGCCAGGTGCCCACACTACAGACCCTGGAAGCAAGAGCTATAACAGAGCTTACCATGCTTCTAGAACAAGTGTCTGGATGAGCCTCAACATAACAAGAGCAGCCATCACATACTGACCACCCATAAGGTTCCACTAGGACAGAGTTTAATCCTTAGAACCACTTGCTTTAGTCCTGACCAAGACTCCTAGGTAGTGAGTGGTGGAACTAGGATTTGAACCCAGAACTTCTAGGTCCAGTCTGTGACTCCACCACTCCCCCATGACACAGGGACCTGAGGTTAGACTAGAGAAAGAGACAGAGATAGAATACCCTAGTCTGACCAAGGACACAACCGCAAATCTTAGAGCCCTTGCTAGATGAATGTGAGCAAAGAGAGAAGGGAAGAAATACAAGAAAACGATTCATCCAAACATTCCCTTCTTATTCTATGATGAATTACATCAGGACAGGTACCAAACCAGCTCTGACTATTGCGGAAGGGAAGCCCCGCAATAGCCCCGCTGGCCACATGGCCCCCCGGCAGTGGGGGGCATCCCAGGGCCCAGCCTGACTCACACCTCTTTCACCACACTGGCGATATCCTCCTTGTCCTGGGCCGTGAGGTCGGGTGCGATCTTCACCAGAACGGCTGGCTTGTGTGCTCCCTGCAGGGCATCCCTCTCCTGCAGCACCTAAAGCAGCACGCAGCCAGAGATAGGGACGCCTGAGCCCACAGCCGGCGGTGCCACTGACCTGCAGCCCCCGCAGCCGCAGACCGGCATGTCCTCACACTAAAGCACCAGCAAATTGTCCTTTTCCAGAAATACAGCTCTCTGCCATGCCAGAGACCCCACCAAGATGGATCTGATTCCCTAGAACCAAGGGATCTCCAATATAAGTCCCTAACATTGTCATCGGTGCTAGCTAATATATTAAGGTTTATTTAGACTTTTTCACTAAAAGAGGTAATAAGGAAGTACTGTCACAAGTACTATTTGGTAAAGAGTCATCCAATTCATTCATTTCATGTACTCACTGCTAGGGACAGAGAGATAGTCCTTGCTATCATGATCTTGTGGTGTAACAGCAGGGACAGGTGACAGAGCCATTAATCACTGTTGAGCACAATCAGTGTTCTGATGGGGGATTACAGGCATAGCAGCAAGGGGTCCCATCGGTCCAGGTGCTAAGGACAGCTCCTCCACCCTGAGGCCCAAGCTTCTCCCTGGAGGACCAACAGGCTGGTGGACGTGTCATCGCCTACCTTGGCCAGCAGGTGGCGCAGCTCCGCCTTTCCCTGCAGGCTCCGCAGCCCAGCCGTGTTGGGACTGGACACGTTCACCACCAGATAGTCGGCCAAGGGGCCCAAGACGCGCACCCCCTCCGCGTAGTCCGCAGCAGCGTCCACCGAGGTCTTATTCTTGCCCAGGTTTATCCCCAGGGGCAGCCCCTCTGTGAAGATCGCACGTCAAGATTTTGCCCTCAAACGCCATCCCTGTGGGCCTCCCCCCGCGAATGCGACCCTCCCGTACCAGCGGGCAAACAGCTCGGGAAGCTGCTGCCTGCCAACCCAGAAGAGCTCACCCTCTGCGCAGCAATGTCTGGGCAACAACTAGATCTTTTGCTGCATTGTGCCCTTTTTCTTTTTTAAAATTCCATGGGAGGGATCCCTGGGTGGCGCAGCGGTTTGGCGCCTGCCTTTGGCCCAGGGCGCGATCCTGGAGACCCGGGATCGAGTCCCACATCTGGCTCTCGGTGCATGGAGCCTGCTTCTCCCTCTGCCTGTGTCTCTGCCTCCCTCCCTCTCTCTCTCTCTCTCTCTGTGACTATCATAAATAAATAAAAAAATTAAAAAAAATAAATAAATTTAAAAAAATAAAAAAATAAAAAAAATAAAATTCCATGGGAAATGGAGAAATCAGGAGTGCAAATACTAATGATAAAAAGGCAGGGCTCAGGTAATGAGGACAGTCAGAAATCGACAGGCATGTCAGAAGGGACAAATGCTTACTCTCAAGGGCTGTCTGCTGGCCTAGAGTCACAGGCCAGGGGGTGCCGTGGGAAAGAAAATGAAAAATTAAAGAATATTACACAATACTGGAAAATGTTTGCCACTAATCATGCCTAAAATATAGAGGTATAATTCTTTTATAATGTAGAGCACATCCCAGTGCTCCCAGAACTGCCCTGGTTGCTCCCACAGCCCGGGCATAATTGCTAATGCCCACACCCTTCACTCTCCAAAATGTCTCCATTTGCACAGCAAGTATTACGCCAACCAACTTAAAAATCCATGAGATTGGGGATCCCTGGGTGGCGCAGCGGTTTGGCGCCTGCCTTTGGCCCAGGGCACGATCCTGGAGACCCGGGATCGAGTCCCACGTCGGGCTCCCGGTGCATGGAGCCTGCTTCTCCCTCTGCCTGTGTCTCTGCCTCTCTCTCTCTCTGTGTGTGTGTGACTATCATAAATAAATAAAAATTAAAAAAAAAAATCCATGAGATTATCGACTTGGATTTTGCACTTTTAGAAAAATACATTATATAGAAATATGCTGTGCGTGAAAGCAGGAGGTTGTCTGTACTTCTAAGATACCACCCCATATGCAGAGGTCACTGGTATGTCAGTGCTGCTTTTCCCTCTCTGATGGTTGGGAAAAGACCTGGAACACAAGTGAGCTCCCAAAATGTGTGTCAGGTTTGTGGGATCAAAGAGCAACATTTAGTATTGCTCACCACCTTCTCATACCCTAAAATAGTCACCCTTTTAATCACCAGCTTGAAAGTAAATACGATTCCCTGGGAGGAAGGGAGGTGAAGAGGGGCCAGCACCCAATCAGACAAAAGCTACACAAGGCGTCCAGGCTTCCCAAGTCCAGCCTCCACCAGGCCAAGCCATTTGTAAACTGATTCTTCCCCACACAGGTAAACTGGCTTAAAACAGAGCATCACTTTTGCGCAGCTAATGGATCTTTCATCAGCAGTTAGCTGCCCAAAGGGCCAAGACATTGAAGCTAGAAATTTCTGAATTACTCTGCCCTCAAAGGGCCCCACAGCTTTTGTCAGTTTATGTTCCTTATTGTGCTAGCAACAAGCTGTCTTCAAGTCTTCTAGCTACTGGAAAACATGATGTGCAGAAATCTGCTCTGAGATCCTGCTTCACTCCAACCAATGTTCATGCTGGAGGTGGGGGTGAGAGAAAGCATGGGGTAAGGCTTGCACTGGCAACAATTAAAAGAAGAATTTTTAAAATAAATAATAATAATAAAGGAAAGGAAGGCAAGAAGGCAGGAGATTATCACAAGCTGTGGAGATCATATTACAACTTCAAAGCTCCCCAGATAGAAGGTCTGTAGTACAGCAAGGTCTGCTTCCACCAAAGCCTGGGATTTCCAAACAAGGTCGCTTCCTCCTCCTAAAATCAGAGGTTGCTGACTGCCTGGGCCCTTTCAACCTCACTTCCTTTTTTTTTTTTTTTTTTTAAAGATTTTATTTATTTATTTATTCATGAGAGACACAGAGAGAGAGAGAGGCAGAGACACAGGCAGAGGGAGAAGCAGGCTCCATGCACCGGGAGCCCGACGTGGGATTCGATCCCGAGTCTCCAGGATCACGCCCTGGGCCAAAGGCAGGCGCCAAACCACTGCGCCACCCAGGGATCCCTCAACCTCACTTCCTGAAGTGAATCTGAGGCCCATAGGTTTTTCTCATCTTGCCACCAAGACATTCAATGAGACTCGACTCATGGCAGGAGTTCCAGAGGGATCCAATGAGGAAATGGCCACTGCTCCACACAATCTCAGAGGGCACCTGGGAAGGTGTGGTGAGGACAAAACAGCGCTGCAAGCACTCACTGTGCTTCCTGAGGGACAGCAAAGCAGAGCTCCCAGAGAACAGACACCCGTACCCCTGAAGGTAGCCGCCTATCCCGCGCAGTATTTCTAAATAGTCCAGGAGGATATTTTCCCAAATGTCAAGATTAGTTCTCCCCGAATGGGAAGGAGTAGGAGGAATTTTAATTGTCTTCTTTATGCTTCTTGGTATTAGTAATGCTTCTATAATTAACATGCATTATTTACAGAACACACAAAAGGACAAGAAAGCAAGACAGAAGAAGACGGTGCTCAAGGCCTGCTCACATCTCACCTACCCGTGCGACCACAGAGGAGCTGCTTCGCTTTGCTCACTTCTAAGCTGCTCCAGTTATGATATAACCCAGGCTATATAATGAGGCAAAAGCTAAGCGAGTCTTTGCTAAATTGTGAAATGCAGTTAAAATCTTGGTGGCTGTGGTAAAGCCAGTAAGATTCCCAAGTTCCATAGTGTTTTTTCCTATTGCTCAGTCATGTTTATTTCACTAGGAATGTTCCTGATATTTCTCCCACAGGATTCCTTCCAATAAATGAGGGAAGTCCCTCGAGAGCACCCCCACTTTACCTTCTGTGAGCCTGGCCTGTTTCTCCTGTCTGGTCCGCAACCTGTGTTCGACCACTGAGAGTCCGTGACTGTTAAATCCGTATCTGTAGCACAGAAGCAGGTAGAGAGGGGACAATGTTAGAGCCCCCAGCCAGACAGCAAGGACTCTGGAAAGATGGCTTCATGGCCGTACCCACTATACTTCTGACTTTTATTTATTTTTTTTTTTTACTTCTGACTTTTAAAAACAGAAAGAAAAAAAAATTAGAGTCAGTTCTGAGACTTCTAAAGTTTAAATACCCCTGGAACTCCTAGAAAACTTGCCAGAACACCATCAAACATGGAGGGAAAGATTTAAATTTGTAAACAAGCTGCTCAGGTATCTAGCACTGGCAACAGCCCAGACTCATCACAGAGCTGCCCCAGACCTGTCTGGATCGGCGCCCCCGTCCTTACTTATGAACGACTCCCACCCAGGGTCTCTCTGACAGCCCCATCCTGCACCTCCTGCCTGCACTCTACAAACACTCTCCCAGAGAAGAAATAATAACCAACACCTACTGGTTATGGCACTTTGTTACTTGCAGCCAAAAATACTGAACAGATACAGCAGCACCCGTTTTTGTTGACTTAATGAATAAATTACTCCATTCATTCAGCAGGTGCTTACTGGGCAGCCACTCCGTGCCTCCCAGTGCGAGGCTGAACACACAGGCTCTCCTCTCTCAACCGCTGCTCGTCTACAGATTCTGCTAAGTACCGGTGTCCTGGTACCTGTAGCTATCTATGGCAGCCGAATCATAAATATACTTTGCCTGGAAATTCTGAAGATACTGATCCCAGCCTGCAGTGCAACAGGAAGATCAATAACTTCATTTCTAATGCTGGAAAATTTCCCTGAAACAAACACAATAAAGCAGGATGTGCAGTCCAATGATTCCCATAGGTCAATCTTCCAGAAGGCCAACCATGGGCCCAGAGGTGCTTATCAAAATCTCTTGAGGAAGCCCTCAGAACTCTGGTTACCAAAAAGTAGGAACTTTTTCACTTTCTGAGTTTGTTGTAGTGAATACTGCCTGGGGATTACAAAGAAAAGGGCTTGATACAATCTAGAAGGCTCCCTCTTACTAAAAGCAGCTGTACATAGGGGTTATTAGATTTTCCAGTTTACCAAACACCAGGGCTGCACAGTCCAATTCGAGAACTTCTAGTCACACGTGCCACTGAACACTCGAAATGTGGTCAGTCCAACATGAGAGTGCTCTAAGTCAAACACACACTGGATTTTGAAGACTTGGTACCAGTAAAAGAAGGTAAATAGCTAATTAATCATTTTTATTTTGATTATATGTTAAAATTACATTGAGAATAAGATGAAATACTTCTAGTTAAATATAATAATTATAAAAAACAATTAAATAGAATCTATTATTAAAATTAATTTCATCCATTTTTTACTATTTTTTTTTCTTTTTACTAGTTTACTGTGGCTACATGAATATTTTAAGTTACATACAGAGTTCACATTTTATTTCTATTGGGCAAGGGCACTGGTATAATAAAGCACAAACTCTAAAGTCAAGTAAGCCTAAATCTGTACCCAAGCTCTACCGCTTATGATCTCATGATTAAAGTCATGCAGCTCTCGGAGCCTCAGTGTGTATATGTGCTAAACCAGAATACTAAAACCTGCCTTGGGATCCCTGGGTGGCGCAGCGGTTTAGCGCCTGCCTTTGGCCCAGGGCGCCATCCTGGAGACCCGGGATCGAATCCCACGTCGGGCTCCCAGTGCATGGAGCCTGCTTCTCGCTCTGCCTCTCTCTCTCTCTCTCTCTGTGTGACTATCATAAATAAATAAAAATTAAAAAAAAATAAAAAAATAAAAAAAAATAAAACCTGCCTTTATGCCTGCACACAGGTGGTGCTCAACATGGTTCCTGAACATTCCAAATAGCAGAAAAATGCCCACGCTGTATGACAAGCAGATCTCTCGTTGCTGAGTGCCCTGCCGGGGAGAAGGCATTCCCTGGTACCTCTGGGCTCTTCACCTACCTGTTAATGACTGCTTGGTCCTCAGGGAGGCGGAAGACTCTGGGCCTGGGGTTTCCTTCCTGAGGTTTTGGAGTAACACTGCCTATCTCAACAAAACCGAAGCCCATCTTGTAAAGTCCATCCACAGCTTCCCCATGCTTGTCAAATCCTGCAGCAATTCCAATTGGATTTCGGAATCTATGGCCCAGGACTCTCACCTCCTAGGAAGAAGGAAACAAAGCCAGAGGTGCGCAGGCTATCACAGTGTTTCTCAAAGCGCAGGCCCCAGCATGTCTGGGTTGGAATTACCCACAGAGCCTGTTCATCAGAAGGTGTTCCAAAAGCACCTACCAGCATATCTGATTCTTGAAAGGTGGCACGAGGAAGGAGCCCCAGGGAAGTGACACGAACGGCCAGCCTGTGGGCTGACTCAGGGTCCAGCAGCCTCTGCATAGCCGGCATCAGGTGTTCAGCATAGAAATGTTCATCCCCCATGGCTGTCAGGTAGGAAGTGAAAAGAAGTCCTCCGCCCCCCAGGATGACCACAGCATCCTGGACCCGCTTCTGGAGGGAAAAAGAAAGGCCCACTGAAATTCCCCCAAGGCCAGACTGCAGTAACTTCTCTGAGCCCTTTACACCCATGCGCATAGGACATGAGATGTCACATGAAGCAATATTTCTAGCCTTCTGCTAACACTGGTCTCCTTTGTTTCTAATCTTGCTCGCACGTTGACCTCTACTTCCGTGGCTGTATCCACACTTCTGCTGACACTCCTCTGGTCCCCAAGGACCCCAGGCCAGAGGTTTCAAGAGAGGCAGTACAGCCTCCGGGGGACATGTGGTAGGCATTTTGGAGGAATGCTAATAATAGATTTAGTGGGCAGGAATCAGTAAAGGCAGACATCCTGCATTGTTTTAGGCTGACAGATGAATTGTCCCTGTCTTGTATGACTTTTGAACATCTCACTGACATCCAGTATGTAAAAAAAAAAAAAAAGTCTATTCATAATATCTGAGCCTATATTCCACCACATAAACACAAACTATCCCCTGCAGAGTTTTCATATACTTTGACTTTTCCAGAAATGCAATTCCCTTGTAAACTGAGGGACAACCGCACTGTTTTGCACAGAACATTACCAAAGATCGTTCACCATTTCAGAGATCTCAGGAATGGTATAGCGCTTTGCTTGGGTGTTTGACAATAAAACATACCTGAGGTGCTAGATTGTCTAAACAGAGGCTTAACCACCTGACTATATATCTCATCACTGAGTCATGCCCCAACATTTACATGCTGAAATACATGTTATTTTATTACAAATTCCTTTAATTTCTCTTTTATATTCAGAGTTAGGACATTATGCTGACTTTTTAAAATTATACATAGACATTACATTATACATAAATTCCACTTCAGGATAATAAATGTAGTTGCAAAAAAAAATTTTTTTTTAAGCATCAGATCTTATTGAGTCAACAATCACTATCCTAGTTCAAAACATGCTTTGTAACGGGTTTCTCTAGTTATCACTGCCAGATGATGGGTCACTCATTCATTCATTCAATCATCTGCCCAACATGAAGGAGCACTCAGAGTCCCTGCCCTCAAGGAGGACAGTCTCAGGAGACATCCTTAATCAATGATCATGCAAATAGGGGCACCTGGGTGGCTCAGTGGTTGAGTGCCTGCCTTTGGCTCAGGTTGTGATCCCGGGGTTCTGGGATCGAGTCCTGCACCAAGCTCCTTGCAGGGAGCCTGCCTCTCTCTGTGTCTCTCATAAATAAATAAATATGTTTTTTAAGAAAATGACCACGCAAATATAGAACTGTGAAGATTGCTATGGAGAAAAAAGGTATAGGGTAATAAGAGAATCCAACCCAATCTCAGAGGTAGACAGGAAGGCTTCCTTGAGGAAGTGACTCAAAGCTGACATCCAAAGGATAAATAGGAGCTAACTAGGAGGCAGGGGGTGGGGGGAGTAGGAAAAGTGTAAAGGCGCTCTCGGTGGCAGAGGATAATGAGACGCACCCAAGGAAGAGGGAAAGGGGGGAGGCTCCTTGGATGCCAAGGAATGAGGGAAAGCACCGCACGAGAGCTAGGGGGACAGGGAGGGGCATGGGCCAGAATGAAGATTTGCGTTTCGCTCCCTACAAAGGTCACTGCGGTGATCCGATGTGCCCTGGAGGATCACCGCAGCTGTTAATAAAGAGCAAGGATCTGGCGCCTTCCTTCCAGTCTCCCGCAGATTACAGGAGCGCCCCTTGGTGTCCACCGACAGACTAGCCCGCGAACGCGATCACACAAGTCCCCGCCCCACAATCATCGAGAAGGGCTGGGGCCGCGTCTCGGTGTCACTTCGTTGCTCGTGGATCCTGCACGCCAGGTCGGGCCGTCCTGTGCTCCCTAGACGCTCGTGTGCCCCGTGCAATAAAAATCTGGGCCCCGCGCGCGGACACAGACCCGCATCTGCTCAGACTGAGCGGGCCGTTAGCACGCGGGCCAAGCACGCGCACGGAACCCGCGCTGCCTCCAGCGACACAGACGCGCCGGGCGGCCCACGCTGGGAGCCGAATCCCGCCCACAGCTCGCCGCGGCCAGCCCGAGGCTCCTCTCCGCCCGCCGCCGGCCCGCACTCCGCACAGCCTGCGCGCAGCCCACTCTGAACTCACTTTCAACTGTCTCCACGCCATGCTCCTTCCGCCACTGGGCCCGCCTCTGCCTCATTTCCATTGGAGGAGATGGCCGCGAGCTATCCAATCACCGCCTGCGGCTGCCGCCTCACCAATCGCCGGGTAGGAGGGCGGGGCGGGCCCCGCCGCGGCGGAAACCGCCGGCTCGCGCCGTCACGACGGCCACGCCCCTTCCGGTCCGGGCTGCCCGCGCGGGCACTTCGCGGTGTGGCGCTGCGGGGCTGGTGCCTTCGGGTCCGCGACCCTTCACTTCCGAGCAGCACTCCCATTAATATCTTGATCATTAGATATGCCGGTGCTCTCGGTAAAGCAGGTACCGGGAGTATGTGTCAGACACTGTAAAAGGGTTGGAAGAAGATAACCCGAATCGAGCCCAGAGAAGATTCCATCAACATCAGGTTTTACCTAAAAAAGTGCCTAAAACGGACGTATGTAGGTAGGTATGTGTGTTAATGTAGGTGTCGGGACATCAAGACTTTGTAGCCGAGTCCTGCAACCCAAAGGATTCCATTGCAGGGAAGACTTGGTGGACTCCTACTGAGAAAACTTCCAAATTAATTGGATACTCGTTTTCCTGGCATTTCACGAGGTTTCAGTTTTCTAGTTTGTTCCGACTTCTGTCTCCCCAACCCCCGCAGAATTATTTCTCTTTATACACGCTTCCCGTTCGTCTGCATTTACTCAGGCGGACTCCGGCCTGCACGACCGTTTTGTCTCAATATGGCCCAAGTGCTGGAAATAGTTTCTCCCTCATCTGAACCTTCATAGGTATATGCTGTACCTGACCAGTTTGTTTTGTTTTTAAGATTATTATATTTAGTCGTGAGAGACAGGCAGAGCCGTGGGCCGAGGGAGAAGCAGGCTCCCTGCAGGGGGCCCGACGCGGGACTCGAACCCAGGACCCCGGGGTCACGACCTGAGCCCGTGGCAGACGCTCAACCGCTGAGCCCCCCAGGCGCCCCGCCCCGAGTGGCACTGTCTTTATGAACTACAATTGTTTGGTCTTTTTTATCCGCCCCCCCCTAACTCAACTGTAAACGTTTTGCAAGTAGGGGCCATACTATATCTTTAGTTTGATTCCTGCAGTGTTTCTCAAACTGGAAGAGTGTATTCTTGGATATACACCTGAGAATTTTTGATACTGGTGTCCTCTTTCTGTAGTGTTTTTTTATTTTTTTTTATTTTTATTTTCTTTTACTTATGATAGTCACAGAGAGAGAGAGAGAGAGGCAGAGACACAGGCAGAGGGAGAAGCAGGCTCCACGCACCGGGAGCCCGACGTGGGATTCGATCCCGGGTCTCCAGGATCGCGCCCTGGACCAAAGGCAGGCGCCAAACCGCTGCGCCACCCAGGGATCCCTCTGTAGTGATTTTTTAAAGTAATATAAGCATCATTTGGACAAACAACCCTGAAACCTACCAAGCTATTTCAGTGCCCACGTTTATTTTGTACCTATTATCATATTTTGGCATCAAGAAAGAAAACGATCTAAAACAAACGATGGGCGTGCTGCTGGTGAAGAACAAATGACATACTACGTGAACAAAGGGTTTTTAGCAATTCAAGTAAAGCAAAGTGGTGAGAGAATGGTTTTTCCCTACAGCATGAAGTAGGGTGCCTGCCAAATCAAAACAGCCTGTGGGGCCCTAAACCAGTATTGCGTTTGTCTATCAGATAGCTATTTGGTATAGCACGTTTTGATTTCATTGGTTTTCAGTTCCTGTTTGAATTTAACTTGTATTCGTTCTTTCATCAGATATTTACTTTTTGCTTTTTATGGTTGTGTAAGGGCTTCAGCATATAGTTTATGCCTAGTTTTATGTTTGGTCATATTTTAAAAAACAATACAATAATTTAAACACGTCTAGGGGGTCTGCAAGAATGGTTTCCTTTAAAAACACACACACGCAATACATTTCTCAATTTTTAGCAACGCTGACTTATCTTCTACTCCTTTACAGCCTAGGCTTAGCAAATAAAGATCTATTATAAAGCTAAAGGCACAGCTGGTTGTGTAGACACAGGTGGTGGTGCCCTGTAAATGCCCATTGCTTTATTGATCTTTGCTGTTTGTTTTCAGCCTATAGGGATTCCACCTGGATCCTTAAAAACAAAAATCCTTTTATCTCGACAAATTGTTCTCTGTTCTTTAAAGAATCATACTGATAAGTATCACAAACCCACCAAGAATATATTTAAAGGACTAGATAGCCGCTGAGCCCCCACACTGTTTTTTGCTCACAGTTTGAAGAGAAAATGTTCTTCAGGGGAACATGGCTTTGGTTATACATCAGAATAGGTATCATTCTAGGAAGGGAGCTAAATACCCCAGACCAACGTGGTAAAAATAATTGTTATCAGCTTAACAGGTTTCACTGCAGCTATGAGGAAGCAGAAGATTATTGTCGTATGCAGGGAGGACACCTCGCTTACACTTGGAACCCAGAGGTCCAGCATCTTCTCTGGGACTTCCTGGAAGAAGGACATAAGTGGTGGATTGGACAAAATCTAAAGCTGCTGGGAAAACATCAAGAAAATAACAACCTAGGTAAGGCTCTGGGATGTAGTGTTGACAAAGTAAAAGCCCTGACTTTTATTCTGGAACAGGAGAGAGAAAGAATTTTAAATCTTTCTGCTTTTGTGCATAGAAAAAAAATCACTTTACTTCATCACCATGGTTCCTCTGAAGTATTTCTGCTTTTGTGCCTCAACCTGTGATTTGTCTGTGTAGCAAAGATGATGAAATTTTTCTCAGTTTATCAAAAGCTAAGGCACCTGATATTTTACTGAAAGTACTAGCAAGATTCTGAGGTGGGAAACCTTTTATGGCCACTTTGTTCCTGGTACATACCTCTTCATCATTCTGGCCCCACGCTTCCTAATTCAGAAACCAGGAGAGAAATTATTTGCCTGTTACCTTTCTTATGGAGATATTTTCAAAATTATGCACCATAAAATTGTGGAGAAAAATCCAAGGCACTGTTTTATTACCACCATCTTCACTGAAGTCTAGGTGAATTAGTATGAAGCCTTGTGATAAAGAATGCATAATAGGAAAAAATAAATATAATGTATGTGGGTGATGTGGAGAATAAAGGCAAAAGAAATACAGAAAAAAATTAAATGTCCTTACAACTTACAGTCCATTGACAAGTACTTGAGACAGCCAGGGTGACCTTCCTCCAGAAGCTTAATGGCCTCAGTGTTAATACTTTGCTGGAGGTGAAAGGCAACCTTAGCTTGACATTGGCCCAACCTCCAGGATCTTTGTAAGTCTTCTTTAACATCTAAAAATCCGTTTAGAAACTCCCTTTATCTCTTCTCTCTGACCCCAAAATATATGTTAGCAATCATCCTTCAAACATATGGCCCACTGATAACCATTTGATGGGTCTTGTGATTAAGGTTTACTGGACAGTCATAAATGACCCCTCAAGGTCCAGGAAACCTTGCTTCCAAATTCCTTAGAGGCTTACGCTACCTAACCCCTTCCCAACTTGAAAGAATATAATCAGTCACCCCTCACAATCCCAGGGCAGCTCTTTCTGCCCACAAGTCCTATCCCAGTGTTTAATAAAACCACCTTTTTTGCACCGAAGATGTCTCAAGAATTCTTTCTTGACCCTTTATTCCCAGACCCCAAAAACATGTCACATCCAGAGGATATCTTAAGTTTCATCTGTTGGATGCTAGCAAAATTTGGTTTTCATATTTACTTATAAAAAAGGTTGATTTTGGAGTATGAGGCTCATCTGGGTCTGGCCCTCCCTCAGCAGGTGTCATGCCCCCCTGGGCCCCAGGCCCCATCAGCTGCATATACGTGTCCAGAAACTCCAACTGGATATCATCAAATGTGGACTTCTGCTCACTGGGACATTCTTTCATTTGCCAGGCTGGTAAGTGATGAGAACACCTGCTACCAAAGTCATAATTTCTAGAAACTAATTCTGCATAAGGAGAACAGCAGAGTATTGGTTAAGGAGTCTGTTTCATGAAAAGGAGGTAAATGTAAAGTGACATCCAAAGACCAAAGGAGGCTAAAGACTGAAGAAAAAGACTGTCAAGTCCAGCTTGACAAGGAATGGTTCATTAAAAGGGAACCACCCAAGAGGAGAATATTTAGGAAGAGATGTGTACCCCAGACCAAGGACATCATGCCCCAAGATTTATTTAAGGGTATGGTTAAATGGAAAGAAAAAATGGGGATAGGGGCCGGGATGGGAGGGAATGTGCTCAAGAATATTTCTTGTCACAAAGTCTGTGAGTGATAGACCATAGGACGCCTATAGGGATTTTGATGATATATATTGATTTTCATGATGGATTTGAGAAACTGTTCATTTGAAATAACTTTCACATACATCTCACTCTGGTACTTATAGATGTGTGTTGTGTTGCCTTCATTTCTTGACTTGGGTGAAGTGTGAGAGAAAATGTAGCAGTCAATTCCATTTTCCTCACATGCACTCCTAACCTGTTCAGTGCTTGGGCTTCACAGGGAGGACCAGGAAAGCAAAGGAGGAAAACAGCATGTGGTGTAGGAAGATGAGAGGGTGAAGGTGAGGAGGCTGTTGTCATGTAGGTTTGCTTCCTCAGGAGTAGGTGATGAGAATTGTGTGCATAAAGTTGGGGGTGTGGTTTTTCTTTTAGTCAACGTTTTTCATGGTGGTTGTGTCCAGCATTTAGTCTTACTGCAGTGAATTCTCAAAGACCTTCCGATGTCACAGGATAGTCTGAGTAAGAATTTTGTGCCACCTTAAAATTTCACATATACATTCTTACTAAAAAATGAAGCATCTATGGGTGTTTCATAAAACAGAATACATTGTAATATTTCTTTATTGTAAGAAAAAAACAGATCACCTTCTTCAAATACTGGGTATTGAAAGGACCTACTATTTAGTATTTCCAGGTCATAAATGTTTGGCTTCCAGCTTTTCATTCTCCACCCTTTCAAGCTCTCTGTGATACACTTGCTCAGTGTTACCATGAAAGCATGAGGTTGTTGGTGAGGCCAAGGTTGTGAGGCCAATCTCTGCATAAATGAAGTGGTCCTGTGTTCCACTGTCATAAATATGAGTGTGCCACTTTACAATTGTGAACTGTTTTTCATCTTCACAGGAGGTTATTTGGCCCAGCTCATCTCCAGAACAGGAAAAGCAACCCTTAATATACCCTACATTTAGGGTATATTATACCCTAAATAGGGTGATGGTGTTCTATCCATTTTTTACTCTTCAAAGTTTGACTTTTTAGATATTTTCACCTACTCTTGGTTTGGGGATGAAAATGCATTTCCTGGGGCAGCCCGGGTGGCTCAGCGGTTTGGCGCCACCTTCAGCCTGGGGCCTGATCCTAGGGACCCGGGATCGAGTCCCACATCGGGCTCCCTATGTGGAGCCTGCTTCTCCCTCTGCCTGTGTCTCTGCCTCTCTCTCTCTCTCTCTCTTTCTGTGTCTTGCATGAACAAATAAATAAAATCTTTAAAAAAGAAAAGAAAATGCATTTCCTGATACTATCATTCATGTACTTACAAGAGATTACTGCCAAGGAACATGGAATGGTTGTGTGGAAGATAATCTTGGGCAAAAAGAGTTCTAGGGGGATCTGGCTGAATCTGTGGAGCATATGACTCTTCATCTTGGAGTTGAGTTCAAGCCCCATGCTGGGTGTAGAAATTACTTAAGCATAAAATCTTTAAAAATAAAAATTTAAAAAAGATTTTATTGGGATCCCTGGGTGGTGCAGTGGTTTGGCGCCTGCCTTTGGCCCAGGGTGCGATCCTGGAGACCCGGGATCGAATCCCACGTCGGGCTCCCGGTGCATGGAGCCTGCTTCTCCCTCTGCCTGTGTCTCTGCCTCTCTCTCTCTGTGACTATCATAAATAAATTAAAAATTAAAAAAAAAAGATTTTATTTATTTATTCATGAGAGACACAGAGAGGCAGAGACAGAGGCAGAGGAAGAAGCAGGCTCCCTCTTGGGAGCCTGACATGGGACTCTATTCCAGGACCCCGGGATCACGACCTGAGCCAAAGGCAGTTGCTCAACCACTGAGCCACCGGGTGCCCCAATAAAAGTGTTTTTAAAGAGAATTCTATTTAGTTATCTAAGCCAACCCAGCAAATTCTGAGCCAATATTCCCGTAATGAGATTAAATATGTTTCTGCAATTAAGAGATCAGGCTCCAAAGTCAGACTGCTGAGTTCATGTTTTGATTCTGGGACTTTACTGTTGTGTCACCTCCAAAGGATTGTTATGAGGATTAGTAAGATAAGTAAAGTATTAGAACAGTACTTGGCAGAATTTTTTTAGTTCTTACTGTTAATATTATGGAATTTCTGTTTTTTTGTGCAAAATTTATTTTCTACTTCACATTCATGTCAAAGGTCATTGGATCTCTTGGAGATCCAATATTGCTAATTATCTTTAAAACTAAAGTATTGGGGGGACCCCTGGGTGACACAGTGGTTTAGCGCCTGCCTTCGGCCCAGGGTATGATCCTGGAGACCCAGGATCAGATCCCACGTCGGGCTCCCTGCATGGAGCCTGCTTCTCCCTCTGCCTGTGTCCCTGCCTCTCTCTCTCTCTATGTCTCTCATAATCTTGGGAGTCATGAGTTCGAGCCCCATGTTGGGTGTAGAGATTCTTAAATAAATTAAAAATGTTTAAAAAAAAAGAAGAAGAAATAGCTATTGTTGTCATAGTGTTTATTTATTTTTCTGTGAGCATAAGAAATGCCTCTTCTGGGGTGCCTGGATGGCACAGTCGGTTAAGGGCGTGACTCTTGATTTTGGCTCAGGTCATGATCTCAGGGTCATGAGATGGAGCCTAGCATCAGACTCCATGCTGCTGAGCCTGGAGCCTGCTTAAGATTCTCTCTTTCCCTGTCCCTTTGCCCCTCCCCATGCTCCTGCACAGCGCCTCTCTCCTTAAAAGACAGAGAGGGAGAGAGGGAGGATGGAAAGAAGGAAAGAAAGAAGGAAGGAAAAGAAATGTCTCTTCCAAAATAACATGTTGGTAGAAGAAGTATTTGTAAATTTGTTCCTTAACATTCAGAAGAGAGGTCTAATGTTTCATATTATGAAGTATTGTTACCAAAAAATGGAGAAATGCAACTTTAAACTGAGATACCATTTCCCACCTATCAGATGGGCATAAATCCACAAACTCAACAACATACTATGTTGGCAAGACTGTAGGGAAATAAGTACTCTCATAAATTGCAAATGAGAATGCATTAAGATACAGTTTCTAAAGAGAGGAATACTTGGGAATCTCTAGCAAAATTGCATTTGCATCTACCCTTTGATCCAGTATTCCTGCTCCTGGAAATCTATCTTGAAGTTAGACTGGCAAAAATATAAAAAGACGCACACATGAGGCTATTCGTTGTAACTCGCTGTGTAATTGCAAAAAAAGTAGAAACAATCCACACCCATCTAGTGGGACACTGGTTGTAAAAAGAAATAAGTAATATTTCTATGTACTACATTGGGGTTATTTGTATGTTGTTTTAGTGGAAAAAAGCAATCTGCAGAACAATGTATATTCTACTTTAAGAAAGAGGTTAAGATGAATATAAATGCATATATACCTATACACATATCTATAAACATAATAGAAAAAAAGAAATGAAAATGATTGCTTATGGAGAAGGGAGGGAACAGGATAGAAAGGAGAAATAGAATTTAGATCTTTCTGAATGTACCTGCTTTCATAATTTTAACATTGGAACTCTAAATTTTTTTAAAGATTTATTTTTATTTATTTATGACAGAGAGAGAGAGAGAGAGAGGCAGAGACATAGGCAGAGGGAGAAGCAGGCTCCAGCTGGGAGCCTGACGTGGGACTCGATCCCAGGACTCCAGGATCGTGCCCTGGGCCAAAGGCAGGCGCTAAACCTCTGAGCCACCCAGAGATCCCTGGAACTCTAAATTTTTTACATAATTAGAAAACAATTGTTTTTGTTTCCTAAAAATAAGGAAAAAGAATAGGAGAAGAATGGGATGTAGCAAGTTCAGGCAGATTTTAGGTTAATTTTGCTCAAGAGCAGGAAGGAAGTAGGACAGTAGTTCATGAGGCAATGTGAATTGGCAGTTTGTGTTAAGACAGAATAAGTAGTAGCCAGGGCAGTGTCCTTGATCTGAGCTACCATGCTAAAGGGATTCACTTTGGGTAGGAGCGCAGGGAGCTTGTAGGAGGAACAGGGCAGAAGTGGCCTCTGGGTGTAGATGCTTGCTGCTCAGGGGCAAATTTGGTGGTGGGACTCTGGAAGGGACTCTTAACTGCTTCCATTTTCTTTTTGAAGCAGAAAGCAAGGTTATGACCTGACCTGAGAATCAAGATCAGGGACTTCCTTGTCATTGGAGGTACAGTAGAGAAGGAAGTGGGAGGAATCATCTCAGAGAGCAAAAGCATGAATAGACCTGGGGAGTACAGTGTGATCACCCCGCTTGTCATCCAAACTTAAGCTGAGATATAGTCAGTGAAGTTGTACAATCTTCTCAAGCCATGTCGGGCAGCATGTGTGAGAAACAGCAAGAATACGTAAGGAGGCATGTTCAAGAATGTTATTGTTCTCCTTACTGAACTCTTTTATCTCTACCAATAAGAATACAGAATATGAGGAGAATATTACACTTAGAATGTAATTTCTTAAAATGAACTTAATTCTGGGGCACCTGGGTGGCTCATCAAGTAAGCATCTGCCTTCGGCTCATGTCATGATCCTCAGGGTCCTGAGATGGAACCCCATTTCAGGCTCCCTGCTCAGTGGGGAGTCTGCTTCTCTTTCTCTCCCTCTACCCCTCCCCTCTGCTCATGCTCTTTCTCTCTCACTGTTTCTCTCAAATAAATAAAATCTTTAAAATTTTTTTTTTTATTAATTTAATTCTGTCTTCATGGTGTTGACTCCGTCAGTGGACCTCATTTTGTGATGTTGGGTCATAGAAGGTCATGTGACTGCTCCATAGCAAAAGAGCTCCCTGAGAATTCCTACCTTCTTTAACAAAAAAAAAAAAAAAAGGGTAGTAATCTTTAATTTGTGTTGTCTTGATTACCATGCATATGCTGGTAACAACCATTTTATAGACTTACAGCTAGTTACACAATAGAAATTATCTTTTCCATTGGCTTCCCAAATAGATGCCTTTTCAGACCAACATGAAAGACATGGAAATAATCCTCATTTACATTGGAGACCCGAGGAGACAAGAGGAGAAATGGCAGTACCAAGAAACAAAAAGATCCCAGGTAATGTGTAGTGAAATCAATCTTGCCTGAAAGGATACACAAGTGTTAGTTAATGCTGAAGTGTATCATCATAACATGTACTCAATATTTGTTGCATTCTGTTTTGTCCGATCTTATTATTGCAAGTTTTACTCTCATTTTATAGATACTTAAAAAAAAATTTTTATCTGACAGCAGAAGCAGGGTGAACAGGAGAGGGAGAAGTAGGTTCTCCACTAGGTAGGACACCCCACGTGGGCTCAATTCCGGGACCCTGGGATCGTGACTTGAGCAGAAGGCAGACGTCCAGCTGACTGAGCCACCCAGGCACCCCAATACTTTCTTTTTTTTTTACTTTCTTTCTTGATGGGCCTTTGGCCATCTTCTTTTCACATGTGCCCAAAACCAAATGAAAGATAGGATTTTCTCTCACAAAGGTTTCCATCCAAAGAATCGTCTTAAAGTCCTTGCAGATTCTTTCAAATTGTGGTGTTCTCTCTCATTTTTTTTTAATTTTGAAAAATAAATATGATATGGGAAAGGATGCATTAGCCTGAAATGACTTCAGTCAATACCAGTGTTGGATGATTATAGAGATCATCTGACCAAATGGGTGGAAAAAGAGACAGATTTAAAATGTAGCTAGTGATTATTCTGAGGGGTATGACCTCACAACTTCAAGTTTTAGATGTCTTTGTCAACAAGCCTATTAAGGATCCCTTAAAAGAACAATTCTGAAAGTGCTATTGTAGAGGCATAAATATCTATCTCAAGGACAAATGTAAAAATCAGCTTTTCTGCATGCTTTTGTAACTGAGTACTTATGAGTTGGGGAAGAAATGTTTCGTGATGGCATTAGATGAAAATAAAGTTTGTGTACTTTCAAAACTGTTAAATAATTACAGAAGTCGCTCTGATGGTAATTAAAGCACCAAGGCTGAGAATGCATTTGAAAAGTTTCAATAAAGTCACGTCCTGAAATGCGAGTTACATTACTTTAGATAACACATGATTTTAAACATGCCTTTGTAGAACAAGTTACTCCATTAAGTAACTAGATTATTTGACTGTTTCACCTACATCCTTAGAAATGATATAGTCAAGTTTGCTCCAAAACAGCTAACTTTAAATCTCCTTGAAGAACACGGAGGCAAGAAGCTAACACAGCTTTTATAGACCACGAGATGCAAGTTACAAGGTAATGACAGCAGAACAAGGCATTAAGAGCTTGGGTCTCATAAACTGTGGAGCCATCTAATCAGCCATGGACTGCTTGCTTATTTACACTGTTAGGAGCAAGAGAAATGAACTTCCATTTGTTCAAGCTCCCATTCTGACTTCTGTTACAATAACCGACCCTATGCTTTTAAGCTGTACATCCTGCTAAAACATGGCCTACTGGAAAGGGACAAGAAAGGCCTTTTGAGTGTTCATGAGTTCCCAAAAGAAGGGATAATGGGAAGCCTGATCCTTTTCTTTAAGGGAACAGCCTGGAAATTGCACCTTCTCATATCCCATTGGCCAGGGCATGATCGCATGGCCATACTGCTGCAAGCAAGGAAGGCTGGGAAATGTAGTCCTTGGTGGGGCTACCATGTTTCCTTAGAAGGAAGGAAGAGACAGTGGCAGAATAAGCAGCAGTCTCTGCAATACAAGGAACATTATCTCCTTTGTCAGTCTTCCCCTCAAAACTCTGCAGCCACCGATCCCTTGTCTTTTGGCATTTAATATTATTGTGGAAAAGAATATAGTTACTTTTTTTAGCATGTAGCCTTTTTTCTTTTACCAGATTGTGAAATTATTTAATCCTTGTAATACAGAAATTTTCTTAGTAGGTTTCCAGGTCACTTTTTCACTGATTTTGCCTAGAATGTGATGTTATATATACACATTTTTCTTGTTCATCACAATTCTATTCTCTTCTACTTATTTATCACTTGTATTTTATTAGTTCTAGTTTTGTCCATAGAGATACCAGTTATTTGGGGCACCTGGGTGGCTCATCAGTTAAGGGTTGGACTCTTTATTTCAGTGCAGGTTATAATCTCAGGGCCCTGAGATTGAGCCCCACATCGGCTCACACTGGGCATGGACTGTGCTGGATGGAGATTCTCTCCCTTGCCCTCTGCCCCTCCCCCCCACCTCTCTCCCTTTTTTTTTTTTCTTTTTTTCTTTTTTAAAGATTTATTTATTTATTCATAGAGAAAGAGGCAGAGACACAGGCAGAGGGAGAAGCAGGCTCCATGTAGGGAGCCTGACTTGGGACTTGATCCCGGGTCTCCAGGATCACACCCTGGGCTGCAGGAGGCACTAAATCGCTGCACCACTGGGGCTGCCCTGCTTTTTTTATAAAAAAGGAAAAGGAGAGAAATACTAGTTATCTATTTGCTAAATTGCATATTTTGTCCTCCATCTCTCTTCTGTCACTCTTTTAAGTGAAAAGAATGGTTTTGTGTGTATCCCTCTGTTGCATTTTGGGAGAATTTTTATCCTCCTTCTCACTGATTGGATTTTTCCACATCAATTCTGTATTACTTCAATGTGGATTTTAATTTTCCTACAGCATTTTAGCTTTCTTGAAATCCTCTAGTATCATTTATTTCTCTTTTATCTCGTTCTTGTGCATCTTAGCTTCAGTTGGTTTAAGAATTTCTGTTCCTATTAAGGATGTGAAACAGCTTTGTGAAATATTTTTTGGATTTTGCTGTTAACTCAAGTATACTTTCTGCGAGGTCCTCTGGATTCAATTTCCAGGTTCTAGAATATTCATTGGCTCCTTTTGTTGGTTTTTTTCCCCTCATTCTTAAGGCAAGGTCTACCCAAATACAGTGTTTGTCCATAGACCAAGAAATTGGATCACTCTTGGTTCAGTAGCTTGTTGGATCACCTGGTGGTCATAACCCCATTCAGATCCCCCATGAAAGTGCAGAATCTGTTCCCTCTTCCCCTTGAGCTGTTAAACTGATGACCTTAATGTTTCTGAACTCTACAGACATTGCTTTAATTGTCACATATTTAGGTATTATTACACCCATTCTCCACATGAGAAAACTAGGAGGTTAAGTCATTGGTCTAAGGCTTCATAGTTACAGTAAAAGGCAGACCAGGTCAGGAGCTCAAGTCTTTTGCTTCAAAATCCAGTTTCTTTCTTCTCTCCGTCCTGCATTCCTTCTAGAAAGACACGGTAGGGTGCCTGGGTGGCTCAGTCAGTTAAGTGTCTTGACTCTTGATTTCTGCTTAGGTCATAATCTCAGAGATGTGAGATCAAGCCCCACATCAGGCTCTGTGCTGGGCATTGAGCCAACTTAGGATTCTCTCTCTCTCTCTCCTTCTTCATCTGCCCCTCTGCCCCCACTTGCACATGAGCTCTCACTTTCTCTAAAAAGAAAGAGAAAAGAAAGACATGACAGCTAACCGAAAGAACATATCAGAACTCTATCCTCCAAAAAAAAAAAAAAAACAACTCTTCTCCCCCAGTAGTGGTGGTTACAATGATTCTGCTGTTAAATAAACATATCAGTCCTTTCAACACCAGAGGGACTGTTACAAGAAGAGATGGAGAGGGCAGAGCAGGTATAGCCAGATAAACTGTAATGGGTTTAGAGCACATGCCTCGAAAGAGGTCAACCTAGGTTAATAGCAAATAGCCATGTTAACACACTTACTGCCTTCAGATCATGGTGTTCTTACCGCAGAATGTGGAACAGTAACGAAAGCAATAACCATGATCTGGCAAAATATTGTCAGTGATCATTTTCTAAAAGTATCACACTACAGGGGTGCCTGAGTGGCTCAGTCTGTTAAGTGTCCAACTCTTGGCTTCCACTCAGGTCATGATCTCAGGGTCCTGGTATTGAGCTCCAAGTAAGGCTCCCCTCTCAGCGAGGAGTTTGCTTCCCCACTCCCTCTCCTTCAGGCCCTCCCCCTGCTCATGCTCTTTCTAAAATAAATAAATCTAAAAAAAAAAAAGAGGCCAGCCCAGGTGGCTCAGCGGTTTAGCGCAGCCTTCAGCCCAGGGCCTGATCGTGGAGACCAGGGATTGAGTCCCACATCAGGCTCCCAGCATGGAGCCTGCATCTCCTTTTGCCTGTGTCTCTGCCTCTCTCTCTGTGTCTCATGAATAAATAAACAAATAATCTTTAAAAAAAAAAAAGAAGTAAAAAGATTCTTTGAAAGTATCATGTTATGGTCATACCACACTGCACGCACCCGATCTCATCTAAATGTATCAGAAATATGCTCTGATGTATTAATAGGGAGCTCATCGTTTTGGTAAAATTATGGGACAAATATTTCCGTGGTAGTATTCATGTATGATAACTTTACAATTGATCTGATTTAAATATTTTTATACGGAGGACCTTTGAAGAATAAACAGAGATTAGATATTAGTGATTTGTGACACTTGAGGTCCAGAATCCTAGCTTGTCTACAGAATTATCCTAAGTGGGAAATGATCACTTTAGTCTCCCATATAAAGTGATTTGCATTGTTTTTTTTTTTGCATTGTTTTTTACCAAGACTAAGACACCCTCAAATAGAAATATTTCTATCCTAGACTTTTACTTGAACTTAGTCTGCTTTCTGCTTTCTGTGGCAGCTATTCATCCTGCACCCCCATGTCACCACCCTGCTCATGCTGATCTTGTAAGTACTTCCCTTGATGGTACACATCTGGGATTAGTCATCTCTGTCATTCCTGGTGGATCCTCCCGGAATGCCACTCTGGATATAGCTTTTGCATAAGGAGAGGAAGTACTTAAGTGCAGGAAAGAACCAGATTGAATGAATGCTTTATTGATGACATTTTTAAAGCCTACTTTGGCTTTCATGTTGTTGTAATTATCATTTGTTTGTTGGTTGTTTATTCCCTGCTTCATTCCAAAAAGGACTTGTGACATCTTACAAAAGTATATGCTATGCAATGAAATTTAAATTTCTTTTAGGGGGAAAAAACTGAGTGAAAGGAAAATAAAAGTGGAGACTGCATAATCTGCAAAATTTCACATTCAAGAAATTTCTCAGCCTTTTTTACTTTGTGTCCTACATAGAAACCTTTCAGTGGATGTCTGAAGATAGATTTACACTTATTTGACCCACTGCAAAAAAAAAAAAAAAAAAAGCATTTCTTGTGTGAAAGAGAGCAGCGATGAAGCCAAAATCCCTTGAGTCAGTGTTTTCTAAGCGATGTTCTACAAAATAGTAACCAACGTTCCTTAAAATGTTTCCAGAAGGAAAGAAAACAAAGATTTTTGACTGTAGGACTTCTCAGAGCCTTTCTTATGACCAACCCTAACCACATCCCACCAGCTTCAGCATTTTCACACTGTAGTCTAAGCCACCATCATCTCCTGGCCAAACTTTGCATCTGCCGCCTGCTCATCTCCCTCCTTCTGCCCTTGGCTGTTTTTTGTCAGTTCTCAACATAGCAGTCAGAGGAGCAGGTCAGCTCATCCTGCTGCTTCTCAAAGCCCCCAGTGTCTTCCCATCTCATTCAAGGTAAAATCATACTCTTCTCCGTTGCCTGACATATGCATGCTCTCCCCAACCCCGTCCCTCATTCCCACCCCCATCCCCAGGATCTTTCTGCTCTCCCCCATATCCAAGTTCTGTTCATCTAGCTTCCTGTTCTTCCTCAGACAAACCCAGCAGGTTGTTACCTCAGGGCCTTTGCACTTCTCAAATGCCTGTCTCTAATATATTGGTAGAGCTTTCTCTCTTTATTCCAACTGTCAGCAAAAATGCTGTCTCCATACATCTGAGTGCCCTATCTGAAACACACCCTTTCCTTTCATTTGCTTGCTCTTATTATTTTACTTCATGGCATTTATTTAATACATAGTATAATTTGCCCCCACCACTAAAATGAAGGTGCCATGAGGGCAAGAACTTCACTCATTTTGTTCATTGCCATATACCTGCTTCCCCAAAACATAACTTAGCATGTGGTAGATGTTTAATTACAATTTATTGAATGGTTGATAATAAATACACTAATGTAAATTATGAACCTAAAAGAGGGTAACATAGTATGCCACTTTTTCAAAACTGAGTACTGAATCTATTTGAAAAAAATGCCCATTGAGATCTCATGGGATGTGGGAGTACCAGAATAATTTTGGAAACACTGCCTTCATTTTCATTTAGTAAAATGGGAGGATGGGGTAACTGGGTGACGGGCATTACAGAGGGCACATGATGAGATGAGCACTGGGTGTTATACTGTATGTTGGCAAATTGAATTTAAATAAAATATTTTTAAAAATCAGATTCAGCCTTTTCCTGTACGCCCCTTTCAGTCCAAGACCCTATGCCATTCCATCAGCCCGTTTCCTTCAGCACTGCCCAGAGTCACATGGCAGGTCCTGTCAGTCACCTGGGTGCCTACCAGCCGCCCTCTCTCTGTCACGCCAGCGCTCCCCAGTTCTGCACCCAAAGCACAGTCTGGGCAAGTTTTGGTAGAAGTGACCTCAAGCCCCAAAGAGAGCACCCACACAGAGGTCGTCACCACTCACCTACAAACATCATTTCAGGATGCCTCTGATCAGGTAAGTACAGAAAACTGAGGTCACACTAGGGACCTTTGTGACCCTGTGAACGTACTTCTATTCTTTCCTCTTATTTTGCTGATGCTTCAAGAATAGTGATGTGAGAAAGGGGCCTGGTTCACCCTTCACGTCTGAGCAGAGCTCTGCCTAACAGTGCCTGATGGACAAGCATGTGCTCCAGTTAAAAGCAAGCACTGAACAAGCCCATGGGAATATTCCATGATGGGTTTTTTACCCCCTTCAGTATATTAATGTCTTATTTTTATTTAATGCTATTGTATTTAGTGCTTCAGATGGGGAGGGCGCTTTGTCCACCTGCCACAATTGTCCAGCAGTAGCACACCCTTCTGGACTGTTCTCCTCCTCACCAGCTCAGCACTCCTTTCCCCTTTGTGCCCTTCTCCCCACAAACTTCAAGAAAAAAAAGAAAAAAAAGAAGAAAAAAAAAAAGCAAAGCCACCCTGATAATGTTGACTGAAGAAAATCATCCTACTTCTTACCTTTTTTAAATTTAACACAAGCCCTACTTACATGCAATCTAACTGAAAGATAATCCTGTTTGTGCTGGATCTGCTCTCAGCAGTAATTGGAACTAGTTGTTCACTATTGTTTCGGCTAGCATTGTGTTCTCCTGGCAGAAAAATTGATCTACAGTAGCTTCAACAGAGTGCTTTGTTTTCCTTAAACAAAGAGAAGTCTGAAGTGTAGAATACCCAAAAAGGCCTGCAGATAAATTATTAGAAACAGTAAGAGAATTTATCAGTGTTGCTGAATACCAGATTAATATACGGAAGCTAGTTGTACTTTTACATGTCAGCAGCAAGCAGTTAGAAAATCAGATTTTTTTTTTTTTTTAAGATAGCAGAGGCTCGGGGATCCCTGGGTGGCGCAGTGGTTTAGCGCCTGCCTTTGGCCCAGGGCGCGATCCTGGAGACCCGGGATCGAATCCCACGTCAGGCTCCCAGTGCATGGAGCCTGCTTCTCCCTCTGCCTATGTCTCTGCCTCTCTCTCTCTCTCTGTGTGACTATCATAAATAACTAAAAATTAAAAACATTAAAAAAAAAAGCGGTGGCTCAGTCAGTTAAGTGTCCAACTCTTGATTTTCCTGAGATAGAGCCCTGCACTCAGTGGGGAGCCAGCTTGTGGTCCCCCCTCTCCGCTGCCCCTCCCCCTCCCTTGCACATGGTCTCTCGCTTAAAAAGGAAAAGAATAGCAAGTACCTCGGAGTAAATCTAACCAAAGATGAGCAAAACTTGTATGGAGACGACTATAAAGCTTTATTAAGAGCCATTAAAGAAAGGCAAGGTAAATTGATAAGATCTACCGTGATTCATCCCAGCTCTAAAACCTCAAGCCATCCTCAGTGTCCTCCCTGGATGTAGCTAGAATGGCATTAAATAAGACCTGACCTCCACTGGAAAACATGCAGTTGGGTAGCAGCTGGGTCTCACTCATACCTTTATTCCTGCTTATTTACTGGGTGGTCCTCAATTCTAAGATCATTCTGTAACTAATCCAACCTCCTACAAACCCTGTAAATTAGAAATCACCTTCTTCAGTTGTGTAGATTGACAAGGGCTGGATCATGACTGACTTTAACCACTCTAACTCCTGAGTCTAGCTGCGCACAGTAGGCATTTAATAAAGGCTTACTGAATACTAACTGAATTGAGCTGCAATGGAAAGGAAAATGCACTAAGAAATGCACTAGAAATGCACTAAGTAGCTGCTGTAAATAGAGATTATCTCAGCTTGGGACTTCCATCCAGTTCAAAAGCCTCTTAAAGTTTTGGGATCACATCCAGAGATCTGGGTTTGTTTTCTCAGTTTCTGCCGCCCACCTCCTGCCATCTGGAATTTCAAATACTCCCATCTTGAGCATGAACTCTTGAATTGAGGGACATAAGCCAGTGGGAACCCTGAGGAGATAAGCATACTTCTGAATAGAAAAGTTTGTTTTTGTTCTTTTGATTTCAAGGTGTTGCCCTCAGTTGGATCATGGCCCTGAGATTTAAACTTCTCTTATAAGTCGTATTTCCAGACCCATCTGTCCCCGTATCAGTCATTGTATGACCTTGAGATCTGTTCCTCTACTGTATGGAAGAGGTGAAAATTCTATGCACTTGGAGAAAATCTTCTGAAAGTAGTAACTCTTACGGGGAGTCTGTGATTCATTGAGTTTGTAAGGTTATCCGAGGTCAATTCGTGTTAAAACAATGTCTCAAACTACTTAAGTGCAATCATTTTCTATAAATAATTTTGGCAGAATCCTTCGTCCCCAACAGGTCATATATGAGACAGCAAGGAACTTGAACAAAGCAATTCATGGTTTGCAAACTAACAGCAAACTACAGACAGCTTGTGAGATGCTCCAGAAACTGACAGCCTTAATCCCAGAATTTTCTAAGTCAGCTCAGGTAAGCAGACGGTGATCAGTAGGAAACAAGGTATGAGAAAGGGGGAAGCAAACCAGAGAAAAAGTATGTAAGACAAAATGCATAATCTGGAGATGGTGCCCTGTGTAGAACTTAGTCTTACACACTATTTTGTGGAGACTCAGTTATTAGCCACGTATTTGTACCTTTACCTCTGAAGATTGCAAATCAAGTAATCAGTGATGACCTTCTCAGATATGCTTATTTTCTTTTGTTCATTTATCAGGTTACTGCCTTTCTGATACATTCGTTAGACATCACGGCAGACAGAAATAGATCCAGTCCTGGCCCGAGATAGAGCAGTTCAGCTTTGAAACAGATGACGGCCCTCACTGCCCCATCTGCCAAGTTATTCCCAGTAATTATTCATGCCTGTCTCTACTCCCTACACATAAGGAAATTAAGAGACTAGGATTCCAGAGAATTTTCATTTTTTCTTTTCTATGTCCTGCATTTTCAAATATTTTGCAATAAGCCTATAAATGTAATCTGTGCTGGTTTATTTGGCCTTTTTTTTTTTTTTTTTTTTTTTTTGAGACAGAAAAAGAGGAGCAGGGAGAGGGAGAGAGAGAATCTTAAGCTGGCTCCATGCCCAGTACAGAGCCCTGATGCAGGGCTCGATTTTAGGACCCTGAGATCATGACCTGAGCCAAAATCAAGAGACGCTTAACCAACTGAGCCACCCAGGTCCCCCTATTTGGGCTTCTTAATTATGGACATAATGTAGGCTTATTATTTAAAAATCTGAACATAAGCATATAGTTATAAAGCAAAAACCCTCACTATCTGTGTCCTTCTTGCTAATCTCATTCTCTAGATATACTTGCTGGTATCAGAGTATTACTAATTTGTTGTCATAGCCTGCCAGACTTTTTTCTATGCATATACAAGTTTGTCGTTTTAACAAAAATGGGGGTTAAAATATACAAATATTTCAGCCCCTTAATTTTTTTTTTTAGTTAATGCTGTGTCATGGATATCTTTTTGTGTCAGTACACATAACCAAACCAATAATTCTTCATGTGCACTTGGACGTTTTTTGTCTACTCTTGCTAATAGCATTCCCATGAACATCCATGTCCCTACATCACTAAGTACTTATGCAAGTGTTTCTATTTAATAGAGTGCCAGAGATTGAAGTGAGGGGCTTTTGGGACTCCTGGGTGGCTTAGTTGGTTAAGCAGCTACCTTCAGCTCAGGTCATAATCCTGGGATGAAGCCCTGCGTCAGGCTCCTTGCTCAGCAGGGAGCTGAGTGAGACCCAGCTCCTATCCTCATTCTCCCTCTGCTGCTCCCCCTGCTTGTGCCCTTTCTCTTTTTCTCTCTGTCAAATAAATAAAATCTTAAAAAGAAAGGTGGGGGGCTTTTGCATTTTCCGTAGATGACAAAATTCTCTCTTAAAAGGTACTGTTTTGGGGTGCTTGAGTGGCTTGGCTGGGCATCCAACTCTAGATTTTGGCTCAGGTCATGATCTCAGGATCATGAGATGGAGCCATGCTGAGTGTGGAGCCTGCTTAGGATTCTCTCTCTAACCCCCCACCCCCACCCCTCTCCCCTCTCTCTTACACACACACACTCTTTCTCTGTCTCTAAAATAAATAAACAAATGAATGAATGAATAATTAGGCACCGTTTTACATGTCTACCAACCATTGTCCCACACTCTCCCAATTTCGAAGGCAAGAAAGAAAGAAAAGGAGAGAGCGGGATCCCTGGGTGGCGCAGTGGTTTGGCGCCTGCCTTTGGCCCAGGGCGCGATTCTGGAGACCCCGGATCGGATCCCACGTCGGGCTCCCGGTGCATGGAGCCTGCTTCTCCCTCTGCCTGTGTCTCTGCCTCTCTCTCTCTCTCTCTGTGACTATCATAAAATAAATAAAAATTAAAAAAAAAAAAAGGAGAGAGCATTTTATTGATTACTAAGGAGGTTGAACAACATCGTATATATTGATTGACCACGTGCATTTCTCTTCTCAATTGCTTCTTCATGTCCTTGTCCATTTTTCCCCTGAACACATTGTCATTTTTCTTACATGTTTGTAAGAGAGCTTTATTTACTATTGATATTGGCCTTTGGATACATGTATTGCATATATTTTGTGCCTATGTCTTATTTTTAATTTTGTTTATTGGATCTTTTTTACGCAGAAGTTTTTAAATGTTACTTTGAAAACAAAAAAAGATTTAAAATCCAAAATAGTAGAACCTACCGGGGATATTCCATCAATTTGCTTGACCTTTCTACTTGTTTTGCATAAGAACATCCTATAGAAAGGAGAATTGGGGTTTTCTGTTTCATTTAGAACTCTGCTTGTTCTCTGTGTTGTCAATCTTGAATGTTTTTGAGGCCCGAGTTGCAAGGGACAGTGTACTCAGTGTTCCAGCCAGTACTGGTTTTTCTCTCTTTTTGGCTTAGTTTTGTTAATTAGGTTTTTGATCTACTTACCACTCCAGGGAGGGTTCTCTCGGTTCCTTAGAATAACAGAAATACTAATCCTCCCTAGAGGTAATATGTAAGATATTTTCTTTTCCTGCCAAGTTGTAATAGTGCTTTTTATAAAATGTGTTTGAAATGCATAAAGAACATCGAACTCCTTATTAGAAGAACACAAATAAATTTTTTTAAAAGTCTGAAACAAAAAAATAAAATAAAATAAAATAAAATAAAATAAAAATAAAAGTCTGAAACAGCTCAGGGATGTGTGTTTGCCTCCTAAAACTCCCAGGTCAGTGTCATCAGTCCTCTTGTGGACCTGAATGAGCAGCTACCTGACAGTGCATCTCAGAGCAACGGCATTCGGGGCTTTGAAAACCCTGTGACTGTCTGCCTCATTCACTCCCTTGACGATGTAGTAGAAGCTGGTAAGGCCAGTCTGCAAAGATCCAAACATGACATTAAGCAGGTGGGTACAGGAGCTGCTGATATGGAACTCATTTTGGAAAATTATTAATCTTGGGGTGCCTGGGTGGCTCAGTTTTTTGAGAATCCTACTCTCAATTTTGGCTCAGGTTGTGACCTCAGGGTTGTTAGGTGGAGTCTGGCATTGGGCTCTGCCCTCAGTGGGGAGTCTGCTTGAGATTCTCTCCCTCTCCCCCAACTCATGCAAACACACTCTGTCTTTCAAATAAATAAATCTTTTTTTTTTTAATGATTTTATTTATTTATTCATGAGAGACACAGAGAGAGGCAGAGACACAGGCAGAGGGAGAAGCAGGCTCCACACAGGGAACCTGACGTGGGACTCAATCCCGGGTCTCCAGGATCAGGCCCTGGGCTGAAGGCAGCACTAAACCACCAGGCCACCAGAGCTGCCCTCAAATAAATCTTAAAAAACAACAACAACAAAATGATTCTCTCTCTCCATCTGTCCCGTCTCTCTCCCTCTAAAAAAAAAAAAGAAAAAAGTCAGGTCCAGGGCAGCTTATAATATGGGACAAAGAAATATGTCCTTGGGTGGTCTCTTAATAAAAGGATGGTGAGTCTTTAGCCAAACCAAAAGTACTTTCAGTGGGTCCTTTCCAAAGAATGTCACCTTTCATTACGTCACTGTCAAGGTGTTTGTCCCTTACTGACCCCTCCAAAACCATTATCCACTGAGGTTGCTCGGCTCACATGGTGTTTCCTTCTAAAAGCAGGTAGAAAATACGCTGGAAATGGCCTTGCTGGCTCTTGGGAAGATCCAAGAAGCGTTCCTACAACAGAACCGGTTTTCTGAGTCTTTAGTGACTTTGACCTCTTCTGTTGCTACCCTGGTGCTGAGCAGGTAACAGAGGAGCAGGGAAAGGTTCATTTTAGGTTTTTGAACTTTAGAAAAGACATAGAAATTGATTTCCATTTAATTTCTCCTTTCTTAGCCAAAACATGTCAACCTGGCCTCTGAGCTCCTACACTCTTGGGTCTCCAGCACTTGTGAGGTTAGGCTTTCTATCAGCTTCAGCACTGGAAGAGGTGTTGAACAGACACCCGGGAGTTAATGTCCAAGTAAGTGTGAAATTGATTCTGATCCGAATGGAAATGGGATTGATGGCTGCAGGCATTTCAATGCATCATGCAGGGGGTGCACCGTAAAATATAAGCTGACCAGACCAAACAAGAGAAGGCTGGGTGCCATGGATTTCTACTTTATGGTGGCAGGGTGGAGGCCCCCTAAAAATGATCCATGGTAGAGGTTGAGAGCATTAAACAGACTTCTGGATTTGACAGTTTCTGTGTTATGGCTTGAATTGATCTAAACAGCTTATGTATATACAAAGCTGGGAATATCTGCATAAAAAGTTTTGTTTTGTTTTGTTTTTTTTGCTAAAGATTTTATTAATTTACCTGAGAGTGCAAGAAAGAGCAAAGGGAGAGGGAGAAGCAGGCTGAGCAGGAAGCCTGACATGGGCTCGATCCCAGGACCCCAGGATCACAACCAGAGCCAAAGGCAGATGCTTAATAGACTGAGCCACTCAGGCACCCTCTGAATAAGTATTAACTCAATATATGACTTAGCCATATCAGTATATTGTATTTCTTTCAGCGGTTACTTAACAGATAAGATTGGTGCCTTATCCTGGAGAGCAGAATATTTCCTAGTAATCATGAATCCTCCAGGTATAAAGATGTAAAAAATAATAATAATAATAATTCTGAGGGTCACAAGTAAATGACTCATCTTTAATTCTTTCTCATATGTTCTAATGAGAAATATAATTTCATTTGAGATATTGGCAAGGAGAAAGATCCCAACATTTCCTTTATTTTTTGCTACCTGACACCTTATTACCTATCAGAGTATCATTTCCAAAGATTTCAGCGGTTGATGAAATAAGTTTTCTTGTCTCTAGGTAACAGGACTAGCTTTCAATCCCTTCAAGGATTTTGATGACAAGAACATTGTTGGAAACATCGGAAGTGTGTTGCTAAGCTCTAATCAGAAATTGTTTCAAGTCCATGATTTAATGGGAGATATTGAGGTATGACTTGATTATCAGGGAATGAAAGAGAAGGGAATAGGAATTCTTGGAGAACAAGATGGAAGAAAGTTATTTTAAATTCATGGCAGTGCCATTATTTGATTATTCACATCTTCACTTGGGAACTTCTACAAGGAGCTTACCTTACCCTTAGGAGAAGGTGTTTTAGGTCTGAGATTGTATATTGTCCCTTGATCCCTGGCTCTATATTACCTACTGATACTCAGGGAGGAAGACCTAGGAAGCAACATTCCATTATCACTAGAAAGGAGACTGAAAGACAAATGGATGGACCATCTTGAACTTGAAGATTGATTATCTCATTCTAGATCACGCTGTGGAGAAATGTTAGCATGGAAACCCATCCCACCAGCCTCAACGTGACCTCAGATCATTTTATTATCATAATGAACATCACTTCCCTGGAGAAATCCCTGATCGTGTGCGTAGAACCTGAAAGTCCCCTTTTAATGACACTCTACCTGGGGTTCCAGTATCAGCCTAACCACACCCGCTTTGATCTGAACATCACCCTTCCAAAGGATCAGGTGTGGCAAAAAGGTAAAACTTCAATCAGAAACTTATTTTGAAAGGCATTTCTTCTTTTTTTTCTCTCTCTCTCTCTCTTTTTATTTTGAGATAAGTGTAGATTGTCATGCAATTGTGAAAAATAAAACAGATCTCATACAATTCACCCAGTTTCTCCTAGTGGTGATATCTAGCATAAGTATAGCACAATATCAAAACCAGGAAATGACACTGATACAAAGCATTGGCCTTATTTGGATTCATCAGTATTACAAGCATTTGTGTATGTGTGTTTATTCTGTGTAATTTTATCAAATGTAAATATACATGACCATGAAATGCATTTTTCAAAAAGATGGATTGTGGAATGGATCAAGATATATTTGTGATAAAGCAAATTTTAGTAAAATTTTTTTTAAGTTATACTTAAGTAATCTTTACACCCCATGTGGGGCTCAAACTCATGACCTCGAAATCAAGAGTCACATGCTCTTCTGACTGAGCCAGCCAGGTGCCCCAAATTTAAAGTAAAATGCTAATTATAAAATCTGTTTAGTGATGATATGGGTGTTCACTTTAGAATAGTCAATTTTTTCTATGGTTGAAAATTTCCATAATGTGGAGAAGTAAAAGTCCAGCACAGTGTATTTTATATATATTTCAAACTATTTCTAATCTTATGTTTGGGTAAGGACAAAGCTGTCTTAGTAAGTCTTGGTGTAATATCAGACTGACTTCATTCAGTGTGGCTTAGAATAGTTAAGAATCTCTGTGATACATAGATAGGACCTAGATATACTTGACTGAAATACATAGTCACTGGATATCAACTTTAAATGTAGTACTGGGGGTGGGTGGGTAGGGAGACAGGGTAACTGGGTGAGGGTCATTAAGGAGGGCACGCGATGTGATGAGCACTGGGTGTTCTATAAGACTGATGAATCACTGAACTCTTACCTAATAATATAGTTAATTGAATTTAAATTTAAAAAATAAAATTATTCGAAAGCTAACAACAACAACAAAATAAATGTAGTACTGGGAAGTCTTAAAGCTACCCTTTGCATTTTAAAAAAATGGGGTGGAGGGAGAATAATCCAAATGGATAAAGCATGTTATAGTCTCCTTTTATTACTGTCTTTCTCGTTGAACGAGCTCTGGCTCTCGTGGAGGCATCACTAACACAGGAATGGTCACTTCTTAGGTGCTTCTTGCCCTTAGAGCACCTGAAGCAGCACCTCTCACTACAGGACTGCCAGCTAGAGTTCTATCTGCATTACCAGCAGGTTCTATCCCGATTCACAACAGGCACTCCATTTTCCATGTCAATCTTGACTGTATCCTGTCAATTGGAGCCAGAAGGGATCTTAGACAACCTTTGGTCCAGAGTCCTCATTCGAAAGGAGAAAACTAGGGAGGTTGTGTGACTTGCCTTAGCCCTTACCAGCCCCTGGGTGAGAGAGCCAGGCCTGGAATCAGGGCTCTTTCCTGGAACTACCCTGTTCCCATCCTTGCTTCATTGTTGGGCTTCCTTTGTCAGCTAGGTCTTGCAGCTACTCATCTTGATGTGTGATTATTTCATATTTCTAAAACTCATAATACATTCTTATTCATTAGACCTAAATCTTCATTTATCAAGAGAATACGACTTCATATTGGAACAGGAATAATCCAGAGCCCCAGGTTTTATCGCTGGTCATTTTCCTAAAATCATTTGTGGGGAAAAAAAAATCATTTGTGGGGCGCCTGGATGGTGCAGTCGGTTAAGCGTTTGACTCTTATTTTCGGCTCAGGTCGTGATCTCAGGGGCTTGAGATTGAGCCCCACGTTAAATCTTAAAAAAGTGAAATCACTTGTAATTCTAGTCTTAGTCGATTCCCCATTTATAAAATAAAATAATGATAGGAGTGCCTGGGTGGCTCAGTCAATTAAGTGTCTGCTTTTGGTTCAGGTCGTGATCAGGTCCTGGGATCAAGCCCCACATTGGGCTCCCTGCTCAGTGGGGAGTCTGCTTCTCTCTCTCCCTCTGCTTGCTCTCCCTCTGCTTGTGCACACGCCCTGTTGCTTTCTCTTTCTCTCAAATAAATAAAATCTTTTTTAAAAGTTAAAGTAATAATAATAATTGACCATAAGGAAGGTTCTGATGGTCCTTTTGTCCCATTTGAAATGCAACTAAGCACCGTTCTCTGTTCTCAGATGAGGAATACACATGGGTATTGACTCCAGAGAGTCTGCAGTATAGGATTGGCACCTACCACATAACAGCCACGTTGAATAAAAGCAAGGAGAGTGCCCAGCAGACGCCCACCCTGTTCTCAGTGGTAACTGCCGTCACTCAGTGTTATTTCTGGGACAGCCACAATAGCACGTGGAAGAGCACTGGATGCCACGTAAGAAACCATGCCACTTCCTCTTTCTTTTCTGCCTGAGCTGGCAAGAAATGCAGAGCATCTGTTACCTCGTTTGGGGGCACAGAAAGAAAAATCATTGGAAGGGAAGTAAATTAGCCTGGGAGAAAGAAGGATTACGTGTAGTGGGCCAGGAAAACGTGCCTCTTTGGAGCAGGCGTATGTTTCGTGTTTGTAATTTCTCAAACATCAGTTCAGGGTGAATCTGATGATTCTAGGCAAAATAAGCAATATGTAGACGTTAAATTCTACAAATATTAAATAGGTTGTGGGTAAAAGGAAAACTTCCTGCTTAGTAAAAGAGAACTTTAAAAAAAAAAATAAGCTAATAAGTTCTTGTACGTTCCAGGCTAGGCAGGTACTTGTCAGATGGTTATCTAGGTCCAGGTGTGTGCCCATGTTAAAGTGGTGCTCCGCATTCTCACACCGGTGAATTTGTGTGATCCCCTCTGATTTAAGTTCTGGTTCAGTTGCACAAAGACTGTGGTGCAAGGTTCTGGAAATCATGAGGCGGTTCGTAAAAGAGCCGACAGAGGGTCATTCACGTGGGAATTAGAGGGAACGAGGATGCTCTGGAAGGCACCTATGCCATTCATGGCCTCAGCAGTGATTTCTGGAACATCTGGAGCAGTGCCTCTCAAGCAAATCCTCTACCTGGCAGCCTGTTAAATTGCAGATTATGTTGTAGTGAATCAGGGCAGGACCTGAACTTCTGCCTTCAGGCTCCCAGGTGATGTCAGTGCTGCCAGTCAGGGAGATGGCACTTTGAGTACCAAGACTCACCCAACAATGACCCCACTGCTCACGAAAGGCATGAGAAGGTGGGGTTCCTGCCTCCTTGAAGCCCCGCACAGTGCTTGGACCCTGTGCAGGGAACAGAGCTGCACAGAGCAGGATGAGACTTCCTCCCAGGGCAAGAGATAGACCCGGCATCCAAAACTGAACCTTGTGTCTGGAGAGCAGTCAGTCATACTGACAGTATTTTAGGCTTTTCATCTGCACCATCGAACGTGGAGTTGGCACCTTCCATTTGATTGCCTAGTGACATTTAAAAATATGTATATTTTTAAAGATTTTATTTATTTATTCATGAGAGACACACACACACAGAGAGAGAGAGAGGCAGAGACACAGGCAGAGGGAGAAGCAGGCTCCATGCAGGGAGCGTGACGTGGGACTTGATCCCAGGACTCCAGGATCATGCCCTGGGCTGAAGGCAGGCGCCAAACCACTGAGCCACCCAGGGAACCCTAAAAAAATATTTTTGATGAAGAAATGTTACCATATGGAATGTTATAGGGAATAATATAATAAAAACATTGAACACTGTTCAGCTGTATCACAAAGTTAATATTTTGCTCTATTTAGTTCAGATTTTTAAAAATAATAAAACCTGCAGGAATAACCAAAGCCCTTTATGTATCCCCTCAGTTTTTTTTTTAATTTAAAGATTATTTATTTATTTAGAGAGAAAGCACAGGTAAGGAGAGGGGCAGAGGGGGACAGAATCCCAAGCAGACTCCCCGCTGAGCGTGGAGCCCAGCATGGGGCATGATCTCATGGCCCTGATATTATGACTTGAGCCGAAATCAAGAGTCAGATGCTTTACTGACTGAGCCACCCAGGCGCCCCTGTATCCTCCTTAGTCTTTTCTCCTCCATCTCACCAGAGCGTGATCACTGTCCTGAGCTGGCACGTGTATTCATTCTTCCAGCATGTTCACCCGGCATCTTCTACATGCCAGGCCTACATAACTAGAGTTAGAGTGGACAAAACAGCAGCCTCACGAGCTTTTGTTGCAGCAAGGGAGCCTGACAAACGCAGATACAGGAGTGTTGTTTTGCTTGTTTCTGGTCTCTGCATCCTGCATCAACAGCATCATCTGTACCTTTAACTTGGATCTTTCACTCGGCATTTATGCACGTTGCGCTATCTAGCTCTAACTCATTCATTTTGACTATTATAGAGTATTCCATCCTATTCAGTCGTAGTCCTCTACTTCTTTGTTTGCATGTTCTGCTGTCACTAGGCACGTATATGTAGGTTGTTTCTGATTTTTTTAGTTACAAACAATGCCGACACATCTACTTGTGCACATGTGCAGAGTTCTCGGGTGTGTGTTCGGACCTGGAATGGCAGGATAAGATTCAGAGAGTTTGTGCTTCTTCAGCTTTAGCAGAGGTTGCCAGATGGTTCTCCATGTTGCTTACACCGGTTTACACAATCACTGGGGGTGAAGACGTGACTGGAACATCGTTTTCCCTCTCTCAGGCGCCTGTGTTTGTGTTTCATGTTCGTTGTGTTGATTCTCATTGCAGGTCGGGCCACGGAGCACGGTTTTGAGGACACAGTGTCTCTGTAACCGCCTGGCCTACTTTGGCAGTGACTTCTTCATTGCACCCCGGACAGTCAACGTTGAAGACACGATCAAGCTGTTCCTTCGCGTGACCACCAACCCTGTCGGGGTGTCTTTGCTCATAAGCCTTTTAGGCTTCTATATGCTCACATGTGTGTGGGCTTGGAGAAAGGATCAAGCAGACATGCAGAAGGTCAGGAGACTTTGATTCCAGAAGCTTTGCCACAGTGTCTTGAGTATGTTGAACAAGATGGAAAACCCATTCACCAGAAGAGGCTGGTAGCGTCGAACAAGGTGGCATAGAAATTCAAGGAAGACTTTTTTCCTTCAATTTCTCTTCATGTCTCCTTGTCTCAGGGCTTAGCAACTTCACACTTTGTCTCTCTCTCTCTCTCTCTCTTTTTCTTTCCTTTAGTGGAGGTTAAACCCTCCTATGATTCATTTAGGTTAGGAATAAGCCAGAACATCTAGAGAACTTAGCCAAAATCAAATTCAAGTTTATCTCACTTTATACATTGGATATGAAAGTTATGTGGGAGTGAAATTATAATTTCATGTAACTGTGTTATATAAGAAACCTCTAAGGAATCTCTTTTTGGAATAACAACAACAAAAATCCCTTGATGACAGCCTCTTCTATGCATTTCTTATTCTTATGTTTCCTTACACTTAGAAATTCTAGAATACACGCTGTCCATTTCTTTGATGCTATGGGTATAGAGTTGCCAGTTTTAGTAAATAAAAATATAGGACACCCAGTTAAATTTGAATTTCATATAAATAGTGAAGACATTTTTAGTATAAGTGCACTCGCATATGATTCCTCGTTTATCTGAAATTCGCACTGAACTAGGCATCCTCCCTGTTGTGTGGTAACCCCACCCTCCTGAGAGGGGGGTGGAAAGATTTCGAAGCCCAAGACCTGATCAGCTGATTCTATGAATATTTCATTTTAGAGGCGTTAACCCAGGCCCTCCAGCCCTCAGCCCTGTTCCATCACTTAGGTCTGCTTGTTTATCTACTATCCGCATGCACATCACTCTTGCTTTCCACCAAGTTGCCAAAGCTGGAGGTGTGCACCCCCCTCCTGAGATGAAGATCCTTCTTGGTTCTGCATTTCCTGCAGGTGAAGGTCACCGTCCTGGCTGATAATGACCCCAGCTCTCAGTTTCACTACCTTCTTCAGGTCTCCACTGGTTATCGAAGAAAGGCCGCCACAACAGCGAAGGTGAATGAAATGAATGTTCTTCACTCCCTGCCCTGTGTCTTTGACCACATGAGATACACTCTGACATGGTGACACCCTGGTGTCCAGTGGCACGTTTCAAGGGCAGTTCCTTGTTCTAAGCTGTGCATCTGCAGAGCCCCCTGCACTTGTCCAGCCCCCCAGAGACTTCACCTCAGTACAGCTCTGTCTGTCTCCCTCTCTCCTTAGGGATAAACCCAGAGAGTCCTGTTAGGACTTCCTGCATTTTATTTCTTTGTCATGTTTTAGGTGGTTATCACCCTATATGGATCAGAGAGACGGAGTGAGCCCCATCACCTCTGTGACCCCCAGAAGGCAGTCTTTGAGCGAGGGGGACTGGACGTCTTCCTCCTCAGCACTAAGTCCTCCCTAGGGGAGTTGCACGGCGTGCGGCTCTGGCATGACAATTCGGGTACCAGTCCTTCTTGGTAAGTACCTGCGCCAGGCTGCCTTGTCCTTTCTTCTCTGTGGATCTTCAGCGCTCTGGGGCAAGACTAGTGTGCCATCGCAACACACAGCAATAACGCTGTGGGCCAAATGGTAATAAATGCCTATTAGATTTAAGTTTCAAAACATTTATGAAGGAGAAACCCTGAAAAGAAATAGGGAAAATTAACAATATGATTTTGTGTGGATGGTAAAGTGATAGATGATTTTTTTCTTTTCTTTCTTTTTAAATATTTTATTTATTTATTTATTTATTTATTTGAAAGAGTGAGCGAGTAAGAATGCAAGCAGGGGGAGAGAGAAGCAGGCTCCTCGCTGAGCAGGGAGCCCAATGCAGGGCTTGATCCTAGGACCTGGGGATCATGACCTGAGCTGAAGGCAGATGCTTAACTGACTGAGCCACCCAGGTGTCCTTTTCTTTCTTTTTTTTTTTTTTTTTTTTTTTAAGTAGGCTCCATGCCTGGCTTGGAGCACGGGGCTTGAACTCATAACCCTGGGATCAAGATCTGAGCTAAGATTAAAAGTCAGATGCCTAACTGACAGAACCACACAGGCACCTCTGGACTATATATTTTAAATGGAGGCCTTTTATTGTATGTAAATTATATCTCAGTAAAGTTGTTTTTTAAGTATGCATATAGAGAAAGATCTAGAACTATATATAATAAATATAACCAATAACTATCTGAGTAGTAGGATTATGCATTTTTAAAAATTCAGTATATTTTTAGATATTTTCAAAATTGTGAACAATGAATTCTTACACTCATGTTGGATTCTTTTTCTCACACATGAAATAAGAAAGTAAGTTACAGGGACGCCTGGGCGGCTCAGTGGTTGAGCACCTGCCTTTGGCTCAGGTCATAATCCTGGGATCTGGGATCGAGTTCCGCAATGGGCTCCCTGCATGGAGCCTGCTTCTCCCTTTGCCTGTGTCTCCGCCTCTCTCTGTGTCTCTCATGAATAAATAAATAATATTAAAAAAAAAAAAGAAATACTAGGACCATAAAAAGCTCGATTCTCACCAATGAGAAAGTGGGGTTCCCCCCCTTTTTTTTTAAAGATTTTATTTATGTATTCATGAGAGACATACAGAGAGGCGGAGACACAGGCAAAGGGAGAAACAGGCTCCCTGTGGGGAACCTGATGCAGGACTCAATCCCAGGATCCTGGGGTCATGAGCCAAAGACACACACTCAGCCACTGAGCCACTCAGGTGCCCCTTTTTCTCCTTTTTTATACTTTACTCGTAAATGAAAAACTTTAACAGTGTAAGATACACGAGCTAAGCTGAAATAGAATGCACCTTAGTCACCTGTGATTTTATGAACTGCCTCAATAGGAGAGTGCCCAGAAATATTTTAGCTTTAAAGGAATATGTAGTCATCGCACAGGAAATACTATCAACTAAAGCAAAGATTTTGACTGGAGAGATTTAAGTTGCTTTATAACATGAAACATAGGCTCTCGGGGAAACAGCTTCATGACTATAAAAGAGGTGGTTAATGGACTAGTTGCAAGATGACATCAAGCAGCTTGAACAGTCAGATGTCCCAGATGTCCAAGTTCGTTGGCAGTTGAAATTGGTGGAGAAATTAGTGGAGAAATTGAATTGTTGAATTCAAGTGGAGAAAGTGAATTGGTGAAGAAATTAGACACATGGTAAACCATTATGGTTGGAAGGAGGGTGGAACCTCCAGGCCTCTGGTTCTGTCAAGATGAAGCTACAGACCCCAACAGGATGAGAAGTCATTAACATAAATGTTGCAGACCACTCCCCAGCCCTCAGGTACACCCCCCCCCCCCAGGCCCTGGTGACAGAAGATGGAGGCAGATGGGCTCATGAAGAGGTGGCAGGGCACTGGTACAAGTGAACAAGGAAAGTCAAGGGATACATACACACCCTGAACTGTTCCTAAGTTATAGATGTCGCATTCTGGCTTTGGTACATCAATTAGAGGTCCGGAAGGGAGAAATTGGATCAGCTCTTGTTTCTTTCTTTAGTTATTGCCTCACCATGAAAAGGATCCACTTACTGGCAGTGCAAAATTACTTCTTGTTACAGCAACTTGCTTGTGCCCACCTCCCTAATGTACTTATCTTCATTTTACCATAGGTACGTAAACCAGGTAATTGTCAGTGACATGGCCAGTAAAAAGAAATGGTGCTTCCTATGCAACTGTTGGCTGGCCGTTGACCTCGGAGAGTGCCAGCGTGACCGGGTCTTCATGCCAGTCTCAAAGAAAGAACTCTTTTCCTTTAGGTATTGGTGAGAAAATGGTAGTGTTCTGCAGGTCTCTACTGCTCTGTTAGTTTTTCTTCATTCTTCTTTCTGCTTCTCAGACTGGATAATTCCAGTTGAGCTATCTTCAGGTATGTTGATTCTTTCATCTGACTGCTCAGATCTACTCTGGAGCCTTTCTAGTGAACTTGGCATTTCACTTAATGTGTTTTTCAACTGCAGACTTTCTGTTTGGTTCTTTTTTTTTTTTTTTTTTTTAAGATTTTATTTATTCATGAGAGACACAGGGAGAGAGGTAGAGACAGGCAGAGGGAGAAACAGACTTCCTGCGGGGAGCCCGATGCGGGGCTCAATCCCAGGACCCTGGGATCACGACCTTTGCCAAAGGCAGAGGCTCAACCACTGAGCCACTCAGGTCCCTTATTTGGTTCTTTTAAAAAAATAATTTCTAGGGGATCCCTGGGTGGCTCAGCGGTTTAGCGCCTGCCTTTAGCCCAGGGCGTGATCCTGGAGTCCCGGGATCGAGTCCCATGTCGGGCTCCTTGTATGGAGCCTGCTTCTCCCTCTGCCTGTGTCTCTTGCCTCTGTGTGTGTGTGTGTGTCTCTCATGAATAAATAAATAAAAATCTTAAAAAAAAAAGGGGATCCCTGGGTGGCACAGTGGTTTAGCGCCGGTCTTTGGCCCAGGGCGCGATCCTGGAGACCCGGATCGAATCCCACATCAGGCTCCCGGTGCATGGAGCCTGCTTCTCCCTCTGCCTGTGTCTCTGCCTCTCTCTCTCTCTCTGTGACTGTCATAAATAAAATAATAATAATAATAATAATAATAATTTCTAGGGTCCCGGGATCAAATCCCACATTGGGCTCCCCACGGGGAGCCTGCTTCTCCCTTTGCCTATGTCCCTGCCTCTCTCTGTGTGTCCCTCATGGATAAATAAATAAATAATAATAATTTCTATATGTCTATTGATGTTTTCTATTTGGCAAGATACTATTCTCATTTACTTTCCTTTAGTCCTTTAGATATGGTTTCCTTTAGTTCTTTGAATACACTTAAAATAGCTGATTTAAAGTTTGTTTTAATATATCCAGTATCTTGGCTTCCTCAGGGACAGTGTATTTATTGCTCTGTGTGTACGCACATGCACATGTTCTTTCTTTTGGTGTCTTGTGATCTTTTGTTAAAAATTAGACCTTTTAAACAGAGTGTGGCAATCCTGGAAATCCGATTTCCTTTACCTCCCCCAGGATTTCTTGTTCTTAGAGTGTGTTATTGTTGTCTAGTGACTTTTCTGAATGAATTATGTATTCTTATTCATGGCATGCAACTGAAGTTTCTGCCCAGCTTGTTTTGTGGTCAGCTAATGTTTGGACAGAGATCTTATAAATGCCTGGAACCAGCAAATCTCCCAGTCTTTGCTGAGGGGTTTTGTGTGCATGTTGTGGCATGCTTTCAACACTCAGTGAGGCAACTGACAGCTCTGCCTTAGCCTTCACTTCCTGCTTCCCGAGAGCTTCAAGGTCATCCAGGGGTGAGAACTTAAGGCATTCTCAAGGGTTTTTTGAGCATGCACACAGCTCTGGGCATGTATTTGGCCTTCCAGATTCCCAGAAATATGTCAGAGCTTTTCAAACCTCCCATAGACTTGCTGTTTCCCAGTTTTTTTCTTTTAAGCTTTTTGGTTAGCCTGTTGCTCACCCGCCAGGGCAGACAACTGTGAAGTTAAACAATTGCCTCTAAATATTTTTTGATAGTGCCCTAGGGGAAAAGCATTTTGCAGCAGGTGAGCACCCAGTCAAGTCAAATAAGGACAGCCTTGCACGTTGGGTTTTCCAGGGAACTACCAGACAAGTCAGATAATCACAATTCTCTGGGAAGGAGGCTTTGAAGTATCTCCAATCCCATTCTGCCCTCCTCTTACTGGCAGCTGCTTTTCACTGTGATTAAAGACTGTCAGGTTATCATATAGCTAGAGAAAAGGAGATGGAACTGGGGCAAGCTACAATGCCACAGAGTTAACTGTTTTTACTGATATTCAGACATTTTTCTTAAATAACCACTCTCAGGTTGCTGTAATACTTGGGTTATTTATGTGAACTCTGAAAATTTCAATTCTGGCTTTTTATTTAAAGATTTTATTTATTTTAGAGAGAGTGTGCACAGGAATGGGGGGAGGGGCAGAGTGGGAAGAAGAGAATCTCTGGCAGACTCTGCGCTGAGCACAAAGCCCAGTGCAGGGCTCAGTCTTATGACCCTGAGATCATGGCCTGAGCTGAAATCAGAGTCAGATGCTCACCTGACTGAGCCGCTCAGGCGCCCCCAATTCTGGCTATTTATTTTTATATTTTTAAAGATTTTATTTATTTATTCATGAAAAACAGAGAAAGAGGCAGAGACACAGGCAGAGGAAGAAGCAGGCTCCCTGTGGGGAGCCCGATATGAGACTTGAACCTGGGACTCTGGAATCACGCCCTGAGCCAAAGGCAGATGTTCAACCACAGAGCCACTCAGGCATCCCAAATTCTGGCTTTTTATTTTATTTTTAAAGATTTTATTTATTTATTCATGAGAGACCGACAGAGAGAGAGAGAGAGAGAGGGGCAGAGACATAGGCAGAGGAAGAAGCAGGCTCCATGCAGGGAGCCCGATGTGGGACCTGATCCCAGGACCCCAGGATCATGCCCTGGGCCGAAGGCAGGTGCTAAACTGCTGAGCCACCCAGGGATCCCCATAAATTCTGGCTTTTTAAAAGAAGTTTTATCATTGCTGGTATGGAAGAGAGAAAATTCAGAGATATTTACTCTTTCATTTTCACGGATCCAAATGGATTTACCACTAAGAGCAATAGTAGCAGTGAGTCATATTTTGTCACTGCCCAGAAGCTTGATTCTGAAGGGGTGACATGATGAGAGCCAGGTGTTACCTGCATATGCAGTGGAGACAGATACATGACAGAAGAGCAACGCTAGGCTGAAAAGACTGATCTGATCTAAGTGCTTCTGGAAAACCTACGAGTCCTCCTTGTGAACTTAGACATTGTCTTTATTACCCTGCAATGTAAGCCCATCTCTCAAGGGGTGGAAAGGAGGCATTTCTTCTTTTATAACCCTGGAATGTCTCTGGGGAGTGGGATGTCTCCGTCTTTACAACCTGGAACTGTAAATAAAGTTGCACTAAATAGAATCACTATCTTTATCCTTCCAGGGCTGTTTATTCAGAGATACCAGAGAAGATGGGAGCACAGTCTTTATTAATCCTAGATGTGAAGTGTCAGTGGGGATCTACATTCCCAAACCGCCTCTGCTATTGCCTGTCTCCTCTCAATCTGGCTTTTAGTCTTAAAGTATGCTGCCTTTTCTCTTTTTAATATGTTCTCTTTCTCGTCAGTGTCCCAAGTTTAATTATAACTCTTTTGGTTGTGGATTTTCTTTTTTATCTTGTTTGGTATTCACACAGTACTTCAAAAAAAATGTTTTATTGTGGTAAAATACACATAACATAGAATGTACTTTGAATGTGCAGCATCATGCCTTCCAGTCTGAAAAAGGCTGACTTCGCTTATGAAAATATCGCCCCTCGGCATTCCCTGTATTGGAACCTTTCAAACTATCTTCTGTGTTTTTAAAATGGACCTGCATATTTATTGTATTTTTGTCTCTCTGCAGTTATCCTGGGTCAGTTCCGCAGTACAGCTTTTCAGTTTACTAATTTTCTCGTCTGCCATGTCTATTCCTCCTACGTTTTTCATTTTAATGACCATATTTGCAGATTTAAGATTTCAAATTAAGTCCTGTGTTTTTGTTATTTATTCTTCTTAAGTGAATGTTCCTTGACTTGTCTCTTTTAAGCAACCTGAAATACTTATTTTAAAATCTTTGTCAGACTGTTCCACAAAATTAATTTCTTCAGGACTGAGTTACTACTGTGTTGGCTGCCATTCTCCACATTCAATTTCTTCGTGTGTTTAGGAATTAGAGATTATATGTTTATTTGGGGCAGTTTTATTGTTAAATTTCTCTCCCTCTCCCTCTCCTCTGACTAGTAGTCTTGCTCCTGTTCCATGCAGTCCTTCACATCACTAGTCTAAAATTAGGTAGACCAGATTATATTACAGTAGTTTGGAGCTCCTGCCCCTCACTGGAATGAACAAAAAGTAGGGCTATTGCAGATCTTATCATGAACCAGTGTGTTTTATTGGCTCAATTCCTGCTGTTCTTTTTTCACCCACCTCCATACCTGTAAATTGGAGTCTTTTGTTACGCAGTATCCCTTCATGAGCTCTAGCCTGAACCTGGGCTCCCCTGAGGTTGGCTTTACTCTCCCTTACCCCCTCCCCAGACACTTTGAGTTCCAGGACCCTATGAGAGGCAAAGCCCCGCCTGTGTACTGCCTTCTTCCAGACCCAGGCACAGAAATCCTGTGACTTCCCTGCTCATCATCACTTTTTCTTATTCCATTTCTCCTCAGAGAGAGTTATCCTGTTTTTAAGCCCAGCCAATATTTTTTATTCTTTCTTTTTGTATCTTATTTCTAGTTCTTCCACATTTGGAGTAGAGCAGGTCCTCAAAGTATGAATTTACTGAACTATCTTGAGTGGAAACCTAATGCAAACTTTTGAAAAGCAAAAGATTTATCAAAACTCTTAGAAAGCGGGGATCCCTGGGTGGCGCAGCGGTTTGGTGCCTGCCTTTGGCCCAGGGTGCGATCCTGAAGACCCGGGATCGAGTCCCACGTCAGGCTCCCGGTGCATGGAGCCTGCTTCTCCCTCTGCCTGTGTCTCTGCCTCTCTCTCTCTGACTATAAATTTAAAAAAAAAAAAAAAAAAAAAAAAACTCTTAGAAAGCTAAAAAAAAAAAACCAAAACTTTAATTTTAAACTCTCATACCATATAAATTAACCTTATCCTCAAAAACCTTTAGTCCTAAAATCACCAGAGAATCATGCTGCTGTGTCATTTGAAAGCACCTTCAAGGGGTATAGGAGAGCGGCTGGGTGGTTGAGATAAGCCTGATGCCGGGCAAATCACATCTTCTTCTAGAACACTATCAGGATCAAAACTCACTTCTGTCCTGTTCTCATTTATCTTTGTAGACACCTGTTCTCCTCCATCATTGTAGAAAAGCTCACCCAGGATTATCTGTGGCTCTCGGTTTTAACTCGACATCCCTGGAACCAGTTCACAAGAGTCCAGAGGCTCACCTGTTACATGACCTTGCTTCTGTGCAACATGGTCATCAATGTTATGTTCTGGAGGACAAGCAGCACCACTGCCAAGAGAGACGAGCAAGGTAGGGGTGAGCCTGATGTGTGGTGTTTGTGGTGTATGATCCTGTTACTGTACTGCATCCTCCTCCTTTTCAGGGTCAGAAGCAGCCCTGCTGGGCCTTTGCTTTTCCTTTGCTGCCCTAACATTTGAATGCTTTACAGGTTTCCTCACTGTTCCCATTCATTAATGAGTGAAGCAGGCTTGGGAACACATCAGGATCTTTACTGCCACGATGATGTCCTCTCCTTAGATAATCATGGTTAAATTACCAAATAAATACCTAAACCCAGAAAAAGAATGACTGAGATGATTTCAGTTCTTGAGGATGAAGGTTGACACAATGCTCTTATTCCAGTGGGTCCATTTGCTGTGACCTGGTCCCAGGTGATCATCAGCGTCCAAACTGCTGTCCTTCTCTTCCCTGTCAATCTTGTAATTGGGCGCCTCTTCCCACTGATCCAGCCACAGGAACCCCGGCCTCTCTTTCCTCCCAGCCAAGCCTCCTGCCTCTCGGATGCTACTTTTGAGCCTCTGTCTCTCACAGAGGTGGCTGAGGTAAGCTTCGTGTCTAATTTGATAGGTAGATGGCGGGCCCTGCTTCCCATATTGTGAGAAAGGCCAGTGGACAGGATCTCCTGGAAAGCTCTCCGGTCCTATTAACCTTGATACCTTTTCTCTAACTCCTGTCCCCTGGGCCATGATGCATCATGCCCCTCATTTGTCCTCTTAATGTATTCTGAGGACTGGGTGTGGACCAGATTGTACTACTCTAGAGTTTTCATTGTTGATATTTGATCAAACTGTCTCTTCTTTCATTCGGTATTCCCTCATAAAACTAGTTTTGAAGCTACTATGAGGTGACTGCTTTTTGAAAAAGGAGAAAGAAAATGAAAAATGAAGGTTCTTTCCACTAAGCGTTTGGCTCTCCAAGTAAAGCCTTACCACCTATAACAGCTACCGGTCCTGGGTGAATGTCACACTGATTTTTCTTGTCTTGGTTTTACATTTAGGAATTAAAGGAGACTGTGGGATTCCTGCTCAGGAGAAATACATACCTACTCTCAGAGTGTGAACAATCCTTATGGACTTCTTATAGCATTAACAAGCTGGTTCGGCTTTTATCCAGCCTCATCTGTTCTCACTTAGAGCATCACGGCTCTCACCAGCAGGCAGGACCCCATCGGGCAAATGGTAAACCTCAGGTTTTAGTAACTGATCTGTTCTCTGCCTCCCACTTGCTTGCCTCTTACTCCTTCCTACCTCTTGGTGTAACCAGCAGGCGTGATACAACCTTCTGCTTATTTCACTTTGCTTAAGCTTCCAGGATAGAGGTGATAGCTTTAAGGACAATATATCTGGTGATACAAAGTAAAGGATGAAGAAAGAACCCACAAAAGTGCCCTCTGTTTTAGATCCCTTTACACTCCATCTGCTTTGTTGGGGGCTCTTGAGACTTGTCATTCTTTCTGTGGAATAGTGAGATTATGTGATTTATGGAATCTTGAATATAGTCTTCACGTCTTGGGTACTTACTGTAGTTCTCGTGAAGAAGCCCAGTTAGATTTAAATTCTTATTTGATTCTAGATCAAAGTGTAGAGTTTTAGAAATTGTTACTAATGCACTAATTCACCAGCATGCTCAGAGAAGACAATAATTGTGTCCAGTCTCCACTGATTGGTAGATTTATCCTCATCATCAGTGAATGAGTTGCTGCTCTCTGCCCATGAGCACTATCTGTTGACCCCCCACTTGCAGAAGTGTGAGCCCTGGCCTGTATTTGCAGTGGTTCCTGATAGCCACCACCATCTCTGCTGTTACCTGCTGGGAGTTGTGCAGCGGCTCCATTCTCACTTAAGTGCCGTGGGTCCCACTCAGACCGACCAGCTTTGTGACGTCCTAGATGCCACCAACCAACTGCAAAAACTCCAGAAGCTCTTGGAAACACGTGTTCTTCACCTCGAGCAGGGGCCCTCCAGGTAAGGCCCGGCACCTGGCTTCCCTGAACACCTGCTATCATCCCGAACCTCTCTCTCCCCACTGTTGGTGTTCAGATGGTTCCTTTAACCTCTCTTCTGCAGGGAGGTCACCAGTTTCCCCCTCCTGAGCCCAGAAGAAGGGAAGGAGCCCATCGCTTACAGCCTGCCCAGAGGAGTGACTTATATCTGCTGGCTCTGTCTGGGTGTCACTAGCCTGGTTGCAGCCTTTTTTACTGCACTTTACAGCCTGGAACTGACCAAAGACCAAGCAACCAGCTGGGTGATGTCAGTGATACTATCAGTGCTTCAAAACATTGTCATCAGCCAGCCAATAAAAGTATGTGAAAAGCAGATAGTATCAGCCCAGGGCCCCCTGTGGTTGCAGGTAGCTCAGAAAAATGAGATCCTTGGGTGTCAATTTAAAGTGCCTCATGGTTCTGACAATTTGACAAAAGAAAAAAAAAAAAGAAAACAACAGAAATAGGCAGAATGAAATTTCAGATATGTGTGAAGTCATGGAAAAAACTAAGGAGAACTGATGGAGTGAGTAATAGAAGCAGAGCAGAAAAAGATTGCCAAGTTAGGAAAGGTCAAGTAAAAAAATCAATCGACGATAAATTACTTTGAAAAAAAAAAACCCACCAGAAAACTTAATTTTTAAAAACTTTTCATTAAGAAAAATGTCAAGCCCACAGAAGTGTGTAGAGAATAGTGTAATGAGGGCAGCCCGAGTGGCTCAGGGGTTTAGCGCTGCCTTCGGCCCAGGGTCTGATCCTAGAGTCCCGGGATCGAGTCCCACGTTGGGCTCCGCGCAGGGAGCCTGCTTCTCCCTCTGCCTGTGTCTCTGCCTCTCTCTGTTTCTCTCAGTCTCTGTCTCTCTCTTTCTCTCTCTCTCTGTCTCTCACAAATAAATAAATAAAATCTAAAAAAAAGAAAAAATAGTGTAATGAATTCTACTATTCTGTTAGCCAGCTACAATAATTACTTCACTACCAAAAACAAGCCAGTCTCGCTTGATCTGTTTTGGGAGGGGAAAAAAAACCCTTACTTCATATCCTTTTATCTCTAAGTATTTTAGTGTGTATATATATATATTTTTTAAAATTTTATTTATTTATTTATGAGACACACACACACACAGAAGCAGAGACAGGCAGAGGGAGAAGCAGCTCCATGCAGGGAGCCCGATGCAGGACTCGATCCAGGGACTCCAGGATCAGGCACCGGGCTGAAGGCAGGCACTAAACCGCTGAGCCACCCAGGGATCCCCCTAGTGTATATATTTCTAAAAGATAAAGACATTTCTTTTAAAAACATAAATATAAAAACTATTATCACACTAATGTCTTAATATTTACACAGTATGAACATACCTTATACTATGAAAAGGTTAAGATGGTAAGTTTTTGTTATCTGTATTTTATCACGTTTTTTTAAAATCAATGTTCCAGTTTTCCTAGTTGTCTCATAAATGTTTATTTTATGTTTACTTTGTTCAGATCAAGATTCAGATAAGGTCCATGTGTTGCAATTAGTTGGTCTCTTAAGTACTTTTTATACTGAGTCCACACATCACTCTCTATTCTTGCTATTTGTCACAGTGCATTTGTTGAAGAAACTGAATTTTGTCCAGGAGAGTTTTCCATATCCTGTTTTTGGTGACAGGATTGCTTCTGTTTTAAGGACCCTGGAGGATGGGCCAGAACTCCCACAAGCAAATCTGGAGAGCTCTTAAAACTCTTGACATTCAGGCCTCACTCCAGGCCAATTTAATAGTAATCTCTGGAGATGGATTCCAAGGCCCAGCACGTTTAAAACTTCCCAAGTGATTCTGGTGTACAGTCCCATTTGAGACCCACCAACCCTGGAGAGAACAAGGAGTAGGTAGGTCTTAATGAAACACTGCTGGAGGATGATACGGTGCCTGGATGGCTCAGTCAGTGGAGCCTATGACTCTTGATCTCAGGGTTGTAAGCTTGACCCCACACTTAGTATAGAGATCACTTAAATTTTTAAAAATTCTTTAAAAAAAGAACTGCTGGAGTAGAAAGACAAAATAACAAGATCTCTTAAGGAAATTCAGTTATATCAAACACAGAAATGAAATGTGATTTACCAGCCTTTAAAATTCAGAAGTTGAGTTGAAGGAGATGTCACTAGTGAGACTCAAATTAATGACCAGGAAAATCATACAAACAAAAATAATGTAAAACATGAAGTACAGATTTAAAAATACTGAATAAGAAAGAAGAGACTTAGTAGTCTAAGCGTATTTGACATGCAGTAGAAGTGTTAATAATTAAACAATCTGGGGCGCCCTGGGTGGCTCAATGGTTGAGCGTCTGCCTTTGGCTCGGGCATGATTCCAAAGTCCCAGGATCCAATCCCACATCAGGCTCCCTGCATGGAGCCTGCTTCTCCCTCTGCCTGTGTCTCTGCCTCTCTCTCTCTCTCTCTCTCTCTCAATCTGTCCCTCATGAATAAACAAAAGCTTTAAAAAAAAACTAAACAATCCACTGTTGCAAAGAAATACTGAATTTATATTGAAAGGCCTCAATTAGTTCCAGGCATAATCAGGTTTGTTTGGGTTTTTTTAGTTACTTACTTACTTAGTTAGTTAGTTAGTTAGTTAGTTAGTTAGTTAGTGAGAGCAAGCATGTATATGGGGCGGGGGGTGGGGAAGCAGACTCCCTGCTGAGCAAGGGGCCCAATGTAGAGCTCTATCCCAGGACCCTGGGATCATGACCTGAGCCAAAGGTAGTTAACCAACTGAGCCACCCAGGCACACTGAAATGGAGGATAGTTCTGGAATGGGGCTGACCTGTCTGTATTCCTGACAATTTCCCAGTGATCACTAGTCCGTAGATCATACTTGGGGTAATATTCTGAATAATAGCTTCTGTGAAAAGTCAGTATCATGAAAAAAATTAATGATGGAGGAGTGTTCTAGATCCTTTGAATAAATAAGACATTTTAAATATGAGTAGGAAATTATTGATAATTTCCTTAAGTGTGATAATGATAGGAGAATGTCTTGGTTCTTAGGTGACACATGCTTGCATTCAGGCAGTCCTTGCTTTGGAGTGTTTCCGTGTACATGAATTTAGGTACATGGTTTAGTTAAATAACACCAGTGTCTCAGCAACATAGCTGAAATATCATTTACCCGTGAGTGATTGCATAAAGTTCTAACTACTTGTTGCTAGCTCTTCAGTCCACAGATCACTACCTAAATAACATCTGTGCATCATGATCAGTGACCAGTTGTGTCACTTCTTTCAAAGCGTGTGGATGAATGGCCACTTGTTATCCAGATTAGGTGCAGAGGGCAAAGTGTATAGCTTTGTTATCTCCTTGTCTCCCAGCCATAAACACCTGTGACATTAAAAAAAAAAAAAGTAACTGAAAGAGTCAGTGGACCAGCCAACATGTAAATGCAACACGGGTGCCTGGCTGGCTCAGTCAGTGAAGCCTGCAACTCCTGATCTCAGGGTTTTGAGTTCAAGCCTCACATGGGGTGTAGCAATTGCTTAAATAAATAAAACTTTAGAGACCCCTGGGTGGCTCAGTGATTAAACGTCTGCCTTTGGCTCAGTGTATGATCCCAGAGTCCCGGATCGAGTTCCACATCAGGCTTCCTGCATGGAGCCTGCTTCTCCCTCTGCCTGTGTCTCTGCCTCTCTCTCGGTGTCTCATGAGTAAATAAATAAAATCTTTTAAAATAAATAAATAAAACTTTAAAAAATAAATGAAAGTGGTAAAAACATGATAGTACATGGTGATACCAGAGATAATGGGCATTCACTGCTGGTTGAGGAAAAATCTTGTGCTAACAGAGGAAAAGCCTTCAAATTCTGCATCCCTTGAGTAAATAAGCTTCAATACTAAAGACCTATCCTGAGAAAATTCTGAGTACTTTATTTTTAAAAATTGACGACAAGGGATCCCTGGGTGGTGCAGCGGTTTGGCGCCTGCCTTTGGCCCGGGGCGTGATCCTGGGGACCCGGGATCAAATCCCACGTCGGGCTCCCGGTGCAGGGAGCCTGCTTCTCCCTCTGCCTGTGTCTCTGCCTCTCTCTCTCTATGTGTGACTATCATAAATAAATAAAAAAATAAAAAATATATTTTAAAAAATTGGCAACAACTTAATGCCCAAAAATAGGACACTGCTTTACTTATGAGATAGCCATAGCCATATAATGGAATGCCAGGGAACCATTAAAAATATTAAAGAAAATTTAAGGATGGGGGCAGCTGGGTGGCTCAGTGGTTGAGCATCTGCCTTCAGCTCAGGTTGTGATCCCAGGGTCCTGGGATCAAGTCCTGCATCAGGCTCCCCACAGGGAGCCTGCTTCTCCCTCTGCCTATATCTCTGCCTCTCCCTCTGTGTGTCTCATGAATAAATAAAATCTTTTTAAAAAATGTAGTGATGTGAAAGCTAGTCTGGATATATTAAAAGTGATAGTTTATATTCCAAATGTTAAGATTTTCTTAAAATCTCTAATTTTTTTCTCTGCCTCTCTCTGTGTCTCTCATCAATAAATAAATAAAATCTTTTATAAAAAAAAGTGTAGCTTCTCCGTCCGGCTCATCTGAGATCATGCAAAGACAGGTGTTCTTTAAATCTTTTTTTTTTCTTTTACTTTTTTTTTTTTTAAGACAGGTGTTCTTAAGTAACTTTCAAGGATCATCACAAATCATTCAATAGTTTAAGCTTTCCTAGCCAAGCAGTCTAAGGACTGCAGGCAGAAATACAAATATAAACATTGTATTAACCAGGTCCCTGGTTATGCAAAAATTATTACGAAACTCCCTAATTTTCAGTTTTCCATGGTAGTAAAGGGCCAAATAATGGAAATGCATGAATTATACCTTCACCTTTGTGTAACGGTGTCAACTTCTCCTACGGTCTTCCTGTCTAGGCGATCTTCCTTGCTTTGTTCGATTCCCTGATGCTGAGCAGGATGCCGTGGCTTACCAAAGAGAAGGAACAACAGACGAGGAGGATCTTGGCACTCGTGGGTAATTCCAATAGTTCTCTAACTACCAGCATCTGATTTTGCAAAGAACAAATATCAGAACAGTGGACATCCAGCCATGTCACTGACTCAGATTTTTCTGTACAGGAATCTTGCCTCTCAATAGCTGGCTGTTCCTCCTCCATCCACTGCCTGAGACAAACCAGTGCCTCACCGACACTCACGCTCTCTCAGCGCTTTACTCCGTGTCTGTGTCCTACATCTCCTCCCGAATCTCTCTCACTCTTGAGGCCCGGGGGCTGTTTCCAACCACTCACCACCTGTATCGGATACCTTCATATTGTCTCAAATCAGACGTTCTCCAATCAGGATGGCCTGCCCTGCAAACCCCTTCTTGACTATATTTTCTCATGCTTTAAAAAAGTTTATTGAGAGAGAGAGAGAGCAAGAGGGCAGATGGAAAGGGAGAGAGAATCCAAAGCAGATGCTGTGCCAAGCACAGAGCCTAATGTGGGGCCAGATCTCCAGACCCTGAGATCATCACCAGAGCCTAAACCAAGAGTCAAACGCTTAACCCTAACTGCACCATCCAGATGCCTATATATTTCCTCCTTTCTAAGAAGAACATCCCCACTCTCTAAAAAGGTCAGAGTAATCCTAAATTCCTATTTCTCACATTCAGTCACTAAGCCTGAGGGAAACTGTCCTTTAAATAAGCTACGTCTATCGTGCAGGTGAACCTCACAAACACAATGATTAGCTAAAAAACTAACACAATTCTTTAATTATGGGAAACAAACATATATATATGTGTATATATATATATATATATATATACACACGTGTATAAATTTTTTTAATGAAGAAATGCATGAAAATTATAAACTTAAATTCAGGATTAGATTAGCTCTCTGAAGGAAAGGAAGGGATACCATCCCAAATGAACACTATCAGACTTTATAAATGGCAATTACATTCATTCATTCATTCATTCATTCATTCATTCATTTAAGAGAGAGTGAGCATGAGCAATGGGAGAGGGGACGAGAGTCTTAGGCAGGCTCCAGGCCCAGCATGGAGCCCAATGCTGGGCTCGATCTCACAACCCTGAGATCATGACTTAAGCTGAAATCAAGGGCGGGATGCTTAACTGACTAAGCCACCCAGGCGCCCTGAATTTTTATTTAAGTAATCTCTATACCCAACATGGGCCTCAAACAACCCCAAGATCAAGAGTCACATGCTCTTTCAACTGAGCCAGCTGGACACCCCATGCGATAGCTATTTCTTAAGCTCGGTGGTAAACACATTACTAAAGGGTAAGTAATTACTTACAAGATTTTTAAAAATTAATCTGATTTCCAACTGCCTTCCTAGTTCTCCTTTCGTTTATCTGTGCTCTTGAATTGCTATTCCCTCTGCCTAAGAGGTTTTTTTTTTTTTTCATGTTCATTTGGAGAATTGTATCTGACTCATCCTTCAAAACAAATGTCAAGTTTCACTCTGATATCTTCTCTGACTTCCTTGGGAGGTTTATTTTCTCTTTGGTGATTCCCCAAGCACTAGGCACATACTTGCTGGTAAGTTTTATGTCCTCTTCTAATTCCTTCTTTCTCTCCATCTTGATTCACATGTCTCTGGATACTTCTCACAGGGTGGTCTGCAGACCAGCATCATTGGCATCTCCTGGAATTTTCAGAAGTGTGTAATCTTGGCTCTCACCTCAGAATCTGAATTTGAGCAAAATTCCCATGTGATTCCTGTGCCCACTGAAATTTGAAAAACACTGCTATAGAATAGTACTCCCACCACGTGGTTCGCTGATTAGAACTGTTTGTTTCGGGGATCCCTGGGTGGCTCAGCGGTTTAGCACCTGCCTTTGGCCCAGGGCGCGATCCTGGAGTCCTGGGATCGAGTCCCACGTCAGGCTCCCGGCATGGAGCCTGCTTCTTCCTCTGCCTGTGTCTCTGCCTCTTTCTCTCTCTCTCTATGTCTATCATAAATAAATAAATAAATCTTAAAAAAAATTGTTTCTCATCTAAGATAAGTACAGAAATTGAGAGTACACATGTAGAAAGTTTTATAGCAATTGAACAGACCAGTTTTAGACATATTGTGTCTAATTTTCAAAGTGGCATTTGGATTTTACATACTCCTATTTTACTTCATTTTTCCAATTATTAATTTTTAATATATTTTATAAAAGTATCAGCACCCAGGGCTGGGTCAGTGGCACAATCAGTTGAGGGACCAACTCTTTGTTTCAGCTCAGGGATGGAACCCAGTGATGAGCTCTGAGTGCAGGGTGGAACCTGCTTAAGATTCTCTCTCCCTCTCCCTCTCCCTCTGCCCCCATACCTCTCTGTCTGTCTCTCTCTCAGAGACATAAATATCAAAAAAAAAAATCAATCCCCAGTGGACTGCAATTTTTTTTAAATCCTTCATGATAGTTTGAGAAGTGCCATGAAGATAGCTTTATTCTTTGTTTTTTTCAGCATTTAGCAGGAGGTACTCACAGAGTTTCACCAATTGTTGATGAATAACTGCTTAATGAAATATAACTACTTTTTGGCCTTCATTTACGTTTTTGACAGCAAAATGCTCACCATTACCTGGCTCAAGAGATAAGAATAACCCCATCTATGTAGCTCCAGCTGCCAACGGTCCAGTTAAGCGCCCAGAAAGAACCATGAAAGAGAAGAAACTCTTCAAGCTGACAGGAGATATTTTGGGTATGGAGAGCAACCAGTAATGTGTCAACCCTGCAGCATGTTTCCCAGCCACGAGGGTGTGAGAAGAAAATGAAAATAGAGGCCAAAAAAAAAAAAAGAAAGAAAAGAAAAAGAAAATAGAGGACAGTGAAAAAGTACTCACCTTGAAAAAATATGCACTCTAAGGTGGTGTGGTAAATGGGAACTTGGGAGTTGTGAGACGTCCACATGGGCTTGAATGAGTCCTTTCCTCCACAAACAGAAATTAATAACACAGATTGCTCTGTGTGCTTCACAGGCTGGAGGGGGAAATGAATATGCTTTCAAAACTGGCTCTCCTATAAGTGCAGGGGAACTGGTTCGGCACATCCAGTGAGTGTTTGGATTATCAAATTTCCTGGACCAAAAAAGGCCAATTCTGTTTTTAATCTGCCTTCCCTTTCTTGTGAACACACTCCATAGATAGCTAGAGAGAAAGATAGGTTGGGGGCAGGGGTGCATTTAGTTTTAAAAAGTAAAATACAACAATTTTTTTTTTAATTTTTTTTTTTAATTTATTTATTTATGATAGTCACAGAGAGAGAGAGAGAGGCAGGCTCCATGCACCGGGAGCCCGATGTGGGATTCGATCCCGGTCTCCAGGATCACGCCCTGGGCCAAAGGCAGGCGTCAAACCGCTGCGCCACCCAGGGATCCCGAAAATACAACAATTTTTATGTGGATTTTGTGTATCTTATTTCAGGTAAAATTTCTGAATAGTGGCAGAATAATTCTGGGAAGAAATATGTCAATATTTGTAGATATTTGTAGGTACCACTATGTGCTAGATACGCTGACTCATCTGTTTACAGTTGTTAGGTTGAACCATATGGAATTGCCAAGGCTTAGGAACCATGAGGGAGAAGGTGTAGAGAATTTCGAAGCTAACCCCTCAACTGTGATTTATTTTTGCCCTCTCCTATCCTAGTACAAGTCCTCTTCCTTATCTTGTTGATGACCACAGTCTACTCAGCACAGAACTCCAATAGGTTTTACCTCCATCAAGCTCTCCGGAAGAGCTTTTCCCGCCGTTTCTCAGAGATCAGACTTCTGAAGCATTTTTACCTGTGGGCCAATCACACCCTCCTTCCTAGCCTTTATGGGGATTACAGAGGTATGGACACATAACCCACTTCTCAGATGCTTCGTGTTCAATGTTTTCTACCAGCTACCAATTGTCGTAACTTTATTTTTATTTTAAAGATTTTATTTACTTATTCATGAGAGACATGCAGAGAGAGAAAGAGTCAGAGACACAGGCAGAGGGAGAAGCAGGCTCCTTGCAGGGAGCCCCATGTGGGACTCAATTCCAGGTCTCCAGGGTCACGCCCTGGGCTGAAGGTGGCGCTAAACTGCTGAGCCACCCGGGCTGCCCACTTTGTCGTAATCTTAAGTAAGCTGTATTCTGGAAACTTGTGTTCATTTATCTCAGGATTGATGGCTTCCTTTTGGGATCTAGAGCATCTCCTATGTTTCTAAGGAAAGAAACCTAAAAGACTTATCTGAATAAAGGTGGTTTTAGTGCATTTAGAAGAGTTTTTACAGATGGCAACTCCTATGCATTGTACATTGATTCTTTTTTTTTTTAAGATATTTATTTTATTTAGGGAGTGAGAGTGCCCCCGTGCAGGGAGGGGCAGAGGGAGAAGGAAAGAATCTCCAGCAGTTTCTGCACTGAGCCCAGCAGGGCTCAGATGATGGGCTCAATCTCACACAGCCCTGAGATCATGACGTGAGCCAAAATCAAGAGTCAGACTGAGCCACCTAGATGCCCTGCATGTTGATTCTTTCTAGTTCAGTTTTGGATGGTGACAGTTCTAGGTTCAGGGCACATTGTATGTGCGATCTGTAACTCTGTGCTGAATAAAGTACTGACCAAATAAAAAGTGAATCGAACCCTGGGTGGCTAAGGCTAGTGTCATCATGATAGGAATGATCTTCCTCTTAGAGTCTTTGGCTCTGCAGTATGGTGTCCAAAGACACAGACTTGGAAGTCAGATTGATGAGGTTCAGATCCTGGTGCTCTACCTATTAGCTGTGTGTTCTTGGGTAAATTACAATCTGTTGTGCCTCTGTTTCCCCATCCATATGATGAGGATAATGTTAGGATCTGCCCCATAGGATTGACATGAAGATTAAAAATTCCGTAGATCTTAGAACAATGTCTGACCCATAGTATACACTGGATAAGTGTCCATCATTATCTTTAACTGGGGCGATTAAGGCTCTGGCTACCGGAACCACAGAGCGTCCATGAGTTACCCAGACAGGCTGAGGAAGAACAACAGCAATCTGCAGATAAAGGAATATAATGAAGGAGACCTGAGGTGAAAGCAGTACCAATTGCCCCTAATGTGATTTATCTCTTCAACTACTAACAAATCTTTACTTTCAATTTTTTTAATGTTATTTTTTTCTATAGATTTTGTTCATTTATTTGAGAGAATGAAAGCATGAGCACCTAGGTGCCCCTATTTTTTTCTCAAAGATTTATTTTAGAGAGAGAGCATGCAAATAATATCTGCAAGATGAATACCTTGAATGTGCTAAAATGTGCATACATTCTTAATTTAAAAAGCTACTGCCAGTCTTTTCTTTATTGTACCGATTAACACTCCCATGAGCACTGCAGAAGAGTCTACTCACGTCCCCAACAGCCCGGTGAGTGTTGGTGTTTTCAGACAATACCCAGAGCTTTAGAGTAGATGACAGGCTTTGCAAGAGCAGTCTTGAGAAATGCAGGTCAAAACTAGAGGAAGGTACCATTTCCCACCTCTCATTTGGACAACCTTGTCTCTGCTCGTGCCCCTCTTCATTCCGTCCTCCCCATCGTACTGTTTTCAAACATAAATCTGATAGGATAAGTCCTATCCCACTTACAATTCCAGACCCCTTCCTGAGCTTACAGGGGAAGGCTCCCGCCCCCAGCAACATCCAGTCCCTCCCTCCTATCCCAGCCGTCCCGCCCTCCTGGCCTTTCACCAGGGGCTCAGGTGGGTATGGATCTGCTCTGGTCTCTGGGTGGACAGGCCTAACTACAGAACCATGTTCAGAAGGGCTGGCATGGGACAAGGGTTGGAGCAGAGCAGGCCTATTACCAGGTACAAGAATGAGTGTGGTTCCCACCAGATTTCTGGAGGGTTCCTTCGAGGTCACTGGGTGAGCCCCTGGGCAGGCAGGATGGGCCCTTGACTGTGGCTGAGAGGGACTGAACTGAGTCCCAGGCCTCTTCTGGATCCACTGCCAGGGCTAATGTCTACAGACCTGGTTCTGAAGGGATATATGAATGTGTCCCCATCAGGTCTCCTGGTGGGCAGGACTGCTCCCTGACCATGGCTGGGATGGCCTGGAGCCAAGTTAGAGGGAAGTTTCAGGATCTGAAGTCAGACAAGGTTGGTAGGCTTGTCTCCAGGAGCACTGACAGGTGTGTCTCCCAGCAGGTCTCTGGACTAGCAGGTCTGCTCACGTACTGCAGCCACGTCCAGCTGAGGGCCGTTTCAGGATCCTTAGACAGATTGAGTTTGGTGAGCTTGCCTCTAGGGACCCTTGGACTGTGTCTGAGAGGGATTGGCGCTCAGTTAGGACTAAGGTCTGCAGACCTGTTACCTGAAACACTGGCAGGAGTGACTCCTGGGTCCCTTGGCATATGGTGCTGGTGGCAGGACCAAGACCTAAAGGTGTTGTGGCCAAGTCCACAGGGGGACAGAGCTGTTTCTTGGTCTGTTGTCAGGACCACAGTGGGTGAGTCAGCCATCTGGGCATGGACCTGCCTTCCCAGAATGGTTTGCTGGTCTTGGGCTCCACTGGAGTTTCACTGTTCCCTACCTTTGGACCCCACGGCTCCCACAAAGGCACTTTCATCTGCAGCTGGCTGCCAAATTATTGTTGCTGAGAGGAGATACAAGCAAGGGCACCTCCTATTTCATCATCTTGCTGATGCCTTTCAGTTGATTCTCATGATTTCTAGATCATCTATGTATCACTTATAAATTATGATCATTTCACTTCCTTATTTTTATACCTCTTATTCTTTTTTCTTACCTGGTTGCATTAGCTAGAAATTCCAATTATGTTTTTTAAAATAGTGGTGAAATGTGCATTTTGGGGGCACCTGGGTGGCTCAGTCAGTTAAGTCTCTGCCTTTGCCTTCGGTCATGATCTCAGGGTCCTGGGATCAAGCCCTGCATTGGAGTCTGCTTCTCCCTCTGCCTCTCCCTTCCTCCCTCCATCCCGCTGTGTTTGTGTGCACGTGCGTGCTCTCTCTCTCTCTCTCAAATAAGATTTTTTTAATGTGCATTTTCTGTTACTAACTTAATGAAACATTTATAAAAATGGTTTCTTGTACTCTTTTGTTAGGGTTTATTGCTGATGGGAACTCCTTTCTTTTGGGCAATGTTCTGCTTCGTCAGATTCGCATTCCCAGTGCCGTACTACTTCCAACTGGAATGTCTCCCCATGAACAAGTGAAGCTATCTCCCCAAGATCAAGAGGATACAGAGAACTATGGAGTAAACTGGGGTCCCCCTGATACAAACATCACAAAATCAGACAGCATTTGGCATTATCAGAATCAAGAGATACTGGGTGGCTATCCTATCCAAGGGGAACATGCCACTTACTCAGGAGGAGGGTATGTTGTGAAACTTGGAAGAAGCTCCAGTACTGCAATCAGGTGAGCAAGCCTGAGCCCTGGACAAGGGAACCAAGATATGTCCATTCGTCCATTCTTGGGACAATTACAGCTGCTATAATGCTACTCTGTTGTCTGTAACACTTGTAGACACTTCTTAGGCTTTTAAGGCAATCTTTTAGTTTAAAGATTCCTTGTTCAACCTCAAACTACAGGTATGTTTTAGTTTGGCAGTTTTCCAAGACTCATTTTTTTTTTCTCGTCTGGGAAAATACCTACCAGTTTCAATTCAGATATCTCTTGTTTAGGCAAACTGTAATCTTCAAATTCAACAGGTAACATTGCCCTTCATGAACCACAATCAATTCAAAATTCAGAGTCAAATTGCCGGAGACTTTAGAGTGGTTTTGAATGTCTATGTGATAAGAATCTTTGTCATTATATATGAAAGGGCTTAAATTATCTCTCATTTAAATTTATATCAAGAATTTACTCAAAAACAATGATGCCAACCAAATAATGACATTTCCACTCCTCACACTTCCCAAAACTGAATAGCTATTCATAACAAGTAGCATTTAGAGGCACATGGGTGGCTTAGTCAGTTGAGCATGTGCCTTCACCTCAGGTTATGATCTCAGGATCCTGGAATTGAGCACCAGGTCGGGCTCCCTGCTCAGTGGGGAGTCTCCTTCTCCCTCTCCCTCTGTCCCTCCCCACCACTCATGCTCTGGCCTGCTCACTCTCTCTCAAATACATAAATAAAATTATAAATAAATAAAGAGTACCATTTAACATTTAGAAGTAGAAATAGAGTAATAGAGGTAGTTGACATAAAATAATCCTACCCTAGATGTTTAGCACCACATACGTTTTCTCAATCATTTAATCCTAGTATGAATGCTATTATGAAAACCTTCATCTTTATAGTCTTCTAAACTTATATTTTACAGTAGTGAAAGTTTGAGCATTAGTAATAATATTTTATAAGTAAACTAGATTTGGAAATGCAGCTTTGCAACTGGTATGTGATATTGGAAATGCCAGGGCACTTTTCTCCTTTGCAGGATTAAATGGAGAAAGTCGCTGGCCCTGTCCCCCTTTATTTTCCCAGTGTTCTGCAGCATCTTGAACAGAGCCACTGGCTTGACCATTGCACCAAAAGCCTCTTTGTGGAATTTGTGGTCTTCAATGCTAATGTGAACCTGTTCTGCGTAGTGACCCTGATTTTGGAGTCCAACAACATGGGTATGAAGGTCTCGTCTCTCCTCTCCCTCTGACCTGGGTACTTCGGAGCTGTTTCTTTCTTTTATACCATTAAAATACAGTATTTTGGGCAGCCCGGGTGGCTCAGCGGTTTAGCGCTGCCTTCAGCCCTGGGGCATGATCCTGGAGACCCAGGATCGAGTCCCATGTCGGGCTCCCTGTGTGGGGCCTGGTTCTCCCTCTGCCTGTGTCTCTGCCTCTCTCTCTCTCTCTCTGTGGGTTTATCATGAATAAATAAATAAAATCTTAAAAATAAAATAGAGTATTTTAATTAAAGTTACAATACATAATTTTATTTTTTTAAATTTTTATTTATTTATGATAGTCACAGAGAGAGAGAGAGAGAGAGAGGCAGAGACACAGGAAGAGGGAGAAGCAGGCTCCATGAAGGGAGCCCGACGTGGGATTCGATCCCGGGTCTCCAGGATCGCGCCCTGGGCCAAAGGCAGGTGCTAAACCGCTGCGCCACCCGGGGTTCCCTATAATACATAATTTTAAAAGTAAAATAGTTCAATGCCAAAACTAGACATCTTCTCTTCCTCCCTACTTTATTCCCAGAGACAGTTAGCTCCAGCTATTTTAACTGGTTCTTTGAAATTTAAAAATTAACATGCTTATTACCTATTTCATGAATTTTCAGTTTTAGATATTATCTCTTTCTTCCTACGATGAACATTTAACTTTCTTATACCCACATATTATACACACACACACACACACACTCTCTTTTAGCTTTCCTTATTCTCCCAATATAGTAATAATTATGGTTTAATATTTCCATTATTGTGATTATATAAATGATTTTTCAAAGATGAACCATATATTACAATTTCTTTTCTTCTACATTTTCCTTAGAATTTATAATTACCCTTTTTTTTCATTTGCCTGTTTTTGCATGGATCTATCATTGATTCATCTCCAAACTCCTCCTAGAAGAAAAAATCTCATTCTGTCCAAGAAGTATCAAGCAACCTTTATCATTTTTTATCTTGCATTTTATTTTTTTAAGATTTATTTATTTATTTATTTATTTATTTATTTATTTATTTATTTATTTATGATAGAGAGAGAGAGAGAGAAAGAGGCAGAGACACAGGCAGAGGGAGAAGCAGGCTCCATGCACCGGGAGCCCGACATGGGATTCGATCCCGGGTCTCCAGGATCGCGCCCTGGGCCAAAGGCAGGCGCCAAACCGCTGCGCCACCCAGGGATCCTGCAATCAGTTCTATTTTCAGTCCCACCTGACCTTCAGAAGTACATGATGCTGGCAATTTTCCAGGCTTGTTTCTGGGTTTCCTACACAGCTGACTTTGGTTTCAGCTTTCTTGAATCTGCTGTTGGTGTCATTCTGTTTTCCAGCTTCCAACACTTCGTTGCTGTCATCTACCCTCTTCTTTTACTTTGAGGTTTTTTTTTCCTTTCACTATCATTTTAGTGGCATTTAATGAGATGAGAGGGAAACTTGTATATTCACTTCCCCTACCTTTAACAGGAAGTCTTTCCTAACCAAGCTTCCTCTCCGTCTTGTCATCCCCAGAACTTGCCACTAGTAGCCTTCCATTTACTACCAGGCATTACTTCTGATCAGCAGTGTTATACTCAGCGTAGACCTCTGTACTTCCTTCTGAATGAAGCTTTATGAAGGCTTCCTGTGGTCTTTATAAGGTTTTTTTTATTGTTGGTAACTAACAAGAAAATAAATAGGGCTAAAAAGTAAACATGGGAAAATCCCAGTCTTAAAAGCTAACGATATGAAGTAGGAATTAATTTTATTCTCAAATGTACTTTCTCTTACACAATTCTAATATTTTTGGGTTTTATGAAAGTTTATATTCTTTATTTGAGAGAGAGAGAGAGAGAGAGAGCAGGAGTGGCAGGGGAGGGTAGGGGCAGAGGGGAGAGGGAGAAGCAGACTCCCCGCTGAGCTGGGAGCCTGACAAGGGTTTATCCCAAGACCACGAGATCATGACCTGAGCTGAAGGCAGACGCTAAACCAACTGAGCCACCCAGGTGCCCCACCTTTCATGAATTTGCAAACAATAATCTCACTGTCCTAGCTGGAATCTGAGGCTTTTTAGTCTATCCTTATATAAATGACTATTCCCAGGATACTCTTAGTCTTCACTGGGTATTAATGCTTTATACTTAGAAAGTAGCTAAATTTGAAGTGGCTCAAAGCACTTTCATCATACTAATTTCTGAAAATCAATTTTATTTTTTTAAAGATTTTATTCATCAGACCGGGGGCGGGGGGCGGGGAGCAAAGACATAGGCAGAGGGAGAAGCAGGCTCTTTGCAAGGAGCCCGATGTGGGACTTGATTCAGGCCTTCGGGATCACGCCCTGAGCTGAAAGCAGACGCTCAACCACTGAGCCTCTCAGGTCTCCCTGAAAATCTATTTTAAATAGCTTTAAATTCCGTTCTCTCCACACTTTATATTGTAGTCATCAGTTCTCTTCCAAACACTATTACAACTAGTCAGTGCATCTGACTGCGTGCATGATCTCAGTTAATATCCATGACAGCTCTAGAGGAAATACCATGTGAAATGTAGAGATTCAGGAACATTTGAAATAGGTGATCCAGGGCAGCACATGGGTGGTTCAGTCGGGTAAGTGTCCAGCTCAGGTCATGATCTCAGGTTTGTGAGACTGGGCCCCCTGTTGGGCTCCATGCTCAGCAGAGAGTCTGCGTGAGAGTCTCTTTCCCCACACATGTGCTCTATTTCTCAAATAAACTCTAAAAAAAAAAAAAAATAGATAATCCAGGAACAGCTGCACTCATTTCAGAGTTTGAAAGGAAGAGGACACAAGCTTTGAAGACTTTTGACTCACAGGTGTTTTTTGTTGTTGTTAGGTACGTTCTTCACCTCGCTGAGGTTGGACACTTTAACTTCCTTTCAGGCAAAGAAGGACTTTGCCTGGTCTGTCATCTCACAAGTCATCTACTACCTACTAGTCTGTTACTGTGCCTTTATACAGGTGAATTTATTTATTTATTTATTTTTATACAGGTGAATTTAAAGTGTTAGATGTAAGAAATTCTAAGGTTTCCCATGTTATCCAGGGAGCTCCACAATGAGCTATTACTAGAATTAATGGCTATGACTTTGTTCCTTTCCAGGGCCTGAATTCAGCTAAAGGCTGATTGGCTTTCTACCAAGTAGCTCTTCCAGTTTCCCAGAGTTAAGGAATTAAGTCTGTAGAAAGAATACTATTTTTTGTACAGTTGCATTATCTCTATATAAGGTAATAGCAAGAATGGAAAATATGAACAAATACTCAAAAGTACAGGTAATGGCACCAAGAGCGAATTGATCTTAAGTCAACACATCTTCAGGCCCAATAACTAATTTGGAGACCTTTTTAAATTTAAGCAACCTGAATGAAGGAATGAACATATCCAAGAAAGTTGTATTAGAGGAAGCCACCTTTTCTGTAAGCCACAGCTCTTTGTGACTCTAGAGCAGAACCAAGACCATAACCCATTGTGTCCAAGTTAGATTTGACAAGTACCCAGCTTAGTCTTTTGCTGGTGTTAAAATATTTCATTAGGGAAAGACCTGGCTAATCCCTAAGGCAAGCAGTAGTGACTGTGGTGTCCGTGTGTAGGGTCATCGGCTGAAACAGCAGAGGTGGAGGTTCTTCACTAGGAAAAGAAACATTCTGGACATGAGCATAATCCTTATTAGCTTTGTCCTCCTGGGTCTGGAGGTGAAGCTTACTTCTCTGTGTAAGAAAAACATGGCACAGTACCACTATGACCGTGACAGGTAAGAAGCCTGAGCAGCACAAGCTATTTCTTTTCAATGCTTAAAGTTTCACGGTTACACAGAAGCATTCTTTCAAAGTCCCCTTCCTCCTCCACTGCTTTACAGACCTATATTTGTAGAATACCAGTTAAACATAGACCTCGGACTAATGTCCACAGCTGAGAAAACAAGAAACTGTATTGCTAATCACATTGAAAAGCTCTTCTGCCTTTATAATAGGTATGTGCTTGTCAAGGATAATGCATTTAAATTTCACATAGCAAGGAGCTGGAATTAGTTATACTGTGCACCCTGGCCAAAGAATCCTTTAAATAGGGACGCCTGGGTGGCTCAGCGGTTGAGCGTTGAGCGTCTGCCTTTGGCTCAGGGCATGATCCTGGAGTCCTGGGATCGAGTCCCACATCAGGCTCCCTGCATGGAGCCTGCTTCTCCCTCTGCCTGTCTCTGCTGCTCTTTCTCTCACGAATAAATAAAATCTTAAAAAAAAAAAAAAACTCCTTTAAATAAAATCACAACACAGTGCATTTTCTAAATCCAAAGAGGGTTGCTTTCTTTGTAGGAATGTTCATTCATTTGGGTATCTGTTAATAAGAGACATCCTGGTGCCCCTCTAGGTACCTTCTCGGTGTTTCCCATGGAGAAGAAATCTATTTCCCAGACTAAGTATTGCCACATGGTACTTTACTTTCTCAGTGGCTAGTAGTGTGGATTGCTAATCTGTGTAATGAGAAACTGTCCCAGGTTAGCCTTACAGAGGGTCACTTATGCAGAGACACAGTGTCTGTACAGTTTAAATGGTGTTGACAGTTGGGAGTCCATCTTGCTGTATGGCACTGCCTCGGCCTTAGACACTGAAGCCATTGTGATCAAGCGCCAACTTGCTCCATCTATGGGAGTCTTTCCAAGTAACCTACTTAGTTGCTGCAACACAAGATTATGAGTATGTTCCTCACATTAACACTCCTCATGTCATTTATTCATCATCTTTCGGCTTTCAGCACTGTTAAACCTATTAAATCAATTACTCCCAGAAAATATAGGATTAAAGTGTCATGGAAAACAGACTAGCATAATGGCACATCTCATTAGGTTAAGGAGGAAGGAGAGGAGGGATTGAACTCAAACCAGAGCAGTGGAGGAAGCTGCCCTTGATTTGCAGGATGAATTTTGAGTAATCTGCTAGGGGTCGTATTTCAGGGTTTCTTCAGCTGTCTCCCAACCAAATCCATGATCTTTGGCCAATGGTCTAACATCCACAAGGACCAGAGGCCACGCTGGAAAGGAGAGTTCTTACATCAACAAGTGTTTGACCTAACAGGACGCACAGAGCTGCTGCAGGTCAGCAGGGGAAGCACTGCGGCAGATGGCATCCACTTCTGCTAACTGTCGGCCTTCCTTGGTACAGGTTCATCAGCTTCCGTGAGGCAATAAAAGTAAACTCAGCAGCCATTCACCTTATGGGCTTCCTGGTTCTGTTGGCAACTGTTCGGCTGTGGAACCTGATGCACCATATCCCCAGGCTGCAGGTCATCGGTACAACACTCAGCAAAGCCTGGGACGAGGTGGTGGGCTTCTTGCTGGTCATCCTCATCCTGCTGACGGGCTATGCCATTGCTGTAAGCCCTCATTCCCAGTGTCTGGCTTTTCCTAAATGCTCTGGCTTTGGAATCACACTCCTTCCCTGAGAAAGCACTGTAGGGAAAACCACCAGTTCAAGTTGACAGTTCTGGAAAGAACAGTGGAGTAAGCAAGCTGGTTTGTAGTCGTAGCTTCATACTTAATTAGCAATATGATTTAATGCAGACATTGGTCTCATCTGCTAAAATTTAGCTCACAGGTTGATGTGAAGGCCAAATAAATTGATATAAAAATGCTACGTTAATTATGAGAATTTTTTTTCTTTTTAAAGCATAGAGATTTGAATGGCCACTAAGGCATTTCTTTGACTTCCATTCCCTTGGTCCTATGTTGGGCTCCTTATCAAGCCAGGTGGGAAAGAACTGAAGTCAGCTCTACAGTGCTCTACCCTCTGACTAGTCTTTCTCCTTTTCAGTTTAACCTGCTGTTCGGATGGAGCATTTCTGACTACAGAACTTTCTTCAGCTCCGCAGTGACTGTTGTTGGTCTCCTAATGGGAATCTCTCATCACGAGGAGGTGAAAACCATCCTGGTTTCCCGGCAGGAATGATTCCATTTGTTTTATTATACCTACGGGGAGAATTTGCTTATAAAACCAGTCCCTTCTGTACCACTGCACACTAGAAAAGGGGGAGCGTGTAGATATTTTTGCCTTCCCATGTTATGGAGCTACCTATGCATATGACTTGAGTGGCTATTACTCTCAGAAATGTGTCCTTTCCAAGCACCTAGTCCCAATTTCCTGACAATCTTTTTGCCAGGACCCCCGGGCCTGAATTTATGCTCTAACCTAGCCAGATTAATAACATTATTTGCTGTTTGCTTGTTTTTCTAAGATTTTTTCATGAGCGACACACAGGCAGAGAGAGGCAGACACAGGGAAAGCAGGCTCCATGCAAGGAGCCTGCTACAGGACTCGATCCTGAGACTCTGGGATCACGCCCTGAGCCAAAGGCAGATGCTAAACTGCTGAGGCACCCAGGCGTCCCACTGCTTTCTCAGTGGCCCTTTAAAGTGTACAATGAAAGTGACTTGGGACATCAGGTAGCTCAGCGGTTAAACACCTGCCTTCAGCCCGGGGCGTGTGATCCTGGAGTCCCAGGATGGAGTCCCACATCGGACTCCCTGCATGGAGTCTGCTTCTCCCTCTGCCTAGGTCTCTGCCCCCCCCCTCTCTCTCTCTGTGACTATCATAAATAAAAACAAATAAATAAATAATCTCTTTTTAAAAAGTGACTTTTAAGAAAAATAGGGAGATGCAATTCCAAAAAGAGCTGCAATATTTCTGTTCATAATTAATAAATGCTCATTTCAGAGAGGCTCTTCTCTCCCTGAGGATTTGGGTACCTCGCCCAATATATAGGTTTGATCAGGACATAAGCTATTTAAATTAGTTGAACTCTTTTAAGACTTTCATGAAGTTTAACTTTCTGAACAATCTAGAACTCAAGTGTTAGGAATAAAAATGGCAAGTTTACAGTTTCTTAATAGTTTCTATTGTGAAAAGTTCTCACCTAAGATCTACAAAAGAACTTTTATGGTTTTAGGTTCAGTTAGTACTTTATGCATTCCAAGGGTGAAAGCTTCATTCCCTAAGACTCTTAAGGAAATAACAAAACAATAAGCTTTTGCTAACACCTTTTCTACTTAAACCCTTTTCTGCTCTAATCATAATCATATGATATGAAGGGAAAATGGAGTATACTTATAGGGACAAGTCTTAGCAACACAGACTCAGATTTTACAAGTTATATGGTTGACCTAAAAGTATCTATAATTAAGCAATATCTGGTCATACAGAAGATTTCCACCAGTGGTATTATAAGCATTCATCCTGAGTTGTTAGGCTGCTGCTGTTTTTTAAACAGTATCCTAGTGGCAGTAGTGAATGAGCCAATACCATGGGAAAATAAATATCATTTGTTACACATGTAAATTAAAATACTTATAGCAACTACTCTAAGAGTAACCCTGTATTTGAGAATGGTCTATGCTAAAAAGAATGGCAAAACTCAGTCCTCATACTTTTAAACATAGCATACAACCCCCCCCCCCAAAAAAAAAACCCAAAACTAAAACAAAAGCCAGTTTTTTATGGTTAACCTGTTTAATTCTATTGGAATGCTCCTGTGTTTATAGAGGTTCTTAGTATGGCAGAATTTTTAGGATTTCTGATATTTATTCTTTCAATATGCTTTCGCTCCTTCAAGCTTCTGTGTTTAGTTACATTTTCCAGAACTGCCAAAATTCATATGGGCTTTGAATCATTTATAGTGCCACTATGACTTACCTTTCTTGTGAAAGCTCTGAAGTGTCAATTATTTTTATACCCATCAAGTTTGTCATTCGTGAAGTTCTGTCCACTCAAAAGCATTTTCAAAGTTTTGTTCTCCTTAGTTTCCAGCAAATATTTTATGTGAATATATCCCAAATGTTAGCATATAACTTATATTTTTAAAGTAGAAATTAAACTGTCAATATTTAAATTCAAAATATTCTATTGTCTCTTCCCAGGTTATCGCTTTAGACCCAATCCTGGGCTCCTTTCTGATCATCACCAGTGTCTTCTTGATGGTACTTGTGATCATTAACCTTTTTGTTTCAGTCATTCTCATGGCCTTTGGTAAAGAAAGAAAGTCCCTTAAGGTAGGTAACTAACTCAGTAACTGAAATATAAATTTGTCATGATTTTTATCATTAGAAAAGCTGAATTGTTGCTGACATAATGCACAGTATCAGCATAGTCCCTTTAGCTCTGGCAGTCATTTTCATAGGACACCCAGTTTACCAAGACTAACTACATGATATTCTAAATCTACTATAAATAGCTGGTCCTCAATTATTAAGTAGCAGACACACTCCAATGCCTGACAGTAAATTAAAAGAAACAGTATCTTTACTATTAACACTTTTTTATTCTTTTGGTACCTTCCCCCTCCAACATTAGCATCAATTTTAATTTAATTCACTCACTTCTCTCCTGTCTTTCAATAGACTCTGAAAGAAGGTGCAGTGATAGATATGGTGCTACAGAAGCTCTCCAGTTTGCTGGGAATCCAGCAGCACCAGAACACGTGAGTAAATAGCCATGATAACAATGGCCATTAACACTGAGGTTTTATATATATATATATATATATAATAAATAATTATACTTATAAATATATATTTATAATATATAAATATATATCTATTTTTTTTAAACACTGAGGGTTTTTTTATTTTTTTAACACAGGTTTTAAAAGATGAACTATCTTAATTCTGTTACTTCCTAGCCTGGCTTATTACTACTTAGCATATTATTACTTATCTTTGCATGGCTTAGTTTAGAAAATTAATTGGTTTATAATATACTGTTAATTTTGTAAAACACTAAGGAATCAAAATCTCCATGGCTGCAAGTTCCTAGTTATGAATTTCTGTTAGGAATGGGTTAACACTACAAGTGATACAGGGGTGCCGAGGTGACTCAGGTCATGATCCCGGGTCAGGTCCTGGGATGGAGCCCTGCATTGGGCTCCTGTCAGTGGGGAGTATGCTTCTTCTCCCTTTGCCCCTTCCAATAAATAAAATCTTTAAAAGAGTGATATAAGATAATCCAGCTCTGTTGCCAAAGAGCCAAGTGAAAAAAACGCTACTGATGGTTTCAGCATGGCTATGGGAAATATGTATGAGCCAGAGGTGAGCTCACTGCAGTTTATTAAAATCAAAGTTATATGGTTTGGCTATATAAGATCAGGTCTGGCTAGTGGAGAGCCCTGTCCCAGAGGAGTAACCAAGGAAATTCACAAATGCTATCTGGGCTGAAACAGAGAGAGAAATGGAATCCTTGCTGCTTCAAGCATCCATATTACCTAAGGAACCAAAGGCAAGGTCTGGTTTGTGCCCAGCATGGGTCACTTGCTTAAAATACTCTCCTCTAAAATCCAGATTTGTACCTCATCATTTGGCCAAACCAGTGGAGAAAGCAGGGCACAGAATTTTTAACTTTATTATCAGCTACTGAGCTATGAGATACAAACCAATCAGAAACATTAAAGTTACTTGAAACAGGTGTTTACATTTACACTACACAGAAGCCAGAGTCCTATCTTTTGATCCCAATGCCATCCCTCTGGGGAAGGATGGCCTCAGCTAGGGGGCAAAGGAACACGTTAAGTTATAATAGTAAGAGTCTCATCCATCTAGGAAAGTAGTGAACCACAGCCACCATTTTAATGGGCACCAAAAACTTACTTGAAATCAGTTTTTAAAGGTTCTCTTAATCATAAAGTTTTCAAATGAAAACAGGAACCCCTCTTCTGTGGGCATTCCAGCTCACTACCCAAGAGACTTGAGTACTTCTATTAAGGCAACTGGAAGCCCACCTTAGCCTTGAATGGTGACTTCTGCCCAGTATGTGATCTGTCCTTTGTTTGCCAGTAAATGCAATCCAACAGAACATGCTATGGGGAAAAACAGGAATTTATGCAGTGCTGCCCTCTGGTAAAAGGGAAACACAGCACTCAAAGCAAAAGGCCACAGAGGGCTCCCTGAGAATCCAGTAGAACTAAGAGAAGCCTTCAACTTTCCATAAAAACGTCACGACTGGATCCAGGTAGTCCAAGTAGAACAGTGCCCTGCAGCAAGGAGTAGTGTATATGCCAGTGAGAGGACCCAGGTTCCAAGAACTGTTACAGTGGCTTCCAGAGTCAGTCTCTCCCATTCACAGCACACCTTTGCTTTGATTTTTGCTCACCACAAATCCCTCTGTATCGAGGGGTTTGTTTCTAAGTCTAGAACTTCAGCACAGGGCTGAGAGACTTCATGAAGTATTCTTCTCCATGTCCAGCCATCTTTGGCAGCTCTCCTCATAATGCTTTCACCTTCCCACTCACTCCCTGTGGGGAGACAGGACAGGTGATGAGAAAACCTGGGCTCATACTCAAAGGAGATGGACACAAGCCCAGCTGCCAGGAGTCAGCTGCTCTGGCCTCATAGTCTCTAATCATTAGTCTCTTAGGAGCAAGAAAGAACTGGAAAGCAGCAGAATTTAGAGCAGGAAGAGAGCCCAGAGGAAGAGCGTGCTCAGTGATGGTAAAGAGATGAAAAAGAATTTCATGGAGATTCTTTGTTACAAGGAGAAATAACTCAGTCTCAAATCCCAGAGCCTGGAGGTTGCCTAGTATAAGACCTAGGTTTTCTTTTTCAATTCTTCAAATCTCCGGGAAAGATCATCAAAGTCAATGTCCTCAGATGCTGAGGTGTTGGCACCAGCAGATGCAGTCGGTAGTGTGTCTGGCACAGATGGCAACTCCGGTAGCACAAAGTTGTCATAGGTATCCACAGGTCGGGAAGGGGGCTTTGCAGAAGCTTCTGGCTTGGGTCCAGGACCTAATTAGGGTAAGGAGCAAGCACAGTGTTACAAATACCTGAGAAAGTAAGTGGCTCAGATCCTCAAAGCCCACCAGCCCTTCTGGCAGAAACAATAAAAATACAGGAGAAAACACGGTTTTTAAAAAAATGATTAATAATTCTAAAGGTCAGTATAAATTTTCAGGACAATATCTACATTTCCTTAATATAGTTGAATCCTACCTGTTACACTTTCCTAAGGCAAGAGAAAAAGATTAAGGGAAATTCAAAGTGTGGTACCTGGGACTAGGTACACAGAGCACTCACTCACTGTCCCCTTTCACAAAGGTCTGCTCCCATAAGAGGGTGCCTGGGTGGCTCAGATAGCTGAGCACCCGACTCTTGGTTTTGGCTCTGGTCATGATCTCAGGGTCATAGGATTGAGTCCCATATTGAAATCAGTGCTGAGCATGGAGTCTGCTTGAGATTCTTTCCCTCCCTCCCACCTCACACATATATATGCTCTTTTTTCTCTCTCCTTAAAAATAAAATCTTTTTTTTTTTAATGGTGAAGCTACATGGAGACACTGTATATATTTTCCTTTTTTTAAAAATTTTATTTATTTATGATAGTCACACACACACACACAGAGAGAGAGAGAGAGAGAGAGAGAGAGAGGCAGAGACACAGGCAGAGACAGAAGTAGGCTCCATGCACCGGGAGCCCGATGTGGGATTCGATCCCGGGTCTCCAGGATCACGCCCTGGGCCAAAGGCAGGCGCCAAACCGCTGTGCCACCCAGGGTTCCCCCAAAAATAAAATCTTAAAAAAAAATAAAAAGTGTTTGCCTCAAAGGTAGAGAGTGGATTGACAGAGCAGACTGGAAAGGATCGTAAGGAAACTTTCTGGGGTAATGAAAATGTTCTACACCAGTTTTACTGAGGTTACCTATCTCTAATTTAAAAAGTACCCCATCCCCCAGGGTTTCTGTAGTGCTTGGTAGTATTTTATTTTCTGAGTGGATGACCACATGAGCATGCTTGCTTTGTGAAAAGGCCACGGAGCTATTCATTTATGGTTTTATCTACTGCTCCCTCTTTAATGCTCAAGTTTAAAAATACGTATCTGGGGATCCCTGGGTGGTGCAGCAGTTTAGCGCCTGCCTTTGGCCCAGGGTGCGATCCTGGAGACCTGGGATCGAATCCCACGTCGGGCTCCCGGTGCATGGAGCCTGCTTCTCCCTCTGCCTATGTCTCTGCCTCTCTCTCTATCCCTCTCTCTGTGGCTATCATAAATAAATAAAAAATTAAAAAAAAAATACGTATCTGGATAGACCAATCAATCTACCTCTTTCGGTATTTCTAGGTACAGTGGAAGCTGAAGCAGCAGGAACATAAAGAACTTGAAGTTGAAAGAATAATGATACCATTAACAGAAACAAGGAACCTGGGAGATTCTCTGCAGCCAGAAAGATATTTTCTTTTTGGGCAAGGGAAATGCTGAGTTCTACTTTCATTATACATCATCTACATTCTGGGAGAGAAGAGGGCATGTGGGTAATATGCCACAAACATGAACACTATTTCTGAGGCAGGAACAGCAATGAGAAAACCGCAAAGGATTCAGCAATGAGGGTTTCTGACTCATACTCACCAACAATCTGTGCAGAAGAGACATTCATATCAGCATTAATGTCATCAACCTGAAACACAAAGACTGTTACTGGGGGAGAAAGCAATGTCATTACTGGAGAAAGTACTAATACTGATATAAACCCCTATGTTCTCCAAAAGCTAAGCTGCTCAGCAGAAGCAAAAGAACCTGCTCCAAAGAAACTGCCCCTCCACCCCCTGTACTCCTTCCTTATCTTCCGATCAGCTACCATGTTAAACAAATAACCACCAAGCGAGAAAAAGAAAATTCTTACCACACCATAACACCTCTCTTTGATACCTTCACCTTCTGGGCAGAGAGAAAGCACTAACCCACTGAATTCATCTCCAAGAAACAAGTCCTCAAATACTGAAGATCTTCTACCTCATATCCTGGAAACAGTTGTGAGCAATGCTTCAATGCATGCAGACCAAAACGTAAGAAAAACCCAGGCCCAAGGGAAAGCCAAAGGAAAGAACACTAAGCAAGTTCAGGAACAGGGTACTCTCCCAGCAAATACCCTACCAATTTGTTTTCTCTGTAATGCATCAGATGGAAATAGGTCTCAAAAGGCACATACTAGCTGAGGAAACAAGGCTGACAGAAAGTAGCCCTCCAATTCTGACTCAAAGCGGCGCAAACACCAACACCAACAATTCAGTTCAGTTCAAGGCATGATTACCACATTTATAACAAGTTTCGTCTATAAGACTAAAATGTAAAATTAATGCCATAGTGTGAAATTTACTAACTGGCCACTTCTGATGAAGACACACAGTGTTTAATTATATTCTAGCAGCTAGACTATACCAGCACAATACAATTCTCTGCCTAGTTAGTTCAAAAAAACAGAAACAACAAAAACCCAAAAGACTATAAAGTGCCCTATTAGAACTTTCTAGGAGATCTGCAGCTCCCTCCTGATTCCTGGCTTAAGTGCAAATAAAGCATTGCCACCAATGATGCTGCTGCCACCGCCACCACCACCCCATTTCCAGGATAATGTTAAAGCAACACAAAAATCCAAAGCAAGAGCAATGCTGGTAACTAGGAATTGATCAAAATTTTGCCTTCCCTGTGGCCATTATTTTGCTCTCTCTTCATGGGATTCACTCTCCTGCTGCTTACAAAAGACGCTCATGCACTTACAGATTCATACGATGGGGGAGTTGCTGGTATCTGAGGTGGATGAATATTGGGAAAAGCCTGGTAAGTCCCCATTGGCAATCCGTTGAAATCCGACTGCAAGAGGACAAAGGCAACATCAGAAACACAGCCCCTAACTAATTTCTGAGGTCTGTGTATGGTAAGGGAGAAATACCTACACGTATTCAATGTGAATATTCAAGACATATATTCAAAATATGTATATATGCAAGAGCTCCAAAAGAAAAAAAAAAATACCCCAAAAGGATTGCAGATTTTTAAAGATCTATAGCCAAAGGCTGGCTAGTCTTCAAATTACTAATCAACTGCTTTGCTGTCTACAAGGGAAGATTCTAATCAAACTTTCCTATCACTAGTAATGACCTTCACCTTGTCTACAAAGGAGGTTTTCCTGGTAGTGAGTATTCATTTTTGGAAATGACTACTAGTATGCCTCCTGCAACAGGTCCCAAAGGTAGTGAGTAAACCTATGAGAAAAAGTTTATATTGCACTCTTTCTATATATTTTCCCGCATCATTAACTAAACACAAACCAAAAGACCTCCAAATCCCAATGTTTTTATTTCACAATATGATCACTAATACCAAGTGTTGTCACTGCTGAATCTTCTTGACAACGTACAACTCCTGTGTGTACTCATACATCATCTATATTTTATATAGTTTAAGCTCACATTTATATGTATACTTACTGGTCCCTTTGGAAGTGGGTAGGAAAAAGGAGTGCTTGGAGAGGGCATGGGCATAGGCATGGGCATAGGCACTGGCACTGTTCCATCAGGTCCACCAACTGGTGCTGTGAAACCACCCCCTCCTCCTCTTCCAGAGCCCCCTTTCTTCACATCATCTGTGAATCCAACATCAATAAGATCTGTCTCTACCCCAGGAGGAGCTTCTGCCTGAGAAGGAGAGAGAAATTCTTATCATTAACCCACATCATAGGCTAGATTTCCCCAGAAGATGACCCTGAGATAGAGACCAGTATGGAGTTTTACTGCGGTGGTCCCTTGGGATAAAGACCTGAGGGGAAGTGAAGGAAGCAAGGCTGGGAAGAAGAAAAAGCTGGGCTGCTGTACAGTCACAAGGACTGCTCAATTCCTTAAGGAGCTGGGATGGCCCTATAGCAGGTACCGTAGAGTCTTTAAAACCAGGGTACTGAATACAGGCTCTCCCGCAGGAAAGACTTTGGATGAAGCAGCTTTCTTCTGAGGGCCACTCAGCTGTGTATGAGTCACCAGTCATCGATATTCTCAAGAGCTGGGGAAATAAATGCTTTTATCCTTAAGTGCATGTATTTGGGATGGGGGACAGTTGCCTGAGCAGCACACCAAAGATGAATGATACATCCCACTGATCTTAACTGAATCATTACTATTTGTATATTTGCCCCCCTTCCAGGGTAAACCTCATCAGGACAGTGACCTTGTTTTATCTGTGTTCGCGGCCTTCTCTACATTGTCTAGCACACAGCAGGCACCCAATGAAGGTTTCAGAATCCATTCGAGGTCTTGAGGCACTTCTTCAATTCCTTGAACTTTATAAAAAAGCAGCAATAGTGCCATTTTGTATTTGTATCAAGGTTTGTACCTTTTCAAAGTGCTTTCCAGTCATTCATCTCATCTAATCCTTGAATACTAAGAAATGCAGGCATATTTATTGTTACCCAAAAAGGCACTGACTGGACAAAGGCTTAAATTCCCACAAACTTTAGTGCAAAGAATATGGTTATTTTTTAAGAAAGTGATATCCAGAGATTCATTTCCCTTTGTATTCTGAAAAAGCTCTAAACTTACCATGACCACAGAGTCAGGCTCATAGGGCACATTGTAGTTCTTGGCAATTTCAATCAGGTATCTCTCCACCAGGATTTTGGGTGGGGCTTCCACACTCAATTTATGCATGAGCTGTAAGTAAAAGACCCAGGGTTAAAAATCTAGGCTATACCTGTCTTAAATTTTGTTCCTCTTATTTTACAGGTAAACTGAAGAGAAAAAGGGGTTCTGACCAGTTAAATTTCTTTTTTTCAGTCACAAAGCATTATTACAAATCCACACCCCTCTCATGTTCTCTGGTTACACACGACCCAGATGTCGGTAAGACTGATAATGCCACCCTTTCCTATTTGAATTCATCCACTCTGTTCCTCACCTTGCTTCTACATCCACAAATCGTAAGGGGCACAAAAGGACCAAGGCCTCACAATCACAGGTTTAAGGAAGAGGTAAGGAGTGGACTACACTGCCAGCCCAAATGCCTTCTCACCCTCACTATGAAATATGCAACCCTAGATTAACTCAGCCATACGTTAGGACCCACTACAATCAATACAAAATAACATGCCCATACCCTATTGCATCATGTTTAACAAGTATGTGCATTACCCTGTCATTCACAGTTCCAATCTGGTTGGTCCTACATAACTTGCCATATTCTTTGCTATATTTGGCACAGAGCTGATCAGCAACCTAAAAAGAAAACAGTCAGAGAAAATGGAAATCATTCCAACAGACTGCTTCAAGCTTCCCATCATCAGTAACCATGCTTCTATTCTTGGATTTCAAAACAAACATGCGGCCTGTAAAACTTTAAAGGGGTAGATGTGAATTCATATGTGTTCATCCATCCACAAAGCTGTAGCTATGTACCAAATTCTATTACAGACTTTATGATATATGCTCTAAATACAATGAACAAAAATAGACATTGTTCTTACTCTTACAGAGTTTTATAGTCTCTGAGGAAAACAGTCATTACTTGATCATGCACATAAAGATATAAATGCAGCTATAGTAAGTGTCAACCAGGCAAAGTACAGCAGACTGTCAATAGCTTGTAACAGTGAAATTAGATTTGACCAAAAAAGTCATGTAAGGGGGGGTGCCTTGGTGGATCAGTTAAGCATGTTCAACTCTTGTTTTCAGCTCAGATCATGATCTCAAGACCATGAGATCAAGCCCCACATAGGGCTCCACACTCAGCATGGAGTCTGCTCGAGATTCTCTCCCTCTCCCTTCCCCTCTGCCCCCCACTTCACTTGTGCAATCACATTCTCTCTCAAATAAGTAAAATCTTTAAAAAAAAAAAAAAAAAGGCCTCCTGAAAAAAAAAAAAAGATGCTTCAATGAGATCTAAGGGATGACGAAGATTTAAGAGGGAAGGAAGAACATTCTAAAAAACAGCATGTGCAAAGGTCTCTGGTGGAAAAACAGAGCCAATCCTTATTTCAAGATGAAATCAAGTGAGTGTTGAGCCAGAGGGAGGAGTGTGTTAGGTAATGAAGTAAAAGGGGGGACACCTGGGTGGCTCAATGGTTAAATGTCTGCCTTTAGCTCAGGTCATGATCCCAGGGTCCTGGGAGGGAGGCTCCTTGCAGGGAGCCTACTTCTCCCTCTGCCTGTGTCTCTGCCTCTCTGTCTCTTATGAACAAATAAAATCTTAAAAAAAATTTTTTAAAAAGGGAATTTTGTTTCTATCGTAAGAACAGGAGCTACTAAAGGGCTTTAAAGTAAGGAGTAGTAACAGGATTAGACTTGTATCTTGAACAGAACTCTAAGCTATTCTGATGCAATGGTGAATAGACTAAAGGAAACCAAAGTAGCTGTAGGAGAAAGATTCAAGAAGTTACTATAATAGTTTAGGCATTGAACCAGAGTGGCCCCAACACATGAGAGCTTAATAAGGAGGCACTCGTCGTTCACATGTAGACATGGTTCTTATAAGTTTGTCCTTTGTCTTTTGTTTTTTTTTTTTTTTAATTTTTATTTATTTATGACAGTCACACAGATAGAGAGAGAGAGGCAGAGACACAGGCAGAGGGAGAAGCAGGCTCCATGCACCGGGAGCCCGATGTGGGATTCGATCCCGGGTCTCTAGGATCGCACCCTGGGCCAAAGGCAGGCGCTAAACCGCTGCGCCACCCAGGGATCCCTGTCCTTTGTCTTTTGATAAGTTTTTGGTTGCTTTATATGATACAGAAATTTTTTATTTTATATGAATTTATCACTCTCTCTATGGCTTTTGTAGCCATTTCCACTATGAGATTTATTTTTTTAAATCTGTCTAGTTCTAGTTCTTTTACGAGTTCATCTTTTTAAAAACATGTAAATCTGTTTCATCTTTAATAAATCTTTTTTTTTTTTAAAGATTTTATTTATGGGATCCCTGGGTGGCGCAGCGGTTTAGCGCCTGCCTTTGGCCCGGGGCGCGATCCTGGAGACCCTGGATCGAATCCCACGTCAGGCTCCCGGTGTATGGAGCCTGCTTCTCCCTCTGCCTGTGTCTCTGCCTCTCTCTCTCTCACTGTGTGCCTATCATAAATAAATTAATTAATTTTAAAAAAAGATTTTATTTATTTACTCGTGAGAAACAGAGGCAGAGACACAGGCAGAGGGAGAAGCAGGCTCCATGTAGGGAGCCCAACATGGGACTCGATCCCGGGTCTCCAGGATCAGGCCCTGGGCTGAAGGCTGCGCTAAACTGCTGAGCCACCGGGGCTGCCCCAATAAATCTTAATATAAAGGAAGAATACAGGAAAGGTTACAATGAAACTGAGGTTGGGACACCTGGGTGGCTCAGAGGAGCATTCAACTCTTGGTCTAGGATCATGAGTTCAAGCCCCACACTGGATACAAGATCACTTAAATAAAAACTTTTTTAAAAAGACTGAGGTTAAAAGTCTGTGTAAAAAGCAGCTGCCACAGGTGGCCCAAGTGTCTCAGCAGTTTAGTGCCACCTTTGGCTCAGGGCCTGATCCTGAATACCCAGGATGGAGTCCCACGTCATGCTCCCTGCATGGAGCCCGCTTCTCCCTCTACCAAAGTCTCTGCCTCCCTCTCAGTGTCCCTCATGAATAAATAAATAAATAAATCTTTAAAAAAAAATACATAATACATACATACTTTAAAAGAAGACTGAGGAGGTTAAAAGTCTGTGTAAAAAGCAGCTGCCTCAGGCGGCCCAGGTGGCTCAGCGGTTTAGCACCGCCTTCAGCCCAGGGTGTGATCCTGGAGACCTGGGATCGAGTCCCATTTTGGGCTCCCTGCATGGAGCCTGCTTCTCCCTCTGCCTGTGTCTCTGCCTCTCTCTCTCTCTCTCTGTGTCTCTCATTAATAAATAAATAAAATCTTAAAAAAAAGAAAAAAACAGCTGCCTCTGGGACACCTTGCTGGCTCAGTTGGTAAAGCATGGGACTCTTGATCTCGAGGTTATGAGTTCAAGCCCCACACTGGGTGCAGAGCTTACTCTACCCAGAAAAGGAAAGGAGGCAACAGTTGTCTCTACTCTCCCATTCTTCTACTCACAAACTCTATGACTATCATTCCTACCAGATCAGAATACTAGAGGCTTACTCTCTGGGGAAGTTAAACTAAAGGGATTCTGGACTCCAAGCACAACAGAGAGCAGAGACACTTAAAGACAATTGAAAAATAAAATCTAAGTCTTCTATAAGAGAAGAACGAGACCTTTGGCTTCCTTCTCCTCTGATTGTTAGAAATTCTGGCAGCCAACTTACACCCTTGGGGTAGAAAACAGGATTTCTGTCTGAGGGAAATGACCATCCAGAGGAAGAAAACTAATTCCTGATACTCTAGAATTCCCTTAAGAAAGGACTTAGATCATTCAACAATAAAGGCATCTGGCAATAAGCCCCACCCAGGCACATGAGAGTTTTAATGTCTCACTTTTAAATACAACTCAACAGCCAAGGCCACCAAACTTTTGTGAAAAGCCTGATTTTACACTATATGATAGTTTAAAAGAAATAGAAGAAAACAATTATTACAGGAACAAGAAAAGTTACTAAGAAACTGTAATATTGGGATCCCTGGGTGGCGCAGCGGTTTGGCGCCTGCCTTTGGCCCAGGGCGCGATCCTGGAGACCCGGGATCGAATCCCGCGTCGGGCTCCCAGTGCATGGAGCCTGCTTCTCCCTCTGCCTGTGTCTCTGCCTCTCTCTCTCTGTGTGTGTGACTATCGTAAATAAATAAATTAAAAAAATTAAAAAAAAAAGAAACTGTAATATTCTCAGTTAAAAGACATTATAGCTATGAAACAAAAGCTACAGACTATGATGTAAATATTTAAGAGAATTAAGAAGAGCTCTTGGGGCACTCTGATGCTTCAACTGGTTGAGCGTCTGCTTCCACCTCAGGTCATGATCCCAGGGTCTCCCTCTATCTGTGCCTCTCTCCTCTGCTCGTTCTCTCTCTCTAATGTTCTTTAAAACTTAAAAAAAAAAAAAAAAAAAAGCTCTTAAAAATAAAAACATACAGAAGACAATGAAATTTCAATTTTTTTTTTATTATTTATTTATGATAGTCATAGAGAGAGAGAGAGAGAGAGAGGCAGAGACATAGGCAGAGGGAGAAGCAGGCTCCATGTACCGGGAGCCTGATGTGGGATTCGATCCTGGGTCTCCAGGATCGCGCCCTGGGCCAAAGGCAGGCGCCAAACCGCTGCGCCACCCAGGGATCCCTGAAATTTCAAAAGACGGGTCAGGAGATAAAACAGACAATCTAGAGAAAATAAAATAAAAAAGGCAAAGATGTAGAAAAAAGGACAGAACAACTCAACTGAATTTATATCCTGGCGGCTAGTGCCGTATCCATGTTGTGATGAAGTTTTCAACGTCTATCTCTTCTGCTAGATTTAAGCTACAAGAGTAGGGTTGGTGTCATATTTTGCTCACTGCTGTACCCTCAGTGCCCACCAACTTGTAACATACACCAGATAAATATTTGTAGAATTACTGAATGAAACAAAACCTCTGTAACCTTAAATTAATATGATTTTAACTTTACTCGTTTACAGTTGTGTAACAACTTTATATGAATATACTTATATAACATTACAATAAAAATAAGAGAAAACTGGAGATATGCAAAACTTTGCTCCTTAAAAAAATTATTCAAGTTTGAAAATACTGTTCTGTTGCATTACGTAAGAGGCCTGAAAAGAAGGTAGACCAATTTACAAAGCCTATTTCAAAAGCAGCATGGGGAAGGATACAAAATATCTGGTCAAATAAACAGAAATGACTTGTGTTAACCAACCTAACAATATGACAAACTACAAACATCACTGAAACGTTGTACTCACTATTTTCAACTCAGCCACTTCTGACTGGAGTCGAGGAGCAGCCCAGATCAGTGTAGACACGGATTCAGCCAGACCAGAATCTAGTTCCCTAATTAAGGAAAGAAATTAATAAAATTTAATATTCTTTAAAACAAACCAACAGGCTCAGTTACTTAAGCACGTGTCTTCGGCTCGGGTCATAATCCCAGGATTCTGGGATCAAGCTCCACATCAGGCTCCCTTCCCTGGCCAGTGGGGAACCTGCTTCTCCCTCTCCCTCTGCCCGCTGCTCCCCTACCTGTATTCTGTCAAATGAATAAATAAAATCTTTATAAATAAATATATAAACCAACAAAACCCTCCAATTTGTATCATATACTTGATAGCCTCTAAACTTCTTCCACCAAGCTCGTTAGAATCTTACAAATAATTCTAAGACTTTAGCATTTTCATCATCCTCTTTTACTTTTGGGGAAACTCTGACAAGCCCAAGGTTACAAAGTCAGAAAAATGTTAGAGCCAAGACTCAAACTTAGACCTTTTGATTTCAGAGTCCTTATTTTGAACAGTTGTCTACATTAAGATCAGGTCTTCCAACAAAGTTATTAGGAAAAAAGGCCCTTGGGTATGTGAAGTAGTCCCCTAGTGTTAGGCCCCCCACACTGCATATTACTCCTTTCTCAAATTTCCTTTCTCAAAAGTGATTTGATCTTAGTTTTCAAGTCTCTTATTTCATTTTAGTTATACAAGATGAGTAAATTCAGAGATGAACAACTCTATGCATATAATTAACAATACTACACTATGCATTTATAAATGTTAAGAGAGTAGAAGGGTGCCTGGGTGGGTCAGTGCATTCAGTGTCTGACACAAGTTTCGGCTCAGGTCACAATCTCACAGTCTTAAAGGCCCATGTCAGGCTCTGCACTCAGTGGGGAGTCAGCTTGGGATTCTCTCGTACTCCCTCTGCTCCTCCCCACCCCCTGCCCTGGTTCGTGCATACATGCTGTCTCGAAAATAAATTAATCTTGTTTAAAAAAAGAGAATAAGAGATCTGATGTCATGTGTTTTTATCAAAAAAGGATTGGGGGGGGTGAGAGGGGACACAAGGAAACTTCTGGAAATAACAAATGTTTATTACACCTTGATTGTGGTGATGGTATACAGGTGTATGCCTATGTCCAAACCCAACAGATTCTATACACAGGTACAGTTTTTCTATAAATCATACCTAGATTAAGATTTTTTTAAAAAAAGACAAAATATCTTACTTCATAGACTGGATGAGGCCAAACCGAGCCAGCAGCAAATCACAATATAGCTCCAGGATCTCCATGGCCTCCACAAGGTAATCTTCTCGGATAATGTGCTCCACTCGGATCCGAGCTCGTTCATCTTTCCCAGCAGCCAGATAGTCAGCAATCTCTTTCCTTGCTTTCTGGGCCAGTTCCGCTAAGGCACAAATCCCATCCAGTCACATGGCAACAGTACATTGGGCCCTGGCTTGCAGGAGACTTCCAACCCAAGAACAAAGTGAGTGTTTCTACCTACTACAACCTAGTTCACTCACTCTCAGCAAATCTAGTCCCAACTCATCTAGTCTCCAGAATTTGCTCTTTTGTCTAGCAAAGAGTATTGCTGTTATAGCCAGAAATTTCCACCTCAGAAGTCATGTTAACCCATTCCCTGCAACAGAACGATTCAATCTAACTTGTCACAAGGAGCAGCAGTAATCTATCTAAAGCTTCAAGGATCTAGGATCCCTAAGACTTTATAGTACTAGCCTGATGGAGCCAGTACTAGGGTGGTAAAACCCAGTGATGTATTTTGGGAAAGAAAATATAAGGCAATCATGTATTACTCACTTTTTTTTTTCTCCAATAGCTTAAGACGGTTTATGACTAATCTCAAATTGACCCGTAAACGCTCAGCTTTAAATCCAGAGCCCAGCATGCTGTGTTGTTACTCCTGGAAAAAGATAAGAAATTACTACTTTCAAGCTGAAATTATTCCAGTTAGAGGATGGATTAGCTGACACTATAACCCAGAATGATTTCCTAATACAGGCAAAAACAACATGACCTTATTCAACATTTCTTAAAGACCATTTTGGCTTGTATGGAGAACTGATTAGGGGAGGATAATAATAGAACCAAGAGGACCAGAGAAGGCTATTACTATAGTCCAGACAAGGGATGGAAAAAGCTTAGGCTAGGGTAGCGTGACTGGATTTGAGATCTTGAAGGCAGAGCTGAAAGAACCTGATAATGGATAAAATTAGTATCTATATATTGGTGTAGAAGTGGGATGATAGAAAGACAAAGCAACAGCAAGAAGGCCGCCTATGTCTCCCAAAAAGCTCATCAGGGCAGTGATGAGGAAAGATTATCAAATTTAGAACCAAATTAAAAAATATTCTCCCATTGGTTCCTCAAATCTTACTAAGTCTCAGCCTTTGGGAAAAAGCTAGTGCCCAAGATCACAAAAATAGTAATATTTACTGACATACAAAGAAATACACCAAAGGACAAAAAGTCCAAGAAAAAAAAAAACTGCTATATAATCCTTAACAACAGAAGGCTACTTTACAAAGACTTTCAATGAACAGCAAAATACAGTCAACAAAACCATTCCCCTCCACCTACGGGGGGGGGGGGGGGGGCACACCATTGTGCATTCTATACTGAGACAGCACAAATTCTGTCTCTAAATTAATTCCTGGCTTGAACTTCAAAATATGTAACACCCAAACAAAAGCTAGATCTAACAAACTAACCAATCAACAGACAAACCAAAAAAGACATCCAATGTAAAGAGTTTGTATGGAACACGTGTCCACTTGTGCACATGCCACTAATAAGAAACATCAGATATATTTTGTTTGTAAAATTGCCTCCAGAAGCCTTTATACATTTAAATAATTAATCTAGGTCTCAGTTTACAATGGAGCTTGTATGTTGTATGTCATGAAATATCTGGCATCCATTACACTGAATTATGTTCAATCCACCAATAAATATTTACTAAATATTTCTACATGAGACAATAGCTAAACGCTAAAGATTTACAAAAAAAAAAAAAAAAAGTACAGTCCTTGCCCTCAAAGGCAAAATCTGGCAACTACAATACTATTTGGTAAAAAGGGTAATTTTAGAATGGTTCTCAAATAGAAGTGATTTTGCCCCATTTGGGACATTTGGCAATGACCAGAGACATCCTGGGTTGTCATGATTGGAGGGGATGCTACTGGCCTCTGGTGGGCAGATGCCAGGAATGATGCTAAACATTCTACAATGAACAGGACAGTCCCCCCAATAACAAAAAAAAAAAAATTATCCAGCCCAAATGTCAGTAGTGCCAAGATTACAGGATACTTTCAGGAGAAAAAAGTCTAAGTTGGGTCCCAAAGGACACACAAATTATTTATAAGGTAAAAAAGAGGATGTGACTACCCCAGGCAGAAGACGGAGTGCTGTATGTAGACTCCAGGTACCAGAGAGAAAAAGAAGCTTTCAGAGGAACACAAGTTCAGGACAGCTGAAGAATGACATTCACTACAGTTTATGCCATAACATCTCTCATAATCATAAATTCAGAACTTCAATTTGACAATTATTTATAAGACAACGGGTGCTGCGGTAGGTTCTAGTGTTAACTAGATCCAGACTGTATCCTAAATTCCAAGGGATTCATACCAGAGATAGATGGGAGGGAGAAAGACAGCCAAAAAAATACTAACTAGTACTGTCATTTGCTGTACCAGGCGCTGGCCCAGGATCAACCAACAACAAACCGGTAAAATGAAAAATAAAATCTAAGTATATCTAAATATCCAAGTAAACAAACTTAATCATACACTCCTACAGTATTTCAGCAGAAAAATTAAAATACTATGTTATTTTTTAATCTCTTTCAACAAATATTCATTGAGTATCTACAACACTGTGACAGGAGCTAGAGATACACACTGGCACAAAAAAAAAAGAAAAAGAAAAAGAAACAGACATGGTTATTACCCTCATGGAGTTCAGTCTAGTTAGATAAAACAATCACCTCGGATTGATACCATTGGTATATCAATGGTATCAGGAACCCAGATCTACCAAAGCAACCTCAGATTTATACTGCAGTATAAATAATTTTATAATTTTATAATTTCTACTGAAGGAAGTTGAAAATATTGAAGTGTGGCAAAGTTGTTTATATTTCACTCTTAATCTTCTAGTTGGGGATATTTGGGGAAGAGAAACTCTCAAAGGCTACTATAAACCTCTATGGAAGGCAGATAAAAATAAACCCAAATTACTAATCTTATCATTCAGTAAAACATGTATTTGTTCATATCTAAAAAGTAAGTAAAATCACAGGGCCCATTCAGGGACTCTAATAATCACAATTCCAGCTGAAAACAGATAGCATCCACAACCTGAGTAATTTGAGAAGAATTTAATAGACTATGTACAAAGGTGTGGGTAAGGTTTAGAGAAACCAACAAAGGATAGTCTTGCCCCAGAACCATTAATAATTCCAGGACTGAGAGGACAAGAAGAGGACGTGAAACTTCACAAGGGTAACTATATGAAGAGGGCCTCCAGACAGGAATCACAGTCACTGGTAGGGCAGAAAGGAACAGGGCGCCTATAAACACAGCACACAAGAGCAAGCTTCCAGGCACATACATCAAAAGAGGATGCTATTTGATTCTGGAATGGTATCAAACACAAGGACTATACATATACACACAAGACTAAATCAGCAGGAACCAGATCTACCAAAGCAACCTCAGATTTATACTGCAGTTAAGATTTCAGCTAGCTGGAGACACCTGGGTGGCATAGTGGTTGAGTTTCTGCCTTCAACTCAGGGCATGATCCCAGGGTCCTGGGATAGAGTCCCACATCCGGCTCCCTGCAGGAAGCCTGCTTCTCCCTCTGCCAAAGTCTCTGCCTCTCTATGTCTCTCATGAATAAATAAAATCTTAAAAACAAAACAAAACAAAATTTCAGCTAATCAGACTAAAACACTGAAGTTAAATGAATTGTCTTAAAAAAAACAAAAAAAAAAGCTGTGGGGGCACCTGGACAGCTCAGTGGAACAAACAACTCTTAGTTTTAGCCAGATTCGGGATCTCAAGATTATGGGACTGAGCACCCATGTGGGGCTCCATGCTCAACAGGAAGTCTGGTTCTCCTCTCCCTCTGCACCCCAACAACTCCTGTGCTTTCTTGCTGTAAAATAAATCTTTAAAAAAAAAAAAGAGGAAAAAGAAGAAAACTGGGTACTTGTATGTCCCTCTCTACAATAAATACAGTATTGATGAACATAGTAACATAAGCCTCTTATCTCTAAAGTCCCTTCAACTCTAAGATTGTGCAGGATACTAAATATCCAATTGAAATAAATTATATGGAAAAGGCAAAAAGGCATAGACAATTGAGATTAATCCTCAATACATCTCTTAGAAATCTTTTTTTTTTTTTAAGATTTTATTTATTTACTCATGAGAGACACAGAGAGGCAGAGACAGGCAGAGGGAGAAGCAGGCTGCCTGCGGGGAGCCTGATGGGGAACTTGATCCCAGGATCACAACCTGAGTAGTAGGCAGATGCTCAACCACTGACCCACCCAGGGGTCCTAGAAATCTTATTTTAAAAAGATAACATTACATTGTTGTTGTTGTTTTTTAATTTTTATTTATTTATGATAGTCACACACAGAGAGAGAGAGAGAGGCAGAGACACAGGCAGAGGGAGAAGCAGGCTCCATGCACCGGGAGCCCGACGTGGGATTCGATCCCAGGTCTTCAGGATCGCGCCCTGGGCCAAAGGCAGGCGCCAAACCGCTGCGCCACCCAGGGATCCCTTACATTGTTTTCTTGAAAAAATGCAGCAACTCATTTTATTCATTCTTTCATTCAAGTTTTTTTTTTTTCCTAAGAATTATTTTAGAGAAAAAGAGCAGGCACATCAGCAAAGGGGAAGGGCAGAGGGAGAATTTCAAGTAGGCTCCTGGCTGAGTAGGGAGAAATTTCACTACCTTGAGATTACGACCTGAGCCAAAATCAAGAGTGAGATGTTCAAATGACTGAATCATCCAGGCACCCCTCAACTAGTATTTATTAAGTATTTTACTGTATACCAGAAACTGTGCTAAAACTGCACATATAAAGATAACCTGCGGGGATCCCTGAGTGGCTCAGAGGTTTGGCGTGCCTGCCTTCAGCCCAGGGCGTGGTCCTGGAGGCCTGGGATTGGGTCCCACATGGGGTTCCCTGTGTGGAGCTTGCTTCTCCCTCTGCCTGTGTCTCTGCCTCTCTCTCTCTCTCTGCATGTCTCATGAATAAATAAATAAAATCTTAAAAAAAAAAAAAAGATAACCTGCTTCTCCCTCTCCCTTTGCAGCTTCCTCTGCTGTTCCCCCTTCTTGTCCTCTGTCAAATACATAAGTAAAATCTTTTTTTAAAAAAGTGTCGGACCAAGGGCGCTCCTGCCCCGAGCTGAGCAGATCAGCAGCCCCGCCCCGGAGCCCTCCAGGCCCTGCAGACGGAGAGCCCCGTAGTTCCTGCGGGGGCTGAATCCAGGTTTCCAGAGCTGCCATAGCCACTGTGGCTGTTCCTCCTGGGGCCTCACCGGGTAAACAACCCCCGCTGAGCCCTGCACCAGGCAGGGGCAGAGCAGCTCCCCCAAGTGCTAACACCTGTAAATCAGCACAGCAGGCCCCTCCCCCAGAAGACCAGCTGGACGGACCAGTTCCAGGGGAAGTCAAGGGACTTAAAGTCTACAGAATCAGAAGATACTCCCCGTGTTTTTTGTTTTTTGTTTTCTTTTTTCTTCTCTTTTTGATTTCTGATTGCTTCCCCCACACCCCTTTTTTTTCACCTTTCTTTTTCTCTCTTTTTCTTCTTTTTTTTCCCTTTTTTTTCCTTCTTTTTCTTTTTTCTCTTTCTCTTTTCTTCTCTTTCTCTCCTT